TTTTATTAAATCTTTAATACGATTTCAAGTCCCATTTGAATATGTATAAAACCCCTTAACCCTGAAAAGTCCTATGATTTTTCCACACTTAACCCTCTTGACGCTTTTCAAATAAAAAGTTTATACAAACTGCCAATTGGCAAGTGATTTATGTGCCGCCGTTGCCGCCCATTTGATTAACAAAATATTGAACCAACAAAAACCATACAGAAAATGGGTGTATTCATGGGCATTGTATTTTTATTATTTTTATGCCGATTTATAACAATACGCATTTTGGCAATAACAAAATGCACAGCGCACTGCGCCGAGCCGAGCCGCGCCGCAGGCGAAGTGAGCAATCCTTCGAGGAGGAGTAGAACCAAGACTAGGACATTAAAGACCCGCAAGGAGTCAATGGGGGAAATCGGCCTGTCATGCCTCGCAGGCCGCTGCTGGCCACGTGCCGCGTCAAAGTCTCCATCGCGTGTTACATCATTCATACGTCATTAATGGCCACGTGTCTGCCTTTGGCTTCAGCTTGGCTGCCAGTTTGTTATTGTAGGCTGGGCCATTTCGATGTTCCTGCTGCACAAGGACAAGGCGCAGGGCTCACAGATATTAGCAACTATCCTTGTCCGTCAGGGTCCTGTCTCTCTCTCCCTCTCTCTCTCTCTCTCTCTCTCTCTCTCTCTTTCTGTTCAGGCTTGAGAAAACAAATCGCAGCGCTGATTGCGTTTCTTATTAACTGCTGTGGGTGGTTGGTCAGCACAATATGCTGCCTGTCTGCGCTACACTAGGAGAAATTGGGGAGAGACTTTATAATGAAAAAGGCTAAGCAAAGGGGGAAGAAAATATGCGTGGTAAACATTTAAGATTAATATTTAAAATAATTCTTTTTTATTTATATTCTTTGAATATATCAATGATAGTTATATTTTCTATAAGATAATTAGCGTGATTTAAGTCGATAAATCATATCATACTTTTTCTCTCGTAAGACATCCCAAATTTTGAATGTTGTAAATAATCTTTATTATAATTAAGAGTTCACAATTTTTTCTCCAAGTGTACCTAGTGTTGTCATGTTTGTCTTGACGCTCCGCTGAATATTTTGGCTGGACACACACACATCACACACACACAGAAAACAAATGGACAGGCGACTGATGCATTGATTGTCCTGCAGGAGCAGGAGTCTTTTGATGGAGACCCAAGGCATTAGCAAAAATATATGCAGGCCAGTAAGGCGGTGGCTTAAAGTCGACTTAAAACACTTGACTTGTGGGCGTAGCTCGAGTGGGCGGTTTAGTTGGGGGGAAGGGACACAGGCAACGGAAGTGTTACGGCAAACGCAAAATGGCGGAAATCGCACAACAAAAGAAATTAATTTAAAGTTTCTAGCCCCCCAAAAGCGTGAAAATGAAATTACATAATGAATGCAATTAAAATGTTAAGCCAAGCTAAGACACAAGAACACACACATACGACGAAAAAAAACGAGCTTTTCCTTTTTCCTTTTGCTTTGGCAGAGGAGAGCAAACAATTTCAGTTTGTGGCTGAGAACAGCAAATTGCTATTTAGCCATTTTAGTCATTTTAGCCATTTTAGATGCCATTAACACACACACACTCGCACACCCAACCCAGCGAGAGCTGGTGCTGTGGCAAGTAGGTGGGTGGAGGTTCGGAGGGCCCTTTGCCTTCAAGCCACGTTTATTAAATAACTGCGTGTCAAAGGAACTCACACACACACACGCACACTTTCAGGATCACAAACTAGCACACACATACACATACACACTCGAAAGGACTTGCCTTGACTGGCTAAAGTTTTCTCTATGTGTGTGATTGTGTTATTTTGCTGCGTGGGTAAAAAGCGAAATTTGTTTTAAACTAAAATAAAATTGCAGAGAAAAGGCATATAAAACTAGAGATTAGAGTTTGATTAAATATTAAATTTAAATTTAGAGAGATTTAAATAAAAGAGATTTTAATTATTTCTATTTAGAATCAAATTCGAAAGGTACTTTTTTTGATGTTTTAAGTAGTTGTAATACTAAAGATGAGAAATTTCAATGTAATCATAGTAAATATAGAGAAAATAGAGAGTATATATGCATATTTGTTATAGTTAATATAATATAAATATTTATTTACAATTTTAAAAGAATAATTACTTAATTTTATGGGTTTTTTTGCAGCATAATTTTTGAATATTATAATTAATTACCAGCACATTTAAAGAAAAAAAAAAAAAAAAATATAAATATATATATCTATAAATATTTTTTAGTTGATTTATTATTTTTTAATATTTTTAAATTCAATTTAATTATAAAAAAACCAATTTTAATATTTTTTATAGCGAATTCCAAGTATACATGATATCAGGTTCTTGGTATTGCCTTCTAGTTATATAAAAAATCCTATAATTTTGTATATAATCCTATATATTTATCATTTATTATTATATTAAGTAAGAGTACTTGGTATTCGCTTTAAAATTTAATTAAAGCTTTTACAGTTCTTTTAAGCCTTCCAAAGTCTTTATTTCAGACTAATCTTCTTCAGAATATCTCCTTCTCTTTTTCCATTAATTAAAATTATTAAAATCTTTTAAAAATATGTTAAATTAAACCAGCTCTCTAGCAGTTAAAAAGTAGGTAATCTCAGTCAAAACTTTTTGAAGAGTATTTAAGAATCCTAAACAAAGCAAAACCCGAAACACAATAAAAAAGAGAAATCAAGCTAAGCTTTTCTGCTGTTTGTGTTAGTGTATATGTTAGATGTTGTTGGCTTGTGTATGTGTGTGTTTGAGGAACTACAATTTGTTCGTTGACGCCTATGAATTAGCCCGAAACCACCCACACGCCGCTGAACAAGGATATACACAAGGACGGTGGACTGGCATGGCCAGCGGCAAAGACTGAGCAAAAACAATTTCAATGGGAATTCAAAAATTAATTAAGCCAGAGCCCGAAAAGTGTGTGTGTTTGGGTGTGTATTAAAGTGTGTTTTATATGTATTTGTGCGGGTCTGTCATTTTCTGTTGCCTGCTTCAAGGGGCTAAAAGAGGTAGTTCTAGCGCCACACCGTTGCACTTGAGCAGCTGCAGCGAAGTCGACGTTGACGCCAACGCATGTGCAGCGCCTTCTCCTTTAACCCTCCCACTCTTAACCCACCTGACCCCCCAACCGCTGGGGCAGTCAAAGCCTTTCACAATCAACTATTGTTGATTTCTCCTACGGCTCCAACTTCTCGCGCTTTGTTTTTGGCGTCCACCACCCCCCCTGAATTCCAACCCAAACCCCATCCTGGGGTGGCGCGTTGTAGGCGAACGACGAAACGGTAATATCCTTGTGTTTGGTGGAAGGAAAAAGGAAGTGGATAATACATCCGTCCTTGTTGCTTCGTGTCACCCACTAAAAAGGCGATGCCACTTCTGGAAGCTCTGCTGTGCTGGAGCAGCACGACGGCGGCAGCGCCACCATTGAGTGGCCCGCAAAAGAGACGGCACTAGGCAGCGTGTATACTCTGCAGTCAAGTGGAAATGGTAACCTCCTACCGGGTAACAGAGAGCACAAGACCCAGAGAGAGAGAGCTTGAAAAGCTTCTGAAATATTAATTCGCAGCCCGGAGAGATCGTTAGAATGTGGAGCCTTTGGTTGGAGCTGCCGGCAACTCCCAGGAACAACCATTTGCAAAAAGCTTTGCTGTTGGAAAGCTCTCCGGGTTCTAGGCCACACCTCTCCTCACCGCTGATTGGCGGACAGCAGGCAGCTAGCAGGGGGGTGGCTAAGGATTATAAACCCTAAGTATATCCTGCAGCAGGAGCTCGACAGCGACAGAGCCAGCAACAGAAGCAGGCAGCAACAGCAGAGCAGCAGCTACGAACCAGACAGATACACACAGCCAAAGCACCCACCACCACCCACCCACCCAGGAGGAGGGTGGAACAACCGACGACCAACCGCTGGCCACCCCCGCGCTGCCACGGTATCGAGCTAAGGGTTGGAGGCAGGACGTTGGCAGGATATGCGCGATTTGACGACGGAATGAAATCAATTGTTACGCTGCCGTGCCACAGATCGGACGCAATCCGGTGTCAGTGCTCAAGCCCGATAGACCAGGTCCTCGTACACGTCCTCGCCTCGCCTCGCCTCGCCAGGAGCATCGCATCCTTTCTTAGCCCAAGTGATTTACGCGATTTGGCCTGGGCCTACCCACAAATACCAATGCGAATATAACGGAAAAAAAGGGAAAAAGAAAGAAATAAACGCCAAAAGGACTAACGCGAATATCACGTATACGTGCCGTGGGACATTGACACATATAAATCAGTTGGACACGCGAGCACGGCTGGCAGGTCGCGAAAAGTGCATTGGAAAGTTCGGCCGGAAGTCGAGGTGTCCGGTGAACGGTAACCAGTTCCGATCGTCACTTTTCCCGTTCCCGTTCCTGTTCCTGTTCCTGTTCCCGTACCCGGTTCCCGTTCTCACTGCCGGTCCTTTTTCCGCTGCGCGTTTGCCCAGCAAAAAAAAAAAGTAAAACTCAATTGCGGACACCACTTGGCGACGTCTCCGTATCCGTGTTATTAGTTTCCGGTCGCCGGCGACCAATTTACCGCTTGCCAAAAACAAACGAAAAATCTAAATACGAACAAGAAATTTGAATTTGAATTTTGAATTTGAAATTCGAAACTAATTGTGTCTTTCGCTACCGACGGCGGCCACAATGCTGGACATCAAGTCCTCCGCCGATTACTTGTCACGCTCCACGGGCAGCTTCAGCAACTTCTCAATGCTCTTCGCAGGTGAGTGGGCGGTGTGTGAGCCAGCCATCCCGAGACCGTCGGCCACCTGGAATCCAAGTAATTACCATGAAAAAAAATTTAAAAAAACTGAAAAGATTAGATTCCTAAGAAACTGCCGTCGGTTAACTGTTAGAATTTTGTAATATTTGATTTTTGTGGTTTTTTTTTTATCATAATATTTAATATTTGATTTCCTTCTTTTGCAGATTCCTCGTACAAATCGTCGTGGGGCTCCCACAGTTCGACACAATCGCAAGGTGAGTTTGATTTTTAATTAAAAGTAAAAATTATGAGTTAATTACATCAAAGTGGAAACTTATTAGGGGCAAAACTATTAATTTAAGTGTGTTGCCAAAATGTGTTTAAACCTTTGAAATATGATTAAAAGAAAGATGGAAATATTAAAAAATGAAATATTACTCTCTGAAATATTCTACAAAATAATTTTAGATGTAAATAATAACTTGTTATAATATGTAGTTTTGTTATAATTTAGTTTCCTGCGATTTTTAAAGATTTTTAGATTCAAAAACTAAAATATTTTTAACTTTACGTTGGTTTTAATGAAATTTTCTGTCATAGTTAAATGTTTTTTAAATAAATCTTTACTTAAAAATCAAAAGCTTCAAAAAGCTACCACAAATTTAATGTCTAAAACATTTATTAATATTTTAAACAAAGTATTTGCCAAGTACCAACCCAATCAATACCTCCTACAGCAAATATATCTATATTCAACCAAAAAAACCCTTCCCGTTCCTTCCCTTTATCTCCCTTTAAACCCATCTTAACTCCTGTTAAAACCCTGAAGAAAAACATGACTAATTTGCAAAGTTTCAATGATCACAAATTGTCATAAAAAATACTCAAAAAGTTCGAAGACAAGCCCGAAATTACAGCAAATTGCAAGGCACTCAAGGAAAGGCAACCCGAAATAAACATTAAATATGCAAAACACACACAGGACACACACACCGAAAGTGAAGGATGTTCACACGAAATTCCCAATCGGAGCCAGTGAGGCGTGCAAAATGTGTGTGATGTTCGTGATAGATGTATTCAAGCAAATCAACAAGCCATCGACTGAGTATTGACAGGGGTTTCCACATCCTTTATATATCCTTTTTCCCTTATACACATACATATATTCGAGGACTCGACAGAGATAAAAGGTGTGGAATACACGTGTTCCTCGGGGCTGAGGCCAACGAAGCATAGAGACCGAGGGGTTAAGCGCCATTAGGCTAGTTATGGCCTGAACTAATTGAAATCATAATGGGCTTTTGACACAGCCGCAGGACATTTTCAATCTGGTGAATACTATTTTTCCAAAAATATTTTTCACACTTTTTGAAAGAGAGACAAAATTTCAGCTTGGCTGCTCGCATTTAGCTGCTGGCCATTGATGACATCAAAATTGTTCACAGCCAAAAGTTGGTTGGTGCTCAGCCCACAGGACCTGCAGCAGGTCCACCCCTCCTCAGTATCCTTCGGCGGCTCCTGCAATCGGTCGCCTTTTGTGCTCTTCGCAGTTGAGTGGCCACGCAAAGCGCAAAACCAAAAAATGTCATATGAAAAGCTGTCGCTGTTGCTGCTGCTTTTCTGTTTTCTGTTATTTTTTTTCTTTTAGCACAATAAGTGACAACGAAAACAACAGCGGGCGGTGCATGAAACCACCCATTCAGGGCCGCCCTTTTTGCACTGAGAAAAAGAAGAGGAAATTAGGAGATTTAATGGGTTGTAAAAATAGATATAGTGTTGGGTTTTAGGCATTTTAGAAGGTTTTTTAATGAAAATAAAATTTTGGTAATTTTTTTAAGACAGTAAAATCGTTAAGGTGAGGCTTGTAAATATTTAAATATATTATAAAATGTTTTTTAAAGTTTAAATTTATTTAAAAATCACAGAGGTAGATATTTTCTAGATTTCTATGATTTTGAATGAATTTTCTTCTTAATTTATAAACTATAAATTATCTTTAGCTAGTTAATTTTCCCTCTGTGTATGAACCATTCCATGTTTATCAGCCTGCGGCTTTAATTTTATACGAATTTGAAGCGTGAAGTTTGCCACACACAACTTGAGCGCTTTCCCGAGATTGTAAATTGAATTGCCAGCGGCATTGTTTTCGCTCTTTGCAATCATATTCCATTACGGCCCATCTCAGAGAGAGATGATGCACAGGATCCTGGCTGCGTTGCTCATGTCACAGTTGTCCTGCCCACGGGCATACTGCTGCTCCATTCAGAACCAGATGGGATGGGATGGGTTCTTTGATGACAGCGTCGAGATAATGTTTGTGTTGCGGTTGAGTTGGTGATTGCCTTTGATTGTTCGCCCGAGAGAGAGTGTTATAACACTTGACAGTTTTCTGATTTACCAATTTGAATATATTTTTATATTAAGCTCTTAAATGTTTTGTTGTCTTGCAGGTTACAGCTCGAACGCCTTGAGCATCAAACATGATCCGCACTCACAACTACGGCAACCTGGTGAGTGTTTTTTATACCTTTTTTATTTTTGATAGAAGATAAAGGCAAAAGAAATACAAGGGTGGAGTTTAATAGGAGATTACTTGGTTATTTTGTGGTTTTTAATATTAATTTTGGCTGTTAGTTAATAAAATAAACAAGCCTTAAGGTATAGGATTTTGTAGGGCTAAGCTTGAATAGCTGTGTATGTTTCCTGATAACTACATTTTAATTTAATGGGTTTTATAAAGGTTTTAAGGATCATTAAAGAATTTTTAGAAATATTTTTTGAGCATTTATATTCAAAATAAAATATAAAAAAATATATATAAAAATTAAAACATATAATAAAAATGAATGCAATCACAAATTATTATTTTATAAACTTTAAAGATTGCTAAAAAAAATATTTCAAAGATCTTTGTTAATTAATTTCCAAGAATTTGCAATTAAAAAGACTTAAAAAATTTTAATAAATATTTTGTATTTATTTTTTTATTTTTAGAAATATAATTTTGAGCATTTATGTTCACAATAAAATATTACAAAAAAATAATAAAATATTAAAATAATTTATGCAATCACAAATTATTATTTAAAAAGTCTTAAATCTTGCAAAAATATTTTCCAATTCTTTGTTTATAAATTTCCAAGAATTTGCATTAAAAATGACTTAAAAATTAAAAATAAATTTTATTATTATTATTTAATCCTTTAATAAAAACCTAAATACCTACCTTTTTACCCCCTTTAAAACTTAATCAAAACTTGAAGCCATCAAGGACAGATGCTTCAGCACACGTGCCCCCTTTGTTCAGCCTAAAAACCAACATAAACATAAACAGTATCCAGGACAGAGAGCTCAAAAAATCCAAATTTGAATTGAATTCCGTGTTGGGCAACACTAATAAAGTTTCGGTTTTTGTATCGAGCGCACGTTGCAAGTGCCACTTGAGTTCGAGTTTCAGTTCGGTTTGGTTCTTTTTTTTGCACACTCGAGCTTTAAAAATTCATTTCCAATGCAGGAGGGGGGACTTTTGAAACGGAGAACCCGAGACAGCAACAGAAATCGAGCAAATACTGTCGCCGAATCAAAACCTTAAATACGCCACTTGAGCAATGGAAATGGTAATGGAAACAAAAGTGCCGAGCCGCTGAATTGAAGCGTAATGGAAACAATTGAAACGGCCATAAAGGATTCTCAATTAGAGGGGAAAGCAGGGCCACCAGATCCCAGATCCCACATCCCAGACGCACTTGGCCGAGGCTTTTGTTGCTGTCAAATTTGACGGCCGTGGTTGAATAAGACGACGGACGCGTGCCAAAGTCGGGGGCAGTTTTTTCCACATTCGCACATACATATATATATTTTTTTTTTCGGGACATTAAAGCTGTTGAAAGAACAAGGGACTGTTGACAAAACAATGGCCAGGACATACAGGACATGGGGACAGGGGAGCCGACAAGCCAAGGAGCGGCGGAGGACTCTAGAATGATGCGAATTATGGACAATTTTGCTATATATGTCTGGTGTCGGTCTCGCTGCAATCAGAGTAACCTTTTCTTTGCCAAGAATGCAAGTTAAACACTGAAAAAAATGGGAGATTAAATGTGGAATTTTGGTTTTTATTTTAAAGAATTGTTTAGAATATTTTGTATTTGATTTTAAAGAATTTTTAAAATTTTTAGAATTTTTAGTACTAAATTAAAAAGAATTTCCGGAATTTTTAGAATTTTGTATATTAAATTTTAAAGATTTTCTAAAATATTTAGAATTTGTAGTATTAAATTATAAAGAATTTCCGGAATTTTTAGAATTATTTTAATTAAATTTTAAAGAATTTCTAAAATTTTTTGAATTTGTAGTAAGAATTTTCGGAATTTTTAGAATTAGTATTAAAATTTATTAAAGAAAATATTAAAAGAGAATACATTTTTAGTTTTTGCTTTTTTAAATAATTTATTTTATATAATAAACTCTTTATTTTTAAAAGAAAAATCTTAAAAAATAATACTTTTAAGGATTATTTAATTTATTTTTAGTTTAACGTCAAAACCTATTTTTCTTTTAAATAAGCTTAGAAAACGCCTATTAAGAGCCTTCTGGCAACCTTAAAAATAGTTTTAAAAATAATATAAATCTTAGGTAAACGTTTTATGGGGTTTTTTAGACTTTAAAGTATTTATTTTGAGTGTATCCTCAAGAATGGCAGGCTTTGGCAGTAACAAAAACAAGAACAACGTGCAGGAAACGCTCGCCGGATAATAAGTGAAATGGATATTTGGAGTGTGTGCGAGTGTGTGTGTGTGCGAGTGCACTCGACAAATGCGCGCAAATGAAGCATCTGCATATATATATATATACATATACTATATATAGTATATAGTATAGACTTTTCACAGTTTTCTGGTAATGCATTTCATTTCGTCAACGGAAACTAGAACTTGCCTTTGTGTTTCTTTTGCCTGGCACCCTTCATTAAGACATTTGCATAAAGGACCCCCCAACAGACCAAACTCTATTCCATTTGTATTTATAGTACCTTTTTCCACCCCCCTCGTTGCAGATCCATATCAAATGTTCGGACCCACCAGCAGCAGACTGGCCAGCTCAGGTGAGTGGAAATCACAAAAGCATAAAGATGCAGGTGCCGCGATTAGTCTAAGGCAGCGGCAGGCACGTGACTAAGCCCCCGGGTCCTGGGGTCCTGCATTTCATTATCATATCAATTTCTGGCCGAGATTCGACTTAGTCATTGTCCGGACTTTCGGGCGACCCTAACAAATTAACCCGTTGCATGCGAGTTTAACCCTCTCTCTTTTTTCGAGGGTGCAGTTTTCTAATTTATGCGAAAGGTGTTTTTTTTTTTTTCGTAAATTTATTACTGGTAGGCGTGGCTGGGCAATTGTTTTTGCAGCTCTGACTTTTTGGACTTTCTCGGGGAATTGTACGACGATTCCTGGGCACGCGCCCTGCCCGCCAGAAAATCCATTAAAAAAGAGTTTAAGAGTTTTGCAAAGTCAGAGTAAAAGGCAAAGTCAAAGGGTTTCGGCGGTGGGCGTGTCCCTTATGTCCTGCATGGTTGTGATAAATTGGTCAATGGATGTGTTCTGTTTTTCTCACAATGCCTGGGCTTGGGAAAAATATGATTGGATTCATAAAAAGTAAGGTTTAGAAACTTAAAATTCATGAGATAGCTTTGTTGGGGTTGAAATAAATTCATTTTCTTGAAAAAATAATATATTTTAAGGACCTTGGGTTGATTAAGGGTACTGAATATATTTAGAAAAATGTTTAAAAATAGGAATTACTTAAAAAAAAAGTTTTGAAAATATTTACAAATTGAAAACCCATTTTATAAATATTTTAAATGCCTTTAAAATAGAAAACAACATTAAAAAAAATATTTAAAAAAGTTTTTTAAATATTTACAAATGAAAACCTTTTTATAAATAAATATATTATAAAATAGAAATATTTTAAATGCTTTAAAAATGAAAAACAACATTAAGAAATATTTTAAAAGGGTTTTAAAAATATTTACAAATTGAAAACCCATTTAATAAATATTTTAAATTCCTTTCAAATTAAAAACAACATTAAATGAATCCTAAAACTGAATACAATATTGGTTTTCTTTCATAAATAAATAAATTTTGTGTTAATTATAAACCTAAAATATTTTTTAACTTATACACATACAAATATAAACTATATTTCTATTATACACTTCCCATTAATGCCCAAAAAATAACAAAAAAAAATATCAAAATGAAAGTCAATTTCAAAATGGTGCCTCATTGCCTCCGACCGACCGGTTGCCAGGACAAAATCGATAATTCCCCTCATTGATCCGGCGCTGGGGGCGAGCTTTTGACGCCGCCGCCATTACGCTGGCAATGGCGATGGGGTGGTGGACTTTGCCCCCTGCCGCTCCACCAGTCTCCACCTCCTGGGGGACACCACCGAAACATGGCGCTCGAACGGAATTAGCATAAAAACCCAGACGCCCAACATTTTCCGGCGCGACATTTACACGAATCGGACGGACTCTCTCTCTCTCTCTCTGTCCCTCTCCGGCTTGATTATTTCCTTCTCTTTCGATTGTTTGTTGTGCGGTTTTTTGGTTTTTAGAGGCCCGTTGCCAAGAGTTTTGGCTCTAAACTTGGCTCTTCAACTTGAACGCAAAAGCTCACTGAGAAAAACCCACACCCAGAGTTTCCACGGAGTGTACATACTGCGCTTTCGCTTTTTGGGTGGCAAAAATGCTGTTTTTGATTAATTATGGCTTCCTCTCGACACGGAACCGCTTTGTTAGCCAGGTCCGGTCCCGTTGGCCAGCTCAGACCCAGCTGGCCAACACACTTGACATGCCACCTCATTTGCATACGTGTTGTGTGTGTGGTGTGTGTGTATCTGCAAGTTGCATGCAGCTCGCAGGAGTGATAAAAAATATATATTTTAATAAAAAGAGCGAAGTGAAACATGAGACTGCCTCAGATGCACCCAGAAAAAAATACAAGACAATTATGGTACCAGGAATTGGGAAATATAATATAAAAAAGTTAGAGGAGTCCCTATTAAGGAGGTTTATCGGTCTGAAAATTAAAAATATATCAATATTATCATATAAAAAATATAAAGTTTAATTTATCGAAAGTTTAAATATCTAAAATATCGATATACTTAAACAAAGAAGTAGAGTTTAATTGATGTATTTTGATTTATGAATTATAATAGCTAGAGGGAGTCCCTAATAAGGAGGTTTATCGAGAAAAAAGATAAATCCATCGATATTATCAAAAATATATTTATTTATATATCGAAATTTTGAATATCGATATACTTGATCGGGAAAATACAGTTTTATTTGTTAAAAGGCCTTCAAAAGTAAATTTTTGTTTGTTTGTTAGAGGTATTATGAGGTTTAATCGATATATTTAGCATATATCGCAATTATTTGTTACAGTTATACCTACGATATCGATTTATTCATATGATTTCATGTCAAATATCTATACAGAAAGCCATACCTGCTTTCCTATTGTTCTCCTTAATATCATATCATAAATATATTTTATTTCCAATTTTTCAAGAACCATTTTTGGTCTTCCAAAGTCCTTAAATTCCCCAAATATTTATTTTCCCAGTGTACTTACTCTATAATTAAATAAGCCTAAGCCAAGACATAACTTTTCTTAATTATGGAAAAGACCGAAAAAAAACAACATGAAAATATGGTTACTGCAGCAGCCTTACATCAAAGAACTGGTCGGGCTAATTGCTTCCGGTTTTTGCACATACTTTTCCGCCGTCGGCGGAATTATTAAATTAAAATTTTTTCGGAGCCCTAAAAAGCTTTGACGCCTTTCTGGTAAATGAAGAGACACTCCCTAAAGGGCCAACTATTTGACTTTTCGTTGTCTAGTTTGGGCTGTTAATAGCGTGTCAATTACGCCCCTTTTTTTCCTGAAACTAACTCCAGTTCGGTGTCTTCTTTTGGGCCTTTGTCATTCATCATCGTCATCATTCAGTCGTCGTGTTGGCACTTAACACATTCACTTGGCCATGATTTGCAATTAACGCAATATTCATGACGTTCTCACACATGAGCAGGCGCTAAGCCACCACCAAAAGGAGCAGAGCAGAGCAGAGTCGTGTGTTTCTTTTTATACCCACTCAAGTTTTTCCAACCACCCCTTGTCCTTTTGGATTTTGTCTGACGGAAAACAGAGGGAAGAGAGAAGGGAGCTGGCAACGATTGTACGTCCTCTGACGTCCACGGCCTAATTGCCAAATGATTAAGCGATTTATGATGTCTGCGTCGAATGCGTAGCGAATTCCGAGCACAATATACAATCATAATTCTGTAAATGTTTTAGCACGCACAAAGAAAATTTAGAAAGCTACTTTTTGGGGGGAGAAAAAAATACAGACTTGGCGGGGGAGAAAAGTCAAAGTTCAACTGGAGAAATGCCATGATATGGACACAATACATATTGCTGAAATAAATAATAATAATATTTTTAGCTGCCAGCCAATAACAAAAGAAGGTCGATTAGCTGGGCTTATGGGTTAAGCTTTCTAAGGCCTAGAAAAATGATTAAAAAATCGTTATAAATTAGAGATTAACTTACAATTATTATAAAAAAAATATATAAAGGATTTATATAGGTAAAACAAATTTATAAATATTTTTAAATAATTTTTACTAATAAAAAAATAAGTTGTGCGGCTTAGAAAAAGAAAATATTTTGTTTAAAAAATATAAACATACTTTAGATTAACATATAATTAATTAAAAAATATATATAAAGGATTTATATTGGTAAAACAAATTTTTAGAATTTATTAAAAAAACCTTTACTAATAGAAAAACAAGTTGTAAACTGAGAAACAAAGTTTTGTTTGTTCTAATTTAACCTCTTCTCCAAGTTAGACCTTCTTTTTATACCTCAGTTTGAAAACTCTCATTTTTCCTCAAATCTCTCTCTCTTTCAATGAAAGTGCAATTGGTAAATTTCTCCAGGGATTCCCCTTAGGAACTGCTCTATCCCAGTTCCATTACACTTACATGCAATGCCATTTCCGTTGCGCTACACTTCTTTTACAATAATTCGAGGCGAGCGTTGGTCTTAGTTATTTATTAAAGGGGGAAGCCCCGGGAGCTTGGAGCTTGGAGCCGAGCCTACTACTACTACTACTACCACCCGGGGTTCTTCTTGGTCTTGGCTCTGGGCAGGAAATGCTTTATGGGCTTTTTGCATGCCACAAAATGCTTACATTTCAACCACACACAAATATATCCCTGCAGCCAAAGCCGTTAATTTAAGCCTGAAACTCCAAAAGGATATGCTCTTTTGATGGACATTTAGCCAGGCCAAAAATACCCACATTAAATGTCTCTATACAGGGGCAATCAGGGAGCTCATTTCTCATTCTCATTCTCCCCTTCCTAACTCTCTCTCTTTCTCTCTCTCTTGGATTTATTATAGGCTCTGGCCAGATCCAGCTGTGGCAGTTCCTGCTCGAACTCCTCTCGGACTCCAACAATGCCAGCTGCATCACCTGGGAGGGCACCAATGGCGAATTCAAGCTCACCGATCCCGATGAGGTGGCCCGACGCTGGGGCGAGCGCAAGTCCAAGCCGAATATGAATTATGATAAGCTGAGCCGGGCTTTGAGGTGAGTTTAATATACTTTATTTTTTTATACATTACAAAGGAGATAATAAATATAAAGCAATAAAAAGAATACTTTCTAAAAGGATATAATAAAATAAATACCTAAATAAAATGAATACATTATAAAGAAGATAATAAAATAAAGACATATAATATATCGAGAAGTTTAAATTAAATAATATAATTCAAGGAAAACAGAAATTTAACAATTAAAAAAAAAAGAGAAAACTATTTAAAATAGATTGAAAAACCAATGTAAAACCTTTAGGAAATAAATTCGAAAAACCAGAAACCACAGTTTATAACGTAAAATTTAATATAGATTAGAAAAATTTATTCAAAAATCTCAAAACTAAATTTTCATAAATAGTTTATCGTATAAAATATAATATAGATTAAAAAACCAACCCGAAACCTTTAAGAAATGTATTCAAAAAACCAAATACAATAGTTTTTTTTTAACATTTTATTACATAAAATATATAATAGAGATAAGAAACGAACACAAAACCGTTAGAAAATATATTCAAAAAACTCAAAACTATATTTTAATAATAAAATATAATATATAAATAATATAAAATATAATATAGATTAAAAAACCAACCCAAAACCATTAGAAAATATATTCGAAAAACCAAATATTTAACAGTTTATTGATTAAAATATAATACAAATTATAAACCAACACAAAACCCTTAGGAAATATATTTAAAAAATCCAAAACAATATTTTATTCAACAGTTTTCCCTATGAAAACCCAATACATTTCGATTTCTAATGAGTTTCCCTCCCAACTAATGGGGTTGTTTTTTTCCTGTGCAATCGAGCAAAACCCTAATTAGCAGATTTATCTAACGAAATGCGAGCATGTGTGCAATTTGCCGCTGGGTTCATCATCAGTAAATGATTTGTGCCTGCTGCTGCACTGATTAGACGCCGCTTTGATGCCAAAACAACCAGAAAATAACCCAAAAAAAAATAAATAAATAAATAGAAATAACGAAAAAAGAAGAAAAACAGCTAAATCCACTTGCTTGGCCAAGAATTGGCCCACTTGATTGTGTGTGGGCGTGGCAAGGGCAGAGACTGGGCAGAAATTCAATCACAAATCGAATGGGAATGTAATCAAAAATCCAATAAAATCGAAATCTAATTGCAGGGACAGGATAATTCGATTGCCAAATATGAAAACCCCACCCAAAAAGTTCCCTAGAATCTGTCAAGAATTTTTCTGAATTTAGTAGAGAAACATATGCACAAAACTATTTGTGCAACGGTCAATTTGCTAAGTAAACATGGCCAGGACGAAACCCTTTTAGCCAACTCCTTGAAGCTGTCACTTGCAATCAGAGAGAGGCGGAGGAGTACGAGGACGAGTGCCAATGATGCGAATTGAAGTGGAAAAGTCCTGGCAGCCAATTTGCAACACACACACACACATGTAAATAAAATGTAAAAAGTCTAGAAATTCACACGAGAAATCCTTTTTGATGTGCAGGAAGCCTCAACATGTCTGTTCCTCTTTTTTTATATATTTTTTATTTTGCGCATTTCAACTCAATTGAACACGCCGCTGGCTTTCATGTTTGCTCAGAAATGCGAGTGTGAGTGTGGGTGGTGTGCTGTGTGTGTGTGTAAATTAACACCCACGCAGGACCCACAACAAGGACAAGTGCTTTAATGCTTCATTTGACATGTTTATTCACAGCCAGCTGGCCTTTTGTTGGTCCCACCATGGCCAGGCCAATCCTTGAAATGGGTTTACTTTAATCCTTTCGTTCTTGCTTCTCGTACTTCTCTTGCTCTCTCCGTTGTCCTTCCTCCTGATTGAGCTTCTTTGTCCTTAGCCACCGACCTCATCAGTCATTGATTGGCTTTGATTGTCTGTGCAAAGAGGCTGCCGCCACAGGACCTCTTTCCCTCATTCTCTCTCCGTTTTTTTAGGCCTTTTGTTTTTGCTGCTTTTAATTTATGGCCTTAATTGGCATAATTTATGGAGGAGAGGACAACTCAACTGCACGCATTATGCCAATTTGCATTGATGCATTCAAAATGTTTGCAATTCTCTCTCTCTTTTTGTTGTAATTTATTTGTGCATTTTTTATGCCGCCCTTCACTTGTCAAGCGGAAGTTGTGGACATTTTAAAGCGTAACAATAAGCGGACAATATGGAGGTGGAGATGGAGCAGTCTCTGGGTTTTAAAGGGATATTTTTAAAGGACTATAGAGTCAGTCCTGTCTGTTAATGAAAAGAAATCACTGCCAACAAATTTTGCTTAGTTTTCTTTTGGCCTGAAATGAACGCCCACATAATTTTCTCCCCCCTTCTGAGCCAATTTCTATTTGCGTTTGTGCACAAGGCGTTGCCATTTAATTGCTGGCCTGGGAGCTGCTCCTGGGGGAGCGGCACTAAAATCGCTTAATGTCAGCAAATTAACTTAAAACGCATAAAGCGAGCATTATTTTGTAATTATTTATTGTGCTTCGAGGGGGAACTGAGCTCATCTCAGCCTTTGTTTGACTTTCCCACATTGAGATTGAGGGGAAATGGCCAGCCGGAGTACATTTACTGTCGTTTTCCGAGGGTTGATGGCCACTTGCATACGCAGGTCGAAAGTTAAGTTTGTGATTTGAGTTTGAAGGGAGTTTGAATCTAGTAAAATTCAAGTTGTTTTAGTAAAAGAAATTTATTAATTTAAAAATAAAATCGAACTATATTTAGGAAGCTTTGTTTTAGGTTTAATAATTTTTGGTTTTTCGTTTCTTTTTGTTTTTGACCATCAAATATTTTCTTAATATATTTTTTGATATCCTCGATCAGTATAAATGGTCTAGACCATCGAACAATATCCTTAGATGGATGCCAGTTGCTAAATTTGGAAATAAATCGATTTTCCGTGTATCTATTTTTTCTAGAAAATATCAAAAATTAATCGATTAAAATCGATCATCATCGATCATTAAAAGAATTCAAATTATACAAGTAAATTCTTCATATATTTTATTATATAAATTTTAATACATATATTTAATAAAAAACAATAGTTTTTTACATTGGAAATTGAATTTAAAAATGTATATCGATGTTATCGATTAAAGAATCGATTGTATTTAAAGCTCTTTCGAATGCCATTACTGGTATAAAATTCTTTATAACATTTTTTTTAAGGATTAAATATTCTTAAGCTTAGATTTAAAAACGTTTTCGAGTGACTTGACACCCTCTAGGCTTTCCTCAATCTATTTTTACTCCCTTACGTATAGTTCCCAAGGGTAAAAAACACCTAGAAAACCATTATAAAGGCCCATGCTCTCCTACTTTTTCAGGTACTACTACGACAAGAACATAATGACCAAGGTGCACGGCAAGCGGTATGCGTACAAATTCGATTTCCAAGGCCTGGCAGCTGCCACACAGCCGGCGGCCAGCGATCCCACCTACAAGTACCAGAGCGACTTGTTCATGACACCATATCACCACAGCGCCAAGCTCAGCTCGTTTATGAGTCCGCATCATGGCATGACCTCATCGTCCGGTAAGCATGAAGACCATTTTGGGGGGAAATATAAATCAAACTAAGAAAAGAAGAGATTTTGGATATTTTAACTTAACTTAACTTAACCTATTTTATATTTTATCTAATTTTCTTAATTTATTTCTCTCCTCTTCAGCCTCGATCTTCCCGTCGGCCGCCTCTTGGGGCAACTGGGGCAGCCCCGCCACAAATCTCTACCAACCCCACTCAATGAGCCATGTGACGCCCTCGCATGTGGCCCCCCACCTGAGCAGCTATCCCCACTACGCATGACCATCATCGTCCGGTGGCGCCTTCTAATATGAGAGCAATGCCATCGCCAGTGCCTCGGGCATTGGCGGCGGCAGTGCCTCCTCAACAGCAGGCGTAACGTCAGGGCTTAGTGGCGGGCTGAGCGCTGCCGGTGGCGGAGGTGTGACCACCGGCGTGGGCTCAACATCGAGCAGCACCACCAGCAGTGGCGGCGGCGGAGGAGCAGGAGCGGGAGCAGGAGGAGGAGGTAACACCGGCATGAGTGGCTTCAGCAGCAATGGAAACCTGAATGGATCACATGTGTCCAGTGGTGGAGGAGGCTCTGCAAGTGTTAGCAACAACCTCAACATAGCCACGGCCACCTTGACGGCTGCACCGGCTCATGCCAGTGCGGGATTCGGCACCATTGGAGGCCTGAGTGTGGCCGGCATGGGCGTGGGCGTGGGCGTAGGAGTGGGCGTGGGCAGTGGCAACTCAACGCTGAACTCCCTGGTGGTTGGCAATCGCCTGATGAACAGCAGCTTGCCCACGCTGCTCAAATGATGCCACTTGGAGAAGTTCGGGCTGACGATGGGCGCGGGGCCATCACCGCCGGCCGCCACGCCTGCCGCCTCCGTTGGCCTGGACAATCTGCCGTCGCCATACCATCATCCCGGTCATCCAGGACATCCAGGACATCCTGGACACACGGCTGGGAACTATGGGGCCAACGAGCGGGCTTTGTATGATTATTTGGACATGAAGAGCGGCGAGCAGGCCACGTTTTTACTGTAAAAAACTTGCAACCAAGACCACCAAGGATAAACGAGGTTAGAGATCATGGATTTGGTGAGGATTTTATTCATAGTTATAATTAGGGGAAAGCCTCAAAAAATATTTTATGTGAAAATACGATTAAGCAAGGAGTCAGAGCTGAGTAAAAGCTCTCAGTGTTTTCTCTAGAGAAAATCCATTGCCACTTGACTCTTTTCCTCACAAAAATTCAAAGCTAGTTCTTTAGGAGAGACTTCCAATTGTTGTTAGCATTTCGTGTGTGTAAAAGCAATTGTAAATATCAAAAAAACGCGTAGCCCCCCCAGTGAATGTCTAGTTATAGAAAGTTTTGCCACATTTCTTGCTTCGACTTACAATTTGTAAATAATAATAATAATAAAAAACCCTAAAAACTTTATGTAAAAATGTGTTTAGCAATTAAAGATAGAAAAACCCCCCAGGTTCCCCTTGAGTTTTAATTACCTCTTATTGTTTTTCAAGATGGTTGACTGTGATAGTTGATTGTACAGTTAAAACTCTTACATATTTTAAAAAAAAAAAAAAAAAAAACGAAATGAATTAAAAATCGAATAAATATTTGAGACATAAACTACGAGTATAAATTAATCCCGAGTCTAGACATACTTTAAATATATATTTGTGTGTCTCTTTAGGTCCTAAGTCAAAGTTTAACTATAATAATACATGTAATAATATATATACGAGCATAAAAAATTTAATTGTGTGTAATTACTTCAATTTGTGTGTGTATTTACAAGCAAAAAAACAAACGAAAAACAAAGCAAAATAAAAACTAAAACCAAAAAAGAGGCAAACTAAAAGCCACAAATAACAATCTAAGTGTATACAATTTTTAAATTCTGAATGTAAACTCTACGAACAAAAAATCGAGTAACCTAAAAAATATATAAATTATAGAACAGACATCACCGAAAACAAAAAAGGAAACCCAAAACGAAAACGAAACGAAAACCCTCTAAGAATTTAGTTAATTTAAGGCAAGAACTTTCAACAAACAAAAACGAAAAACAAATAAAAACCCAATTCAAAACCGATTTAAAACTTTATTCATTTTCCGAGAAAAATTAACAGATTTTTATTTTGTTTTTATGTACATCGAAGGGGGGAAAGATTTTTATAGAAATTCGCCTAATTAAACCACTTGAACTCGTAGTGCTTCAGCGAGTTCTCCTCGGGGAGCGAGGCCTTTCCGTCCAGCTTCTTCCAGCTGATGTGCGGCTGGAAACCGTACTCATTGGCTATGTACTCGATGGTTCGCTCGACGGCATCCTCGCCGATGGCAAAGTAGCTGCCCTGCTTGTCGCCATTCCGGCTGCCGGTCTCCTCGTGCCCATTGTAGTCCAGCACGTACTTGAACTTGTACAGGTCGCCGGTGTCGCCGCGGGAAATGGTGCCGGTGCCAGTGCCTCCTCCAAAACCAGAGCCTGATTTGCCGGATCCACCTGAGCCGCCAGTTTTACCCGATCCTCCAGGTCCACCAGCTCCAGCTCCACCAGCACCAGCTCCTCCAGAGGCTCCAAATCCTCCGGAGGCTCCAGCTCCTCCAGAGGCTCCAGCTCCTCCCGAGGCACCAAATCCTCCAGAGGCTCCTACTCCACCGGAAACACCTCCCTTACCCGCTGAACCCAACTGGGGCTTGCCGGAAGCGCCTCCAGCAGGTGACTTGCCAAGCGGGAAACTGCCTACAGCTCCAGTGCCAGCTCCACCTCCAGCTCCTCCATTATTAAATGCTTTTTTAAATATTTTAAAAGAGATAATAATTTTAAAATTAATTAAATTAATTTTTTATTCATTACTCAAACCACTTACAGGGTGCTGTTCCGGTTGGTGTATGTGCTGACACTCCAGAAATGCCCGTTGTGGTTGCTGAATCTGATGAAAATAAAAGTACCAAAAGGAAATTTTAGTAAGGACTTCATCCTTGCTATAAAATACGTGTAAAATATCCTAGTTCTGACAATTTCTCATAGGTGGCGTCAGGATGGATTGTAATAAAAGATTAAATTAGTAAAAGTTTTATGATAAAAATAAAAAATAAAAAATAATGAATTATATATCAAAAGATATTTAAAAAAATGTTAAAAAATAGGTATATGAATAGAATAATAATGAAAGCTAATTTGTATAGACAAAGTTTACAAAATCTACACTAAATTCGTATGTAAAACATAAATATTTTCAATATTTTATAAAATTTATGATAAATACTTATAACTAATAAATACCTAAACAATTTTTCAAATATTTTCTTGGCCAATTTGCTTACTCAAAAGAGGTGTGTGTGCAAGTGTAGTGTGTGGTGTCTTCAAACCGGCGACCTTCTTGGCGGACGCCACTCCCCCTCGCAGGGCGTGGCCAATATTAACACCTGGACGGGAGCTGCTGGAAAGTGGCACCGCTTGACCGCTGGAGGGGGCCACCAGAGCCTGCTGGCCCAGGGGCAGAGGAGCTGTTACCTGACCCGAATAACTGCTGGCCGATCGAATGGCATCCTCACTTAGCCTGGTGTTAAGAGGTGCATAGACCACAGGACCCTCCTTGCGGGTTATGCCCACATTGTAGTCCACCTTTGTGCTGCTGGCATCACCCGATTTCTGGGTCTGAGTGCTCACGTGTCCGGTGACGGCGGCCCTGGAGTCGTAGAAGGTGCTCATGGCCAGCTTCAGGCCCGTCTCGATGTCCCTTGCGGGGATCTTGGCACTGGGATTGGTGTAAGTGTGCGTGGAGTGTTGTGTGACCTGTCCCAAACCGAGTTGTGTGGCCACTGTCTGGGCAATGGAATCGCGGAAAGGCAACTGGACATTGAGGCCCTGATCCGCAAGCTTACCTGGAGCTAAAGGCTGTGACAAAGTGCGAATCTCTGTCTTGACGGGGTTCTTCTTGAGGAAGCAGCCCGAGCAGGCCTCCGTGTTGAATACATGGCGTGGTGGGGCAGGAGCAGAAGCAGGCTGGACCCTAGGGGTTGTGACAGCAGGGAGGCTCTCTGAGGAAGAGATTTGTAAGATTTAGAGGGGAAAAGAGGTTCATTTAAGGTTTATTCTCTCAAAAGCTATGGGATAATACAGGAATTTTCATCATTTCTTGGATAATTCTCTTCTCAAGCTTAGCTTTCCACTAATAATATCTTATTTATTTTACTCACTCGCCCCAATGGGTCCATTGTATGGGTAACTCTTCATCGAGATTATCCGGAACTTGCCCTCCTCGTCGGTGGCATAGACCGTCACATGGTAGATTCCATCGGCTGTGATGAACCCAAACTCGCCCATAACAATGCCGCGTTCATCTGCGGATCGGGAAACAAGACGAGATGAGCCGAAATAACACTGAATTTTATGTTCTTTTCGAATATGAATGCGAATTTGTGAATATCAAAATTCGCCTCATAACCTGCCCAGCCAGACCCGAGAGCCCCATAAAGATTAAGATCTAATAAACTGTATCGATAATGACGCTCATAACTTGTGAGCTGGTTTCTTAGGCAAATATCAAGACGAATGCCACCTCCACCACCAGCACCTGCCTACGCGCACGGCATTCCTATGCTTGCTACAAAAAACATATTAATAATACTTAATAATATTTAACGATCTCGAAGAGAGCATCCTGTCTGGCCACCACCCACCAGATTTTACGAAAAGTGCTCCACAAATTCAGGCTTCGATTCGTGGCCTTTGTAAACAGGTTTCCCTGGCCAAATACTCGTTTTAACGGTTTGCATCAATTGGCTTTAGCTTGTTTGTTTTATGTTTAATTCGGGAATATAATGGTGACATTTGTCATTAGTTGAAAAAATAATTCTTTATTAAAATTTATTCCTTTGTCGTGATCAATTTGCAGTTCAAATTGTTCAATGACTTGGAAAGAAACTCTTAAATACAAATCAATAAAAATTAGTTGTGGCTGTTTTCTGGCTCTAAAAAGGCCAAGTAATAAAAAAGTAACAATACAATTTGCATAATTTTTAGTGGTGTTATAAAAAAGCGAGCATAGTCTATAAATATGTTGAGTTTTAATGAAATTCTTTGATTTGTTTAAGGAAAATAACATGAAAGTATAAAAAAAGCAATAAAATAAATAAGAATTCTAAGAAAATGTAAGTTAGAATTAAATTAAATATTGAAAATAATACAAAGTAAAAGGAAAATATAAATATAAATAATTATAAATTGAATTAAATTAACAAATTAAATATAAGAAATATATAAAAAATGGCTTTCATTGTATTTTAATTATATATACATTATAAGTCTCATATTACAATCTATATAACATATAATATGATTGATTTACTTATCCAATACTTGTTTAAAAATAATAAATTATATACTTTTAACATTTTCAAATTAACAAATAAATATTGTCAGGCTGAACTCTATATAACTCATAAGATTATAGGAAGTAATAACGCAAATTCGAATGAAATAACATGAGTTTTTAGAAATAAAATGAATAAAATATAAGCAAGGACGTATTTAATGTTCTAATATTAAAGCCTTAGTATCAAATTTCATGTCTAAATTATAATATATATAAAAATAATGAACATTTATTTATCTAGGATTTGTTTTTATTTGACAAATGTATTTATTTATCAACCGAAGTTAAGAAAATAAAAACCTTAAGGCCAAAAAATTACTTTAAATCATAAAATAACACAAAGTATTTAATATATATATTCTAAACAAATACTTAAAACCTTAATATATTCAACAAAATATACATAACTTTCTTTAAAATATAAACTAATCTAGATTTACTATTCTAAATGATAATATAATAATATACCAGCCTAACCTAACCTTTAGCTAAGAAAATAAATAACTTTAGCTTAATAATCCCTACAACTTCCCATAAATCATTTAATTATAGGAAGTAATTAACATAAATTCAAAAGAATATATATATTTCTTCAATTTAAAAACAAACAAAGCTTCCATCGTTCCGCAGATGATGTAATGCCCCGACAACTAGGCACCAAAAAAGTGATCCAGTTATTGGCCAGCAGCTCGAATTTCAAGACAAGCCTTAAAAAGATTTGAAAGCTTTTGTTTAGGACACCTTCTACTTCTACTCTGATATAATCCAGTTATAGTATTTTTTTAGAACAAACAAATATTCACTTTGCATGCACAACAAGTTCCTGAATTTGCGTGCGGCTTGGATTGGATAAGTTGAATTATGAACGTAATCCGAATTTTGGCCTCAACTCTGGCATTTCATATGCCAGAATTATACTTATAAATATTGAAATGTGGCTTTGGCTCTCTGTTCTTTTTCGGAATTAGCATTAGGAGCCGAAGAAAGAAAAACCATAAATAAGGCAGCGACTGCTGCTGCTACATGTTATGCAAATCAGGCGCGTTTCAGTTTCGTTTTTCTCCGACAAACTTTATCACCGATTCAGCATGGAAATAAAAATCATAACGACCCTGTGTGGTGTGTGGACAATGGACCCCTGTGACGGGGAGAATCGAGTCTGTCGATGCCTAAGATCTGGCTGAGTTCTGTTGAAGATTCCGCTAATTGCCGGCGCTGGTATTTCAATTGCCGCCGCTGACCTGTCGCTCAGGTGCATCAAACGTGTATTGTGTGGCATTGCACAAGCCCCACCAGGCCGACGCGTCGGCACAAAAGTCAAAAGTTATAGCTTTTTTTGGGTACTGGTTACACTGGCCACCACCGCCGCCAGTTCATCTATGCTCCAATGCACCGCCGCTGCAGCAGATGTCTCTCTAACGAGGCCCAAGATGACGCATCTCTATTTACATATTTCGGTTTTGGTGTCAATAAATCGACGCACAGTAGTCGAGATATGCTAATGGTTTAATTAGCGTCATTAGCCAACTGTCAGGTGAATTGACAGCGCAACGGGATTGGGGGGTTTTTGAGGGTTAAAAGAACGCCCACTGAAATTTTTGAGAAATTTCGAAATGTCGGTCAGGTTCTTAATTTTATTTTGAGTTCATCTTTTGACTAGATTTTGATTATTTATAATTTTTTTTAATTAATTTTAGTGTATATTTATAAAAAGTATTAATTGTTAAAGGCAAAGATTTTAAATGTGACGGTTTAGGGATGTTAAAAAATATTACAAATATTTTGGTGGCTAAATTATTGAATTTCGAAAAAGGTTTCTAAATATATTAATAAATATTCCAACAATATACTGTTTACTTTATTTATAAAACCTTATATAATTTTAAAACAACAAAAAATATATATTTTTCCAAATATTTAGTTGTTTTGTCAACGGAATTTATATTTTTCGACCATAAATAAAATGTTAATAGGGGTATAATATTAAAGGTAACTATTTAATTATATTACCTAATTTTCTAAAATTATTTAATAATAATCTAATAATATTCTCATAATATTCTAAACATATTCCAAAAATACACTAATAATATTCTAACAATATACTAATAATATTTTAATAATATTTTAATAATATTCTAAAAATATTCTAAAAATATTCTAAAAATATTCTAAAAATATTCTAAAAATATTCTAAAAATAATGGATTATCCTTTTACAAATTGGTTCAAAAGGTTTTAACAATCTAAATAACAAGTAAAAGGTACCTTAGCTAAAAGAGTTTTTTGAAGAATTTATTTAATGCTTAATTCAAAATAGAAAACCCAAAAAACAACTTTTAAAAAAACCCACACAGCTTAATAAAATATTATTGTTTCCCAAAAATTATTTCCCAAAAGTCCTCCCCCTCCCCAATGGATAATATTTCATAACTCACCCCTCTTTTCCTGTCGATGCATCTGCTCGTCGATGGTGAAGCCGAACTTGTAGGGACGCACTGTGGTCGCCGCGCCCAGGACTTGGCTCCAGGACAATGCCACCAGCAGCAGCTTAAAAGGAACACGTTGAGGCCAACAACAAATCCATAAAGCCAAAGGAAGGCAATGCAAACACTTACAGCACTAACGATCGCCAGCAGTTTGAGACTCATTCTGTGGCTTTAATTCGTTTGTTAATGGGTCACAAATTAGATTTTTATTTTCACGCCTATTTAAAAACCGCTTGGGATATCACACGAAAAAACCATAAATAATCGCGCATTTATATTTTAAATACAAAAATAAATGTGTCTAGATATTTGAATTTCGATCGGACGACAACGGCGGCAACGGCGACGACGCGTTTCTCACGGAGTTTCGGAGCAAGCGCCTCAGAATGAAACACACCCCACGATGTTCGGCAGCGAATTGACAATGTTAATAATATTAGGTAAACATTATAAAACATTAGAAGCGGACGCTCTGGCGTTGGTTAAGTGTGCGTGAGTATCTGTGAGATATCTGTGTGTGTATCTCAAGTCGCAAAGCTGGTAGCATTGGCATCACACCTCTGGACTTGGCCAAAAGCCTGTACCCTGTGCTCATAATTTTGAATTTCATGCACCGCTGCTGCTGCAGAGATTATTTATTTGATTATTTAAACAGCCTGACGAGTTCGAGAACATCATTTGCATCCTCGGAATGTCTAAACAAAGCCAACTGGCTCTTTGATTTGGTTAGATAATGTTTGTGGTTCACATAAACCATACTTCCTGGCTGACTCTGTTTTGAATTTAGATGATTTCCAAGCATGAATATCAATTAAAGTGCATTCGTAAGTCGTTGCTGAATTTCTAATCTCTTATAAAACTCTAAAACCAACTCTAATGACTATTTTCTGGCATTAATCAGTTAATTAGCAGGTTTCTAAATCGTTTTCGTTTTCATTCAGCATTGTTTGTTTTATTCTAGTTTTTGTGCCTGAGCAATGGTTTATTTTTAGTCATTTTATTAAGGCAGAAAATATAAGGAGAATTGTATTGAAGATCTTTATTGATCCTGCCGAAAGTAAGTAATAAATTATTGTTAAAAACTTAAGCAATTAAGATTGGTTTTCAGACTAAAATAAACTCAAAGAGATGTATCTGTCCTAAATATACTAAAATTGTTAAAGGAAGTATGTTCCCCAAAGGATTATAGGAGGAAGTTTTTAGGAATTTTAAGCCCAACACCTTGATCTTAACCTTCTTTTGATCCATTATTTTTAGTTTTTAAAAATTCTACAATAAAAAGAAACCATATATAATCCTTAACATTCCATCTCCTTTTCAAAATGTTAATCCAAATAATCAATAAAATCTTAATTAGCAAGACAATGTTTCCCTTCTGTATTTACTCAACCTAATTTATTATTTATCCCGCTGATACGCTTGAACCGTAATCAATTCCCTCGAGTATTTGTTGGCAATTAACCGATTCCCATCTATATTTGCCAGCCAACTTGTCGAGTCCAATCAGTGGCCAGGCACTTGACCTGCTCGATGAGCGAATCGTAATGCAATGAGGAAGATGTTTGCACTTTGGCGTTCACCTTATCGATCGTAGAGTGTCTTCTGCCGGATGCTGGCAGCCTCAATTGTAATTGAAATATTGCTGTCGAGTTCGGCAATGACTGATGTTGTGTGCGAAAATTAGCATATTAATTGCAATAACTGTTGACGACTGCCACTGCGAGCATAAGCAATGAGCATAGAATAAGCACGGAACTGAGGGGTAATCATCGTCAGTCGGTTATCAGCCACCCGCCTGAAAGTATGCAGTAGAAAGCATCAAGTTCGTTGCCTAAGTCTTTTGATTTGCTGAAATAAAAGCCCCAAAGTAAACCTTGGTTTTGGGTTTTTTTTTAATGATTTTTATTGGGGCCCCAAAGGGGGCTTTAAAAAAAGGTTTAAGAAGTTATGGGAGGTGTAGGATATATCTTAAATAAATAACTTTAAAGCTTATGGAGTAGTCCGTATTTCAGGTAAACTTTTATAATAATTTTTAATCTTTAAAAACCATCTATTATATGCTTACTTTGTTTAAAAAGGTTCTTCTTTGATTCTTGAAACTTTTTTTAAGAAATTAAATATTTTATTTGCTGTTTTTAAACATATTAAAAACATTAAAATCTAACTGTTAACATTACCAGTTTTATTACTATTTTATAATATAAAATTATTATTAATAGCATTAACTATACATTTTTTATAGTATAATTAAAATTCATAAAAAAATGTCCAATGGATTTATTAATCAAATAATTATTTTTAATGTATTTATTATTTAACTCTTGAACCATAAGCATTGAAAACTGTTTAAGATGTGTATTCCTTTGGCTTTTTGAATAAAATTTGCTTAAATTAAGTTTGTTAAAAAGTGAATATGAATTTTAAAACATTAGCTTAAAAAACTTAATGTTTAAAAATTCATTTTTAAATCTCTGGTTAAGTTTATGTGAATTTTTAAACTTAATGTTGTAATTAAACACTTTAAAGTTTTTTTCTTTGATTTAAAATAAGCTAAAAAAAATCTACAAAAATAATGAGGCAGCCTACTTGAACCAAACAGGATTAATTATAAATAATTATAAAGCAAAGTTAATTACAGTTTAACTTTTCTTTATAATTATTTATTATTGATTTAATTTAACTTTTCTTTATAATTATTTAATATTGATCCTTTAAGCTAGGTTTAAAGAGAAACCCGTTTTTTTTTTAATCTTGCAAAAAAGATTCCAAGATTAGAAATAAATATTAAGACAAGCTTAAATAACAATCAAAATAAAACAAGTTCATATAAATTCTTCATTTTTTTTTTAATATTCAACAAATGTTCTTTGACTTAGGAGTTTGTTCCCTTAGCAAAGCCAAGGGAAAACGGACACGGGAAAGTTTTGGGGAAAATAACAAGGAATTGAGTAGAATTTGGGTGGATTTAGAGCTGCTCCAGAGGAAAGCAACCTGATTTAGGCCTCAGGGGCAACGGGCAGATGAGCACCCTGGGGCTGGAAACCGTTCTCATCGGCGATGTAGTTGACGGTGTAGGTCTGGCCATCATCAGCCACGAAGGAGAAGGAACCGCGGACGGCGAGGGACTCATTCTCGGATCCAATGTTCTTCAGCTCTCCAGCAGCATCGGCCTTCTGGCCATCGCTAGTCTCCCATCTAATAAGGAAGTGGGGAGTCAGTTGTTTATCCTTACGGGACCAGTTCTTAGTTTACTTACTCGTATTTGAAGTTCTCAGGTCCAACTTCGGAATCCGCACGGACGATCTGAACATCTCCAGCAGGAGCGGCCAGAGCCACGGCGAAGAGGGCAACGAAGACGATGAGGAACTTCATGGTTGATTGTTGGTTGGTGCTGGGATCTGCGGTTCTCGGACAGGTCACGACGAATGGTGCCGATGGTTGGCCGGCGGAACCCTTTTATAGAGGGCAAACCGTCGATTATTCAAAGCGTGGTGGAACTAGTCAAACGTGTGGAAGAGCTAATCGGCAATGTCAATGTTAATGCGACATGTCTGGTTTGGGCCTGGGCCTGGGTCTGGGTCTGGGTTTCGTTTTCGTTCGCAGATGGAGCACTAAAAGGCCTAATACAAAATGTAAATTCATGTTTTAGGCCGAAAAGAATCGAAGCCATAAATATTTAATTATTCAAATTTGAGACTATGAATTTGGCCAGCATTATACATATACATAAAAGATATATCTTTTAGTGACGTCAGCCGAGATGAGTTTAGATGAGATTGGAGGGAGGTTCTTGCCATTTAAATGGTAATATTTATATATTTTTCTCTTTTAAATCAAAGACTTTTATTTTCTTTTATTAATTGAAATCTTTTATTTATATTTTCTGTGACGTCTGTGGTTTCTATTTTAAGATTTTAATATGGATATTGGATACATAATATATCTCTAAATTTTAGGTATAAAATATAGAAGCTATTCTTAGGTCACTAGCCGGAACTTGGGATGATAGCCAGTCTCGTCGGCCGTGAAGCTGATCTCGTACTTTTTGCCATCTGGAGCGGACCAGCTGGTGGAGCCCTGAACCGAGAGGGAGCCATCATCCTCGCCGGCACCTGGCTTCACTTCGCCCGTCTCTGTGCGCGAGATTCCGTTGCTGGTATCAAAGCTGTGAGGGGAAAATTAACAATTATTTATATAATATATGTTTTTTAATGAGTATTTTTTTATAATATTATTTGTATATTATTATCATAAATATTTTAAATATTTTTTTTTATTATATTTAAACATAAAGCATTTTTAAAAAAATATTTTAAATTTTTTTATTTTAATTTTAAATAATTATATATATACTTAAAGGATTTTTTAAATATTTTTTGTATATTTTATTTCAAGAGGTGAAAATTAGAGATTAGTTAGATAATATATGATTTTAAATGAGTATTTTCTTTATTATATTAATTATATATTAATATTATTATTATTTTAATTTTATTTTGTTTTTACTAAAATGATATATATATATAATTTAAAAAATTTTAAATATTTTTTTTATGATATATTTTAACAGAAACATTTTTAAGGATATTAAATAGCGTATTTCTGGATGATTTATTTAATATTTGTTAATATTTATATTATAAATAATACGAGATTATATTTTCAAAAAGGGAAACTTTAATATGTACACTTTTCTTTATGTTTCTTAATTGTTTAAAATATATATTTACGTTATTTTTAAACTAAAGAAATTATTTTAGCTTGATTTTAAGCACCATATTTACATTGCACTTGAGAAATACTTTCACTTTAATTTAAGAAATAGTTTAATCATAAAAATATCACCATTTAATCACAAAATTAATATTTTTAAGTCACTAAACATTTTTCAAATTTGTTTAAGCCTAATTTAACAACTTTCATTGGCTTTATACGCACGAAAAGGAATACTTGTCGCCGGTATTCTCGCTCTCCAGCTTGAGGGTCTCGGCCTGGGCATCCTCGCCAGCGGGCCTGGCCAGGACCAAGGACACTCCCACTGCCAGTAGGACAGCTAGCCACAAAGTAGACTTAGAACTCGAATGCATCGCGAAACAGGTGAGAACACAGGTGCTGAATGCTGCTGCTGCTGCTGCACTTCACTGAGCTGCGCTGGGAGCAACGAAGGCCCTTATATACAAATCATTGACGGAAAATGCATAATAATAATAAAAACAAATGAAAAATTAACAAAATCAGCAGAAGGCAGTAATGGAATCATACAATAAAACACATTTTAATTACAGATTAACACACTCTAAATACCCTAGACTAATCGTGCATGCAGGCATATAATGTATGCAATTACCTTGTCCACCCCGGCCTCGCCTTGCCAGTTTCCAATTTCAAATATCGTGTTTTCAAAGTTAAATAAAGTAATTACATAAGAACACTAAACACACACTCATTTGTTGTGCCATAAAATTCGTTTTACCCAAACGAATGGGGATGCTGAAGTGGCTTAGGAGATGTCTCATAGTCGAGATGGGTTCTAAACTTTTTTTATTTGTTATTCTGCTATTGTGCATTGTGATTTTGCCATTGTCATTTCTCATATTGTGTGCTGTAAGCTTGTATTTATTTGTTTAAGAATCAATTAAAAAATCAATAACCAATCTATCAAGCATATTACGTTCTCAGACTAACATATAAATCAGGCAGACTTCACCTGTGGCTTCTGTAAAGCTGTTATTTTGCTTGCATAATAATTATTTAATGATATTTGTTTATAAGTAAGAGATAGTATTGATTAAGTAATAAAGTTTGTAGAAGAAATAAAGCATTAAAGCTTAATTAAAGCGATTTTATATACCAAAAGATAATCTTTGTAAGAAATTTTTAGCCTTTGCTTTATAAGAAATAAAAGAAGATAATGCATATTATATAATCTGATCTCGAGAAGAATTCTTCCTTTCCCTTTTCAGATTTTGTAGAATGTTGTTGTGTTTATAATACTATTTATATATATTTTTTTATATTTTAAAGCCAGCATTTTACCAGTTTTAAAACTCCCCCTAAAAAGGTAAACCAAATATGTAAACCAATCAAAAAACCAATTAGTTTCGGATATTCATTATTTCGTTTAATATTTAACAAGCTGACTTAGTTCCCATCCTTTTAAAATAAGGACAGGATCGGTTTGGTGGAACTAACAAGGATTTGAGGTAGATTGAAGGTAGCAATCCATCTTAGGCCTCGGGGGCAACGGGCAGATGAGCACCCTGGGGCTGGAAACCGTTCTCATCGGCGATGTAGGTGACCTCGTAGGTGACGCCATCATCACCAACGAAGCGGTAAGAGCCTTGGACGGAGATGGCCTCCTGCTCGGTTCCAATGTTCTTCAGCTGTCCCGCTGCCTGAGCAGCCTGGCCATCGCTAGTCTCCCAGCTGACAAGGAAGTGGAGGAGAGTCAGTTGTTTATCCTTGCTGGATCAGTTCTCAGTTTACTTACTCGTATTTGAAGCTCTCGGGTCCAACATCGGACTCCGAACGGAGGATCTGAGCTTCCTGACCAGCAGGAGCGGCCAGAGCCACGGCGAAGAGGGCAACGAAGACAATGAGGAACTTCATGGTTGATTTTTGGATTTTTGTGTTTTGACCTGCGGTTCTCGAACAGTTCGCGACGAATGATGCTCTCCGGTGAAGGGGCCACCCTTTATATGGCTGGACAGCGGCAGAAGCCCACAGACCACAGACCAATGCCCAAAGGCCGGCCAAACTAGTCAAACGTGTGCGAAGCATAATGTGATAAATGTGTGATATTGATTTCGGGCTAAAGCCGAATCATTAAAAAGCCCAATGCGAAATGTAAATCAGCCTTCTCGCTCGTATTTGGATTAGTAACCAGTCTTCTGTGGGAGAAGCGACTTTGCTCGTGGTCAGTGATGGAAAAAAACATGTGTATTACTTATACTTTTATAAGACAAAATTCTTGGACTTTATTTTAATATGATAAGGTTACTTTTAGGACAATATTAGCAATAAAAGAAGTAAGTTTGGATATGTAGAATCAAAGAGCAACTAATTTACAATTTATAAAGAAACATATAGGTTGAATTTTAATATAAAAACTTTAATAATGAGAAAATATAACTGAACTTTATACTTACCTAAGTTGGGTTAGTGCATCATATATATTGAATTATTAAAGGAAACCTAGTATTTCTTGTTTATGTTATAATTTATTCCTACATTCAAACCTAACTTTACAAATACAAAAATTTATAAATTTGAAATTTACTACCTTCATTTGTTAATCCAAACTAAGAGGGAACTGAGTTGACCAAATATTATTATCTTTTTTTAATATCGAAATTTAAGCATAGATTTAAATAAATCTGTACTTATAATTTATATAAAATGTTTGGATTAACATAAATGAATTCCATTTAAATATTAATAAATTTACTTATACTTTATTTTTTTTGCCATTTTCCTTCTTTACTTTATAAATTTTTAAATGTACCCTTCTTGAATCTTTATGACCCTTAAATAATTTCCAAAAATCTACATAATATCAATGTTTTACTATTAACCTTGACTTATTTAGATTAAGGCCTGTTTTGGAAAACAATTTACAAGAATCAACCCCTTAACCTTTTCTTGTAACTAAATCAATCAGAAATATGTTCAGGGTGAGGTATATTTTATGTTATGTCAATAAAAAATTATTTTTTTGTATGATTAATATAATTAAAATTAAAAAAAACGCATGAGTTCAAATTTTATGTCTTAATTATTATTAAAGCAATAAAGAATCAATCAATTAAAATTCATATTATTATTATTTAATGTATTAATTACAATGTATTAATTACAAAATAGGAGACACCCACAAAATGCAGGTGTGAAACTGTATCCACCAAATCCTTTTGATATAAGAGAGAGAGCAGCTTCCACACAGGCAAGAAAACACAATTTGTTCATAGACTAATTTAATTCTTTAATATTCAATAGTTCAGGTTGTTTGACTTAGATTCTCCGAACCTCCAGAGAGGCGGCAGCTATTAACAAGGAAGAACTTAGGAGGAGGACTTAGGCCTCGGGGGCAACGGGCAGATGGGCACCCTGGGGCTGGAAACCGTTCTCGTCAGCGATGTACTTGACCTCGTAGGTGACGCCATCATCACCAACGAAGCGGTAGGATCCCTGGACGGCAAGGGACTCGTGCTCGGATCCAGCGTTGTTCAGCTGTCCCTGGGCCTGAGCAGCCTGGCCATCGCTAGTCTCCCAGCTGATAAGGATGTGGAAGGTCAGATGTGCATCCTTAATGGGCCAGTTTTCAGTTTACTTACTCGTATTTGAAGCTCTCGGGTCCAACATCGGACTCCGAACGGAGGATCTGAGCTTCCTGACCAGCAGGAGCGGCCAGAGCCACGGCGAAGAGGGCAACGAAGACGATGAGGAACTTCATGGTGATTTTTGGTTGCTGCTTTGATCTGCGGATCTCGAACGAATGATGCTGTCCGCTGGTTTGACCCCCTTTATATGGAAGCCAAAACTGGGGCGATTTCAATGCAAATGCAGGCAGACATAATGTCAAAGCATAATGCGAAAAATGCTCGAAATTGGTTTCAGGTTAAAGATGAATCGCTTAAACTCCCATACGAAATGCAAATCAACCTTTTCCATCGGAATCGGTAGCAGAGGCTTTACCAACCTGTCTTTTTTATGGAAAAGATGAGGGTTTTGTTATCACTGAGGCGGAGATTGCATATCAAAACTATAAGGAAAGGCAGCAGTATTCAATTAAAATTAAAGTTATGTACAAAGTCATAAAACGGCAAAGTTATGTTTTCTTAGAAAATTAATTTAAATAATACAAAGAGCTGTAGAAAAATTATTATCTTAATTTTTTGTAAATTTAGATTTTTAATTACGCAGAAATTAAATAAATATATAGTAATTATTAAGGTAATTATTAAGTTAAGATAAATTAGCAGATAAACTTGGGGACTTCTCTCTTCAATATTATTTTTTATAAATTTTATGTACATGACTTTTGGCAATCAGAGGCTCTCAAGACAACAAGAGACATTCGTAAAAATGGTTGTCTTAATTTGTTTTTAAATTGTGATTTCAAATTTAGGTAGAAAGTAAATAAATATATAGTCAATATACCTTAAAATATTTTAAATATATAATATAAATTAGCTGATAATATTGTGGGTTTCCCTAAAAAATATTATTATTTATACAAAATATTATATTTATTTATTTATACATGACTTTTGGCTATCAAGTGATCTCAATAAAACCTTAAATTTTTGTATCCTAGGGAATTTCAATCGATATTAATCGATGTACATAGTTTTGTGGGCTTAATATAATTTAAAACAAGAAAGAAAGCTAACTTTGGCCAGCCAAAGTTTGTATACCCTTGCAGGTAACAATTAAAATATTTCATAACTAAGCCAAAAATGCATTCATTTCGATTCGGAAAGCAGTTTTGTGTTAGTTTCTATTAATTTAAAAAAACTGCATACCAAATTTTAAATTTTAAGAAATCAAATTTTTTGGCCATTTTTGCTAATTTTAATGATGTAACCCCTTATCAAATTTCGCAAAAATGGCCAAAAAATCGATTTCTTCCGGACATGTCTAGAAAGATTCGCCTGTTGATGCTGATCAAGAATATATATACTTTATAGGGTCGGAAGCGTCTCCTTCACTGCGTTGCAAACTTCTGACTGAAATTATAATACCCTGCAAGGGTATAAAAATGTATAAGAGCTCCGAGAAAACAATAAAGTCAAATCCAAAAGTGTTTCTATGTTAGTTTTCATAAATATATATATTTAAATATATATAATTTTCTGTGACTTTTGTTAGTTTAAAAAATTTGTTTAAAATTAAAAAAAAAAACGCAATATTTTATTTTTATATAATTAAGACTTTAAGTGTCAGTCTAAATATATATATGACTTTGGGTTATCATTAACTTTACACCCGTCAGATGCCTACAAAAACAAAATATTTATTGATATTTTAATACAATTATTTTCATAGCAATTAGATGTTCAAAAAATATTTAACGAAGCTTAGAAATATTAATATATTATAATATTATTAATATTTATTTGTAAAGCTTTCCTTTATATTTCGCCATATTAATAAGTTTTAATAACTGCTTAGCAGCAAGCTTAAGGTATTAAATCTCAAGCATATAGGTTTATATGACGCCTAATCCTGCTTTAAAATAAATGTATTAAACTGATTTTTCCTTTCTAAAATATTATTAATTCAATCAATCGTAAGGGTTTTCAGGTTTAAATCAAAAATACTCATCATTCATAATTCTTCCCATTGAAAACACTCACATATTCATGTACTCATTTTTCTTTAATAATTTTCTTCTTTTTTTTTTTGACTTAGATCCTTTGACCCTCAAAAGGAAGGACCTGGCTTAACGGTATTAACAAGGAACAGTTGGAATTTCCGTGCTTCAGCTTAGGCAACGGGTATATGGGCACCGGAGGGCTGGAAACCGTTCTCGTCAGCGACGTACTTGACCTCGTAGGTGACGCCATCATCACCAACGTAGCTGTAAAAGCCATGGACGGCGAGGGACTCATGGTCGGATCCAATGTTGTTCAGCTGTCCCTCGGCGTTGGCAGCCACACCATCGCTAGTCTCGAAGCTGATAAGGAAGTGGAAAGTCAGTTGTTTATCCTTGCTGGATCAGTTCTCAGTTTACTTACCCGTATTTGAAGTTCTCAGGTCCAACATCGGAATCCTGACGGATGATCTCAGTATCAGGAGAGGCCAGAGCCACGGCGAAGAGGGCAACGAAGACGATCAGGAACTTCATGGTGAGTTAAGGTTGCTGTTTTGATCTGCGGATCTCAAACGAATGATGCTCTCCAAAGGCTTGGTCTCCTTTATATTGGAGGGATGCTCAAACTATCGCGAAATTAATGCAAATGCATCGCGAAATTAATGCAAAACTAGTCGAAGCATAATGCGAAATAAGGTGATTTTGGTTTCAGGCTAAAGCTGGAAATGCAAATTAATATCGATCGCATTTGCAAAAAAATGTTTATCTATTTTTTTGCAAAATGACTTTGCATTAAATCCATAGATATTTATTTTGTAGTAGAACTAGAAATTATCTTTGCAGCTGATAACATCTAGAAAAATTTGTTAATTATGTTTGAAATCAAGTATTAAATTAGAATTACATTTAAAGTTATTCCAGTCTCTTATAATAATATTTAAAAATCAATAAATCAATAACTCATTGATGAATAAATTGCGTTGAAGCCATAAATTTAATTCACAAGCCTCGGCACGAGTTCAATAATCCGAAACGTACTTTTGTTTATTTATTTATTTATTTAATTTCTGGTTGCAGAGTAATTGTAAATTACTACTAATTATAATGGCAATGTAAATTTATTTATGAACTTCTAACTCAATTGAAATACATCCTTTGTGGATTCCGTTCTAGCTTTTAGCTAATTTCTAACCCCCCGAATGTGAGACTATAATTTTATAATAACATTTATTGTTTGCTTAGCGGGAGGTATTTTTACATATAGAATTAATTATACATTGCAAATTCTTTTTAATCGAGATTATAAGCTACTATAGTAAGTATATCTTAGGGAACTAGTAATAGGAAATGTTCAGTTTGAGAATATTTTATAATTTCCTACAGAAATATTATTTATCAAGGGTAATAGAATGTTTACTTTACTTTAGAACGAATAAAATTATAGAATTAATACTATATTTTATAATATATAAGAAGACGCTTCATCTAAAATTGTATTAATAAATCTTTCTTTAGTTTAATTATTATTTAATTTAATTTTTTAAAATTAATTTCTCGTTTAAGCCCTTAGAAAATTATTAAGGTTTCTACTTGTGGCTGTAGACTTGTATATAAAATATTCATTTAATCTCTCAATATTTTATACTTCTACCAATAAAACAAATTATATTTTATATACTAATTTGATCTTTAATGTTCAACACTATTTGTTTGATTTTTTCATGACTTAGATTCTTATTTTCTCAGAAAGGAGGAATAACCAGGAACTGATACAGCTTAGGCCACGGGGGCAACGGGCAGATGGGCTCCCTGAGGCTGGAATCCATTCTCATCGGCCACATAGGTGACGGTATAGGTGACACCATCGTCACCCACAAAGGAGTATGAACCATGGACGGCAAGGGCCTCCTGCTCGGTGCCAATGTTCTTCAGCTGTCCGGCAGCATCGGCCTTCTGGCCATCGCTGGTCTCAAAGCTGAGAAAGAGTAGTAGTAAGATTGTAATGTAAGCTTGAAGTACCTTCTTCTTGAGTTAATTCCCCTGCAACTCACTTGTAATTGTAGCTCTCGGGTCCAACATCGGAGTTCTGGGCCAGGATCTGGGCCTCGCCGGCGGTAGAGCGAGGAGGAGCGGCCAGGACCAGGGCGAATAGGGCAACGAAGACGATCAGGAACTTCATGGTGACTTGTGGTAGTGTGCTGATCTCGAGGATTTAGCTGCAAATGATGTCGGTTGACAGTTGGATAAACTCTTTTATATGTTGGTGAGGTGATGGTGTGAAATTGGGTTTGGTCTTGGTTTAACTCACCTTCAGTGTGTCTGTCGATTATGCTGTTAATTAAATTAAATTTAAATTGAATTAACTGCGGCATTTACACACAGCCCCATTTAGCAAGTTATTTTTATGGCCGGAGCAGGTTATGTATTTTTCCAGCTTTTTGCAGAGCTTGGAACTCAAACATTGAGTAATGTTTAGGTAATAGTTAGTTTGATTGATTGAATTGGAGTCTAGATAAAGATCAATGAACTATATAGGTTATTTTATTTTGTTTATGTTTTATTAAGAGAAAAAGCTTTGAAAATCAAGAAGGTTTTTAGTAATTTATAAATATTTTCTCATGTTATTAATTATATATTTCTTTTAAATGAATTTTCCTGAAATGTAAACATAAACTACAATACTTTTAATTATTTTTTGTAAATTTTAAACTATGAGCTTAAATGGAATTTAATTTTCTTTAATTATATAAATATTTTTTCAATAAAAGAAACCTATTTAAAACATTATTGTTTATAATTACTTCACCAAAAAATATACAATTAATATTTCTTATATAATTTTCCACATTTCTGCCTTAAATATACATTTAAACTTTATTAATTTGCTTGTAAAAAATATAAAATTTTAACTTACTAAGTAAATAAATAAAAAATAATGCTTATGGTGTCTTAAGAATTTTTAAATAATTTTCTGAGTCTTTAAAAAACTTTAAACAATTGTATAAAAAACACTCTTCCCTTTTTAGAACCGGAAATGACCGCTAGAAAATAAGGAAAACATTATATTTTATTTATTTTCTGTTTCTTTAAGCACTTCTGCCGTTTAATAATAGATATGTAAATCGGGGCAGACATTAGTAAAGTGTGTTCAACCCACAATTGGGCATTTTGGGCATGGCAGCAACTACGTCAGCAGCGATCGGCTTAGTGAAAAACTAGTTTGATCAGTGTCGCCTTTTATTCCATGCATATATTAATATAGTGTGTTGTTGTTGTTGGGGGGGCATCTTCCAAATTTCATTAGCATCGCATGAAATTTAAATCAACGCCTGAAATTAACCTTCAAAAAAAAAACTTTGATTTTCGGATCGCATCGCTCTCGCACATATTTCACTATGCGCGCCCGCCACTCTTTAATTATGTATTAATTACAACAAAGCCAACAAAAACGCAAACAAGTTTCAACGTGCCAAAAATTTGCAAATTTCTGCCGTCCCCGAAGGCCATCCGGGGCGAAACGAGACATACAGCATTGCGACGTCCAACGGTGCGTATGCGCGATATGGCTGTGTAGAGAGAACTTGGACTCTTGAATGCGAAGCGAAGCCTGTTCTTTTGTTGTGTCACATACTTTTCTTTTCATTTCGCCCCCTAATAAACAAGTTATGTATATATATGTGTGGCCCTACTACTATAAATACCTTTGTTAGCAAGTGATCCGGGTTCAAGGAACCAACTTACTTTCGTCAAAGACTTTCTAGAAAAAAATATTATAGGAATATTTTCATATATTCCTTCTAAGAAAATGTAAATTCCATTTACTTGACTTGATTTAATTATTATATTTAAGAGGAAACATGATCTGAGGGTTAGTACATTGATTTATATTTTACAAAATGAACAAATACTGATTAATACTGGGCTCTAAGGGCTCTTGGGTCTTAGTTGTGGGGCAGATGATCACCCTGAGGCTGGAAACCATTCTCATCGGCAATGTAGTGCAGGGTGTAGGTCTGGCCATCGGGTGCCACCCAGCTGACGGAGCCGCGAACACTGAGAGCCTCCTGTTCGGTGCCAGCGTTCTTGAGCTCGGCCTGCTCCTGGCGGGTGATGCCATCACTGGTTTCGTAACTAAAACGATAAAGAAAAGAGTTTATTGTTAGAAAGGGATATTTCTGTAAAAGTTATTTTATAAAATATGGTTTATATAAAATGTTTAGTAATTAAATTTATTTAATTATATATTAATTAAGTATTTAATTTATTTATCATTAATTAATTTTTAGGTTTGTAGTTCTCAGGCTATATATACTCTGCGATTTAAGCAGTTTCCTGCACTTAAACATATAGTAATATAATTTTAAATACTTTTTTTAAAGAATTTTACTTTAAAATTATATTCCAGAATTTTAAAATATTTTTCTTTTAATTTATAAAAATGTGAATAAAATGTTGAATAATAAAGTGTATTTAATTGTATTTTATTTTATTATTTTATTAATTTATTATTAATTTATTTTGGGTTTTTATGTCTCAGGGTATATTTACTCTGATATTTAAGCAGTTTCCTTTTTCTCAAAAATCTAGAAATAATTTTAAACCCATTTTTTAAGAATTTTACTTTAAAATTATATTCCAGAAATGCTTAAATATTTTATTTAAATTTATAAAAAAATTTTAATAATATGTTTCTCTTTTTTTTTTTAATTTATAAAATGTTCCATAATTTGTTTATCTTTTTTTTAATTTATAAAAATCATCAATAATTTGTTTCCCTTTTTTTTTAATTTTAAAAAATGTTCCTTAATTTGTTACTATATTTATTACCCTTTTTTCCCCAACTTTTCACTCACCCAAAGTTATAGCCATCAGTTCCAATGTTGTCATTGTCATAACGCAAAATCGTGGCATGTTGCGAGTCATCCAAAGGAGCAGCACTGAGGGAGGAAATCAGGACAAAGGCACACACGGCCAGGACACAGAGGCTGGAGGACTGCATTTTGTGTATTTATATTTAATTTTTAAACTTCCTTTGAGGGGGATATTTTCGGCTTGGCACTAAACGCTCCGGTAGTTATCACAATTAGGCACTAACTCGATATGTGGCGCCCTGCAATGAGTGCTGAGCTATTTATAACTGGCCAGGCCTAAGCACACACACACTAAGACTTCGGCCAGCGAACCATAACAAACACCTTAAATGCTCACACAATTGTCCCACCCATACGCAGGTAATTGAAGGCAAATGCGTGTGAGCCGAGTGTGTTAAGCTTTTAATTGAACAAGCCAAAAAAATACAAAAAAATACAATAAAAAAGAAATATAGCTGAAGACCATTAAGCGTTTGATGTGCGACTCATCTCATCTCAATTGCCTCGCCACGGGAGCTGAAAGTAAAATCTGAGCTCAAGATGATGGGCCAAGTGATAATGAAATGTGTGTTTGGGCCTCTTGGCAAATAAATATTTGGCCAATGCGCGTGTTTGGGCTATAAGTACACAGACACACAATCACAATACTGTAGGCACCACACATACCATATATTTGGATCTGTGGCAATAGGTCAATGGCTATGGCTCTGGCTCTGGCTCTGACTGTGTTTGCACTTGCCAACAATTTGTGATGGCAGCCAAGATTGGCCATAAAGTGCCCAAAAGAGCTTCCTCACTGCCCAACAAGTTAACTACTAACGAAAGGTGTTCAGGAAGTGGCAAGAACTGGTGGTAAAGTGGAAGTTCTAGCCAGCAAAGGTTATAATTGGTCATTAAATATGGTCTTTTATTTTTTGTTTAATATTAAATAGGTTTTAGAGATGGATAAAAAGTAGCTTTATCCATGTTTTCTTAAAGAAATATTTTTATTTATATATTTAAAGTTATTTTCATATAAATAAATTCACCTGAAACTCTGGGTTTCTTCTAGAAAATAACCTTTAAAACTTTACTCGTTCTTCTGCTTAACTTCAACACATTTCCTCTAGTTTTTAGATACTTATATTAACTTTATTTTAATTTAATTTCTGTTTTTTAAATTTGGTATTTCCTCGATGAGTAATTTTGTACTTATCTTGCAACTTGTCCAGCATTTCCGCCTGCTGACACAATTTCCGATTAAGGCTGGGCGATTTAACCTCCAAAAGTCTTGTATCGAATCTGAAAACGCAAACCTCCACAGCTCTCCATGTGCGCTTGTCAGCTGCATTTGCTGTTCAAGTGAAGATGAGATGCTGGGGCTCAGCACGAGAGATTCAAGATTACGCGGCTCATCATCGTCTCCACATTAACCCATCCACGGAGCTCATCGTCAGCGGTTCGAGTGCTTGTTGATGACCTTAGTCAATAAAATAAAAACGATTTTTTACCACCAACAGCAACCTAAGCAGCCGAAGCGGCAGTGGCGGCAGCGAGACAACAAAAGCCAAAGCCAAGCTCCAAGCAGCTCAGTCAGGCCGAGCTATGCTATGCCCTACAATGCCTCGGCGGGCAATGGGGCGTATGCGTAATGCCATTGCAGGTCATTTGCCGGGCTAAAGCAGCATAAATCATTCCATAAGCTGTAAATAAGATGCACGGGAAATAAAACTATAAAATGTAAGGTATATTTTATGAATAGGTAAATAATCTAGAATATTTCTTGAGACCTTTAGTTTGAAAAATATTTTATTTCATATTTTCTCAGGATTTTAGATTAAAGTCTAAGTAAAAAATCACTTCTAAGAAAATTTTTCTATCTTTTAACTATATCTTAGCTTTAAATATAATTTTATTTTATTTTTCTATAAATTTTTAAGTTCAGTTTTAACATTTTTCTTTTTAATTTAAGAACCTAAAACCATTTAACTTTTTATTTATCATTAAAACCCATTAAAAAATCTTAAAAATGTAATTATTTTCTTTATTTACTACTTTTTTTAAGTGTTATAAATAATTAATAATTAAAACCAACTCTTAACAGCTTAAAATTTAAATAATACATCAGTTTTTAGAGATATAAATGCAGAAAAATTCACAAAACTACCTAACAAATAATATTTAAAATCTCTTTAACATAATTTCGTTTAATAACCAATAATAACTTATTTTTCCCAGTGCTTTGTGACATGTCTAGGCTAAGACAGGACCGATTATTTGGCACTTTGCGATTGATAAATGACAGAAGCTCGGGTTAATTGCCCGAAAAAAATGCCCTTTTCCCCCGAAGTTCTCACTTTCGTTGCCAGCATGTTGGTGAGCTTCTTTAATTGTTGTTTGGTTTCTTTATATTTCCTTTTCTGTATTTTTTTTTTTTGGCAACCTTTGTTTGGGATGCTTTTCGGCGTTTATTGAACCGGTTTGGCCGGGTAGCCAGCTCCCGCGGATCGCAGATAGCGTACACCGGAGATTGGAGATCGAAGATCGCTGCTACTCGGTTACGGCATCTCCAGAGCAAACGGGTTTTGGGCTGGAGATGAGATACAAATGTATATGCTAATTCCCCGCCTAGAATACAATTCAATTTCGATGGGTGAAAATTTATGCCCATATATATGTCTTTATGGCTGTATATATCCATATGTGTCTATATATTTTATTATTATGTATTTAACTTCTATTGTCTACTGTCTGCTATTTGGTGGTTTCGCTTTTTGTATACTTATATTTTAGCAAAGTCCAAAGCTATCACGTGATCAGTGCTCTGCCTGCGGCAGATGATCGCCCTGGGCCTGGAAGCCATTCTCGTCGGCCAGGTAGTTAAGCTTATAGTGTACGCCATCGGGTCCCACCCAGTCGACGCTGCCCTGAACGGAGATGGCCTCCTCGGGGGTTCCCGGGTTCTTCAGCGTGGCCGATTCCTCGCGCGAGATGCCGTCGCTGGTCTCGAATCTGCCGGAGAAATTAATCAATTGGAATTGGTATAAAGAAAATGAAATATATCCATTATGACCTTGACCCTGAGACGCCTACACAGTGACAAATAAAGCTCAAAGCTTGAATTTAAAGTTATGGTAACATGAAATTTATCACATCGTTTTCTTGTGATAATTTAGAGACTTTAAAGGTCATTAACATTTGTAGTACTTACGAGAAGGCGTAGCCATCGCTGTTTGTGTTGGCATTCTCATATCTCAATATCTGGGCGGAATCGGTGGCGATGGCATTACTATAATCCAGGCAGCAGCTGACCAGGATCAGGATCAATATTAATCCGGCAGCCATCTATCAGCGATTCGCGCTAGCGACTAACTCCGATTGCGCAAAGGCCATGCAATATATCCGTACTCTGGCTAATTAACCGCCAAAATTTGTGTAATAAAATCCAAATGAATATGTCCAAATGACTTCGAGCGGCAGCCAGGCAGCCGACAAGCAGGCAAATCAAGTCCAAATGAAATTGAAAGCAAAGCGAAGACTCTACGAAAAAGTTCAAATGGTGTTGCCTTAACCCTCTAAAATCATCGCAGACGCAGACCTTTAGGCGCTGATTGACATCGAACGAAAAAAAATATATATAAATGATGAAGGTTCAAGCTACATTATGAGTTTGGAACATGTACAGAAAATTATGATTGTATATGGAGAGGAAAATTTGGATATGATAGATAGAAATCTCTAATATATCAGTAATGTTTTTAAAGTTTTATTCAGAGTAATTTGGAATATATTAAGAGATGCAATACTTTTAGGTAGGGTAATATATCGATTCTATAATATTCTAAAAATTTTTTTATCGTAATTTGTAATATATTAAGAGATGTCTTAAGTAGCGTTAGGTAGGGTTATATATGGAGAGGTTCCTATATATTTATAATATCTATATATAAGTGTCTTTCTCTATAATACAAGATATCGTAAGGTTTTTATGTTTTTTTCAAAATTTAAAATGATTAAATATTAAATGAAAAATTTTGTCAAAAAAGCTATAACAAAAATGATTACATTTTATTTTAAAAATCTATTTTAGAGAATTTCTTTAAAACGAAAAAATTTGACGGACATCGCAAAAGAAAATATAGATTTATGGCAAATATGATTGAATTAAATATTAATCGATTAATTGCTATTTTCTGTCATCTATTAACTCGATAAAAATTATAATAAAAGAGCATTTAATATTGTAAAACAAAAATAGGAAGACGAAGCATTCGATTATCAATTCACCCTGCTTATTTTAATTTTTATAAATTTATTAACTATGAGAATATAATATTCTTTGTTGTACTCTTTAAATTATTATTTGTTTCTTATTAAATACCATTAAAAATAATTATAAAAATATGCTGATAAATATTTTATTTATTATTCTAAATATTTTCCTGTATCTATGTTTTTTTTCTCAAACCCAAATAATATTTTAAAATTACAAAAAAATAAGAACAATAGATAAACCAACAAAAATCTCTCATAAACCTGACCTTCCCTGAATTATAATAAATCCGTGCAATCTATGTAATCTCCATTAATATTCCTCTTCTATTAACACCTTTCTTGACATTGAAATGTGAAATGGCAACACTCTTTTTTTTTATTGGGTCCAACAATCATCGGCCCACAAAGCTGACCCAATTCCCCATTTTATTGACTATTTCTTTGGGTTTCTTTTGGAAGCTAACGCAACTCATTGCTGGGCTGGGCGCACTTTGCAGTTAATTTGTTCGAGACAAATGAAGTGTGTGTACCAACGAGAGTTTCTTGTCGCTGGCAATCAATCAATCGCAAAACGGCGAACCTCCCTCCTTCCAGCCAGCATTCAGCATTCAGCAGCATCCAGCGACTGGTTAGGTAACCGGGCAAGCAGTGTGGGTCAAAGGAAACCCAGCGCGAAACCAGTTTCTCTGGCTCCCACTCTTTTTATTTACTTACTTTTTTTTGTTTTCTTATTCGACAGTGGTTTCTTTTGCACCGGTAATTGCCGGCAATTGACTTACACGCCCTGCATTGTGCGCCGAAAGGAGTATAAATGGGACACTCGTCGAGGTAGCAGCAAGCATTACCTGCCAGCTCCTCCAGCTCAAAACACTTGAGTCAGTTCCCAAAAGAGAATCCAACATGAAGTTCGCCGCCGTTATCGTCCTTTCCTGCCTGCTTGCCAGCGTCCTGGCTGCTCCTCCAGCCTCGGATGCCCAGGTGCTGCGCTTCGACAGCGACGTCCAGCCCGAGGGCTACAAGTTTGCGTAAGTCTCTACTCCGACTCCACCTCCAACCGAACTGTGTCAAGGCTAGCTCTTTTGCTTCTCCGCAGCGTGGAGACCAGCGACGGCAAGTCGCACCAGGAGGAGGGCCAGCTGAAGGACGTGGGCACTGACCACGAGGCCCTTGTGGTGCGCGGCTCCTATGCCTATGTCGGTGACGATGGCCAGACCTACACCATCAACTACCTGGCCGATGAGAATGGCTTCCAGCCGGAGGGCGCCCATCTGCCCAGGGCCGTCCAATAAGGCCGAGAATCCTTGTCAGTCACTCACAGCCATCTCTAGTTACAGTCCAGCATAAATGTGTTAACTATGTTTAAGTTTCACCTCGAAAAAAAACGTAATATTAAAGAAACATTCATTCATACAGTAAGCGAACTCTTTGTTTTAATTGGAAAATTGTTTAAAGGGGAGCGAAAATGATTATAAATCTGGGAAATAATTACAAAATATAAATAATTATAATTGCAACTAAATAGGTAAATTTATTAATATGAATTTTCAGAGTTTCTTATTGGGAAAACATTTTTTATGGGCGTACCTTATATTTGTTTAACATTTTTAAAATGCAATTCTCTGGTTATTAAGTATTTAAAATCATAGTTTTTGGATTGTTTTAATAGCTTAATAATTTATTTAATTTTAGGTCAGCTAAATTTTACATATTCCTACATTTTGTGGTTTGATTTTCCTAAAAATATTTATAAAATAATAAAATAAGATTAATAAATAATTTAACCATTTTTAATGTGGAGTCTAAAAAAAGAGTTAATTTATTTATAATTATTTTATGAACAGCTCACAATTAAATATCTATAAAAATGTGAATTAATAAGGTTAGATATCAATTATTGTATTTTATAATTTAATTTGTTTAAATATATTTAAGAAATTTTCTGTAAAATAAATACCCGTTCTGGTTGGGCATAATTTTTGTTAAGCAAAATATTTTTGGATTTTTCTATTAGGCTAACAAGGGATACCAAAGTTTCTTTTGGGGAAAAAACCTTTACATAATATAATATAAGTCCGAAATAAAATATAGTAATATTAATTGTAATAAATTTGATTAGGAATTTATTTTCCTTGAGTTATTACGATTTTCTTCCCATTTATTCTAAGGGCTAAGCGAAATGTCTAAAGATCTCTGTACTGTATAAATTATGTTATAATTTAATAAATAACTAATTCAATTATTTATTTATTAGTTTTAACGGAAATTCATATAAAATTATATCTTTTTTAGTACCAACTCCTCCTCCGCTTCCAACTGAACCCAAAATCTTTGGCTTGGATGCTGCTGTTGCTGCAGGGCACCTAAACCGAGGGCCCCCCCTCCACTCCGCAGAGCCAACAAAAAATATAAATATGAATATATAGCTCTATGGATTATCAAAAAATGTTTTGGGGCTCGTTGTCTTTGACTTGGAAGCGATTGGATTGATTGATTCACGAAAAATGCAAATGATGATGATGAGGTGTATTTCCTAAAAACGGCGTCGATTTGTTTGCCTTAGAAGTTTTTGTTTTACGCTATTATTGGTGCCTTGGTTGTGGTTGTTTTTGGTTTTTTCATCGCGTTTTTCAAGCCAATTTGTTGGCTCGGCGTGTAATTAGTCATTTTTATTTTCGACTAACTTTTCTTCGATTGATGGTCGCGGATGCGACTATATAAACGCCTGGACGTGGCCACAGACATCACAAATCAAGTAACGTTGACTAGCCGTTCGGTCGCAGGTTCCCCATCGAATTCCCCAATAAAAAACTCCAAATTAATTCAGCCATGAAGTGCGCCATTGTCCTCGTCTTCGCCGCCCTCTTCGCCGTTGTCCTGGCTGCCCCCGCTCCCGATGCGGAGGCCCAGATCCTGCGCCTGGAGTCCGATGTTCAGCCCGAGGGCTACAACTTTGCGTAAGTATCGAAATGTTCCAGCAGCTCTCAAGGATTAAGCTAATAGAAATGGCTCCAAAAAAGTGATATTTGTGATGTTTTCCAAAGACTATTGAAAAGATTGTGTTGAAAACTGTAATCAAGGATGTGCCAAAGCAATGCTTATAAGAATTTGTATTTGAAATCAAATTAATAGTTAAAAATGTGTTAGAATATATATCAATATTCCTAATCCAAAATCAAATTCCCCCTTTCACACAGTCTGGAGACCAGCGATGGCAAGAAGCACGAGGAGCAGGGACAGCTGAAGGATGTGGGCACTGAGCACGAGGCCATCGTTGTCCGCGGCTCCTACTCCTTTGTGGCCGATGATGGCCAGACCTACACCGTCAACTATGTGGCCGATGAGAATGGATTCCAGCCCGAGGGCGCCCATCTGCCCAATGTGCCCATCAGCAACTAAAGCGGATGTGCTAACCGAGAGCTGTTCTATTCTATAATGGTTTCTAGTTGATTATTAAATAAACGCGGCAAGAAAATCGAAACAAACTTGGATTATTTATTATTCATTTAGGGGGATATCACAAAAGGCTTTTATATTTATTTTTAAATAGCATATATTGCATACTTTTATTACATTTTTTATATCAAATTTTCACTTAGCTTGCATTGTAAAGTTAACCAAGAAAGTAACTTAAAGAATTACATTTATGGCTAACACATTTTTATCAAAGATTTAAACTGGGATAAGCCATAATTTCATATCTAAAAAGTTTGCTAAAATTAATGCTATATTAAATAATATTTATATTAATATTCTAGACAAAATCAATGAATATTTATGGATTTCCTATACTTCTAATGTTTTTTATTAGCATTATTTATTATAAATTATTAGCAGTGACCTATTTTTTTAATTTGATAATAATTTTCATATTTTTTTAAGGGTTTCTATTAACATTATTATTATATTATTTTAGCAGCGACCTATTTTATGATTTATTTTTGGTTTTCCCATATTTCTAAGGTTCTCTATTAGCATTATTATTATATTTTTTAAGCAGCGACCTATTTTTTGACATGATTTTTTATTTACATATTTTTCTAAGGGTCTCTATTAACATTATTATTATATTTTCCTTATCGTACTTTATCGCACTACCATTTTTTTAATATTAAATAAGTTTAAGTCTATTTTCTGGAGCTTAAATATATAACTAAAAGATATGCTTCCTTGACGTAAATTAATATTATTTTTTAATGTTTTTATTCCAAATGTATTTTAAGTAAGAAATGTTTTTTTTTTTTTTTTAATCTTGTACGTCTTTTTTCACTACAAGTAATATATCCCTTTTCAATTAGTCTTACCTGTGAATATCCAAAATAAAATTCCAAAACAAATGCAGTACAAAAACAAGAAAGAAAGCTAACTTTGGCCAGCCAAAGTTTGTATACCTTTGCAGGTGACAATTAAAATATATCATAAATAAGCCAAAAATGCATTAATTTCGATTCGGAAAGCAGTTTTGTGTTAGCTTTTATTAATTTAAAAAAACTGCATACCAAATTTAAAATTTTAAGAAATCAAAAATTTTGGCCATTTTTGCTAATTTTAATGATGTAACCCCTTATCAAATTTCGCAAAAATGGCCAAAAAAACGATTTCTTCCGGACATGTCTAGAAAGATTCCCCAGTTTATGCTGATCAAGAATATATATGGTTTATGGGGTCGGAAATGATTCCTTGACTTGGAAAAATATTATTTTGTATTATAAAATCGGATTTTTTATATTAAAAAACTTCTTGATTTATTTTAAATTAAAAATATCATAACTCGGCCAAAAGAACATTAATTTTAAATCGGAAAACTGTTCTGTGCAAGATTTTCTACAGTTAATAAATCTGCATACTTCATTTAAAAATTTTGAAAATTCAATTTTTTATCAAAATCAAAAATTTTAATGATGTAACCCCTTATAAAATTTTGCAAAAATGGCCAAAAAATCGATTTCTTCCTGACATATCTAGAAAGACTGCCCTGTTGATGCTGATCAAGAATATATATGGTTTATAGGGTCGGAAACGTCTCCTTCACTGCGTTGCAAACTTCTGACTGAAATTATAATACCCTGCAAGGGTATAATAAAAGTTGGGTCTATAAATCTTAATGTTTTACTATCTTAAGAATTATATCAAGCCAGCAAAAGATTTATTAAGATATTTATGAAAGCTAAATGCAGGTATTTAACACGTTATTTCAGTTTAATTTCTTCATGATTCAATACAATTAGCAGCTTAATTATTATAAATAATTAAAAAAAATAATAATAGTTCTACTGAACACCATTAACTTCATAAAATGTCTTGTTTAAAACTAATGGAAATCAAATAACTAAATCAATAAATAATTCATGAGAGTAAGTACTTAAAGCTTACAAAAGAAATGCTTAGAAATTTCTAAAAAAGAAAATAAACATTAAAAGGCTTTCCTCACCAGTTTTTCAATTCAACATAAAATCGTTAAGGAAATATAAAACACCTTTTTGGTAATTAAATGATATAACATGTGCGCGAATAAAGAAATAAAAACGTTTTTTTTTATTTCAAGCATGCAAAAGCGTCGTCTTGTGCAGCATTTATTTGAATGTTGAATGGGTAATGTGTGTGAATGTGTTAAATGAAACGATTTGATTTGAATTCGTCCGATGATTTTGGCTCTCGAAAGATCAGCGACCGGTGGTGGGTCCCCCGTCGCATCTCATCCCAGATGCAGCTCATCGGGGCTCAGGTTTTGCGGCGACAATAGTTTGACGCGCCAGTCCAGTTTGACCGGAAACAATGCTGAAATAACGATGCGCTCATCTACAGATCTACATAAATATTAGCAGAACTCATTTGTATGAATCCGTGCCACCTTTGACTTTTGCAATTCGCAAAATTCGCGAATTGAGCGATTTTAGCGAATTTTGCAAACTTTCGGCGCGTATAAAAGTCCCCGCCCAACTGCAGTGGAGCATCAGACAGTTCCCAGCTCTCTAACCAGCTCCACCATGAAGTTCCTCATCGTCTTTGTCGCCCTCTTCGCCATGGCCGTGGCCTTCCCTAGCGACTCCCAGATCGTTCGCCTGGACTCCGATGTTGGACCAGAGAAGTGGAGCTCCAACCTGGAGACCAGCGATGGAACCAGCATTAACCAGGATGGTGTCCTCAAGGATGTTGGCACCGAGCACGAGGCCGCCGTTGTCCACGGCTCCTTCTCCTGGGTTGATGAGAAGACCGGCGAGAAGTTCACCGTCACCTATGTGGCCGATGAGAACGGATACCAGCCCCAGGGCGCCCATCTGCCCGTGGCCCCAGTTGCTTAAATCAACTGTACGATCCTTGCGAGAAATTTGTTCATTCAGAGACTAAAATAAAATGATTGTTAATTGCAAATAACATGGCACTGAGTTTTTTAATTTTCTGCATCAAAAAAAAGGATATATCCTGTGTGGAATGCTAATGATGTTTGCTGGAAAATATAGGTATTTCTCTAGGGAGAAATAGCTGCTATTGGGATTAATTTTTATTACGCTTCTCTAAGAAGAAAAACCTTGCCATAAAAGCCAGTTGTGGCACCATCAAGTCAATAATTGAAATTAATTAATAATTTAATTTATATATATTTTTATTTATAAAAAAAACTTTGTTTCGAAGAGTTGAAAATGCTTTAAGCTTCTCTTGCCACGATTTCGGCATGCTCTTTTAGCCTGCGATTATTGGATATATTAAGAAATATAGTTTTATTCTTATAAATAATATAAAATATACAAAATTCTACACAGCAATATAGATATTATTACTTTGCTAAATTATAACATTTACCTTAGATTTATGTTTAGAGATTTTATTGTTCACACATGATCTTGATATTCAGAAATTGCTAGCAATTATTTTAAACTTCAAATTCAACTTTAAGCTATAGTGTTAAATATTTTTACAATTATAAATATTCTGGATCTTATTGCAGCCCTAATATATTCCATAAATATATTTGTAATATTTTAATATGTTTTAATAAGATTTAATTTCAATTTAAATAAATGTGGATAGGCTATTTTCTAACTTATGACTATTTTAAAATAAGGAAAAAATTTTTAATTTATATATAATTTATTTTAATAAATTAATTAAAATATGTTCTATTACATGGACTTAAATAAATATATTTTATTTTATTTATGGGACTTTTAATAAATTATAGTTGTAAAACCTAAAGCTAAATTGTTTTTTTCGTTAAATAAAATATGAATAATGATTATAAATATTTTCGTATAATGTCTTAAACATCATAAATTTAAAAAAAATAATAATAAATCAAAATCCTGAATATTATATACAAATAAATATAATTAAAGTTATTTTAGTCTATAAAAATTATTTAAAATATTCTTATGTAAATAAAGTAAAATAAAAAGCATCTAATAAATAAATATTTTCTAATTAATTATAAAAAATAAATATCTAAGCTATATGTGCTTTAAAGCATCTTTTAATTTCCAACAAATAAATAAAAATAACTCTCCAATTAGAGTATCCAACAATCTTGCATTCATTTAGACGCATTTATCTAAGCTTCGACATGACTTAAATGTGCACAACTTAAAATGCAAAACATGGGCTTGATCTTGGCCTTAGCCGCTCGCTGTTACCATGGCGGATGCACTGGCCCAGCTGGTTCGGCGACAATAGTGCGGATCCGACTTAGCTGCTGCCGCCTTTGGGTTTTGTGGTGCAGCCGCCGCTTTAGTTTCCAGTTAAACCGGAACAAATGCAAATAGATTGGCATAATTTTGGCGAATTTTGACAAATTTTGTTGCCGAATTTTTGCGAATTTGTGCGAATTTTCGGCAATTTGTGGCCAATTCACTCAATGCTACCTCACCTCTGACTTTTGCATTGTGCAAAGCGCGTATAAAAGTCCCCGCCCAACTGCAGTGGAGCATCAGACAGTTCCCAGCTCTCTAACCAGCTCCACCATGAAGTTCCTCATCGTCTTTGTCGCCCTCTTCGCCATGGCCGTGGCCTTCCCCAGCGACTCCCAGATCCTCCGCCAGGACTCCGATGTTGGACCAGAGAAGTGGAGCTCCACCCTGGAGACCAGCGATGGAACCAGCATCAACTATGATGGTGTTGTCAAGAATATCGGCTCAGAGCACGAGGCCGCCGTTGTCCACGGCTCCTACTCCTGGGTTGATGAGAAGACCGGCGAGAAGTTCACCGTCACCTATGTGGCCGATGAGAACGGATTCCAGCCCTCGGGCGCCCATCTGCCCGTGGCCCCAGTTGCTTAAATCACAACTGTCGATCCTTGCTAGAAATTTGTTCATTCAGAGACTAAAATAAAATGATTGTTAATTGCAAATAACTTGGCACTGAGTTTTTGAAGTTTTTGCATACAAAGGGATACATTGTACCAAGGAGTTTCTCAGAACGGACTTCGATGTCCTGGCCTACAAGATCTGGAAACTAGCAACTGAACCAGCATCAACCTGGATGTGGGAACCAACCACGAGGCCCCCATGGTTAAAGATCCTTCTCGTGGGTTGATAAGACCTTTGAGAAACTCACCGTCTCCTGTTTGGCCCACAAAAACAGTTGCTTAAACTTTCTTTGTCTTTCTGATAATTTCAGAGAATTGCCTTTATCATCACAACCGAAAGTCTCTTATAATCTCGACAAGGATTTACCTATCCTTTCTATACCTTCCTTTCCTATCGCCTTTTCTATGTTGTATACACTATAATCCCTTTCTGGTTATAAAAATTCCATTTGTGGCTTCCTTGCATTTCTTTTTCTCTTTTTATATAGCCATAAATATATAACCAATCTTTTCATTTTTCCTAAAATCCGAAAATAACAGCTATAAGCATATATTTATACCCTTGCAGGGTATTATAATTTCAGTCAGAAGTTTGCAACGCAGTGAAGGAGACGTTTCCGACCCTATAAAGTATATATATTCTTGATCAGCATCAACAGCCGAGTCGATCTAGCCATGTCCGTCTGTCCGTCTGTCCGTCTGTCCGTTTCTACGCAAACTAGTCCCTCAGTTTTAAAGCTATCTGAATGAAACTTTGCATAGAGTCTTCTATATACTCTCAGTGCTATATATGTCGGAACGGGCCGGATCGGACGACTATATCATATAGCTCCCATACAAATGTTCGATAAATTTTTAGAAAAAAAATTATAACTTGGCTGTTTTTCAATATTTTTGCATCATTTTTGAGATATGGCCATTTTATATTATTTCAGAATTTTGGTAAAAATTGTATGAAAATCGAACGACTATATCTTATAGCTGCCATAGGAACGATCGGAAAATTAATAGGAAAAAAATTATAACTTCGTTGTTTTTCAACATATTCTTATCTACTTTTAGATATAAGCTTCTTTTATTATTTCAGAATTTTTGTAAAAATTTTATGAAAATCGGACAACTATATCATACAGCTGCCATATAAACGATCGGTAAATGTGGAGAAAATGTAAAGCTGGGAATGTAAAACTGTAACTGTCAAACTGTAAACATAATAAGTATAGGTAAAATGTAATGAAACTCTATTTTGTGAGTGTTTTCAGCATTTAAATTTATAATATAAACATCAAAACCAATCTGCAAGGGTATACAAACTTCGGCATGCCGAAGTTAGCTTCCTTTCTTGTTTTGACATTAATTTTCTTTTTCCTTTTAAATTACTTTTATATAAACGCAAAGAGCAGTGTCATTTGTATTTGTTTATAGTTCTATTCGATCGAGAACAAACATGCATTGAATTTGATTTTTATTGCTAACAACCAAGTGATGATTGGTCCAAAAACAAAACCAAACCGCTCCTACTGAGGATATTCAGATCATCCGTGCGGAGTCCAATGTCGAACTCGAGGGCTACAATTTTGCGTAAGTGTCCTTCCAATCTGATTCACAAGGATTAAGCCTCCAGAAATGGCTCAAGAATCTTCTACATTGAACGGGAACACGTGATATTTTCGAGAAAACAAACAACTATTGAATGCCTGAATGTGCCAACGCTTTCCTTACTTTTAAAATATGTTCTACATTTTCAATACAATTCCCTAATGAAACCCATTTTCCTCCTTGCAGTTCGGAGACCAGCGATGGCACTTCAAAGCAGGAGTCGGGAGTGTTGACCAACCCTGGAGCCGAGAATGAGGCCATCGCCGTCAAGGGATCCTTCTCCTGGGTGGCTCCCGATGGCCAGACCTACACCGTGAACTACGTCGCCGATGAGAACGGTTTCCAGCCCTCCGGTGCTCATCTGCCTAAGTTTTAGGAGTTAAATAAATTGTTTATAAAAAAAGAAAACAGAAAATGTTTTAACGGGTGAAGGAAGGAAGAATACTATAAAGGACGGAAAACTGGACTGAAATTACTATTCATATATATGAAATGAAAACTTAAAAATAGAGTTCGTTATTAAAACTTATTTATGAAAAATCTATATTTATTCATGTATAAATTTATACATTTTTCTCTTTTAAGTAAGTTATTTCTACAAAGTTCTAAATCTGTTTCTATACCTATACATCCTTAACATTTCACAATGGAAACACACAAAATTAAACTCCTTTTTTCGGTTTTTTATTTATCAACTTAGCACTGTTCCTATTCGAGTCAGTTATGTATTCCATCATTATTAATAATAATTTATTATTAACATTGACTATACAAATTAAAGGTAAATTGGAACTTTAAACCTTATAAAATCCAACAATATTTTTCTGGAATACTGTTATACATTGTGGAGTTTAATAATTTTATTTATAGATTTAATTTCAATGTAATTTGTATAACATTATAATTTACTTGTATTTATTTTACAAGCATAAGGAAAAGTCTTGTGGTTTCTATCCTAGTTACTCAGTCAGTTTAAAAATTATGTCTTGAATTTGAAATTTATAAATGCTCATCCAGTTAAACATTTTGCAGATTGGAAATCCTTTAGGCACATTTTTAATGTTTTTAAAAAAACATAAAATATAAGTTTGATTTATGTGAATCCAATCAATCCCACTATACTTATGAATAATTAACAATTTTACCAAACAAAATTTTTAAATTGGTTGAAAATAATGCTAATGGTGCGCCCTTTTAGCATATAACTGATTGGATTTAAGAAACTATAACTTGCTGATCTAAATTTCAGTTTTAGTTATTTAAATAATTTATTTAATTTAAATAAATTAGTTAAAAATAAGTTAAACTGATAGATGGAACCCAATCCCCAGGTATTTGCACTGTCTTCTCGTTGAAAATCAAAAGATAGATAATTTCATTTTTTATAAACAATTTATTTAACTTCTAAAACTTAGGCCTCAGGGGCAACGGGCAGATGGGCAGCGGAGGGCTGAAAACCGTTCTCATCGGCGATGTAGTTAACGGTGTAGGTCTGGCCATCGGGAGCCACCCAGGAGAAGGATCCCTTGACGGCGATGGCCTCATTCTCGGTTCCAGCGTTCTTCAGCTCTCCCTGCTCCTGCTTTGAAGTGCCATCGCTGGTCTCCAAACTGTAAGGGGGAAAATGGGCTTCATTAGGGATTTGTATTGAAAATGTAGAACATATTTTAAAAGTAAGGATAGCGTTGGCACATTCAGGCTTTCAATAGATGTTTGTTTTCTCGAAAATATCACAAGTGTTCCCGTTCAATGTAGAAGATTCTTGAGCCAGGCTTAATCCTTATGATCCAGATTGGAAGGACACTTACGCATAACTGAAGCCATCGGGTCTGACATCGGAATCCGATCGAAGGACCGTAGCTTCTGGAGCAGCAGGAGCGGCCACGGCCACGGCGAAGAGGGCGGCGAAGGCAAGAACGACGGCGAATTTCATGGTGAAGGTTAAGGCGTTGATCGTTGAAGACTCAAAGATTACTAAAGTATCTAGGCCTATAGCCCGCCTATTTATAGTCCGAGCATTTAAGGCCCAAACATAGGCCTAAAAACTTGTTTGATTTTAATGGCTAAACGCAGACAGACTTTAGCTTAAAGTGGTTCATAATTTTGGTTGATAAAATATGTGCATGAAAATTAGCTCCGAAGTCTATAGAAACCGAAAGCCTAAATAGTCGTGGGTTCAACAGGAAAGTGTTTCGCTTTTATATGTCTAGAATGAGTATTAAATGATTCTTTGATATAGTGTCGAGTTCTGATACTCGTCTGAATCGATTGATTTGATGGTCTGTTTGGCTTTTTCTGGTGGAGATTCAATTAACACCAAGCGAAGTGACTTCAAGTGTTAATTGCATTAGTCTCTTTCTGGTCTGTAGACCTATAAAAGGCTTACCTCCGGGAATCAATACCTCAGTAAGCTGTTAAAAATTACCCAAAAAACCCACAAGATGAAGTGCATCCTCGTGTTCGCCTGCCTTTCGTTGGCCCTCTGCCTGGCCGCTCCCGCTCCGGAAGCCGAGATCGTGAATTTGGCCTCCGAGGTCAATGCCGATAGCTACAATTACAACTTTGAGACCAGCGATGGCACCAAGCAGGAGCAGCACGGCAGCCTGAAGAATCTGGGCCCCGAGGAGGATGCCCTTCAGGTGGCCGGCTCCTTTAGCTATGTGGGCGACGATGGACAGACCTACTCCATTACCTATGTGGCCGATGAGAATGGATTCCAGCCCCAGGGAGCCCACATTCCCCAGGCCCCCTAAGCTGGGTCTTAGTACTTAGATCCTTGTACATAAACTAGAGTGGAGGGTAAAAGCTAAAAGAAAGAGGTTTTTGAACCAAGAAAAGAGTATTGTTGGAACACTGAAACAAAACACTGTTATTAGATTTTATATTTGAATATTAAATAAAGAATTCATTGAGATATGCGAAAGTTTAATTAGCAAACTTTAAAGATGTGATTTCATTATTATAATTACCACAAAATCTTGGCTATGAAATCCATAGAACATCCTTTGTCACACCCAAAAGAAAACCACCATTATTTCGAGAATCAAAAGATCGGCTTTAATGCGAGTAACAAGGAATAGAGAAACAATGCACGACACTGACTTGACTGACTGACTGACTGACTGACTGATCACTAACTAACCTTAAAGGCCAACAACTGACCGACTTGGCCAACTGCCACGGGACGAGGGACAGCTGACAGCGGCCAGGACCTTAGCACCTCACTCTATGGCCGGGGATGGGGTTTTATTAATATTTTTTGTATTTTTTGAGGCCGCCTCTACTTGGGCAGATGGGCGCCCTCCGGCTGGAAACCGTTCTCGTCGGCCACAAAGTTAATGGTGTACGTCTGACCGTCGGGAGCCACCCAGCTGACAGAGCCACGAATGGAGATGGATTCATTCTCAGTGCCCGCATTGTTGACCACACCCTCCTCTGTGCGGCTAGTGCCATCGCTGAGCTTGTAGCTGAACTTGTAGCCGCCGAGGCCGATGTTCTCTGACTCGTACTCCACCACCTCCACGTCGCCCTGGGGCCGGGCGCTGGCCACAGCCAGAAGCAGGGCCATCGAGCCAACGACTAGCATCTGGAAGGAGGAGCAGGCGAGGGAGGTTAGAGGTTATCCTGTTCTGATTATCCTGCGAAGTGATCGATATCCACTGCACGGCAGTCCTACCAATTTCATCATGTTGGTGTTCGGTTTGCGTTCTCGGGGATTTGCTGGCACACTAACTGGCGGCTGTCTAATGGTGGCTCTGTAACGCTGGCCACTGCATTTTATACTGCACCGCGCAGCCGCATTTGCCAACGTCATAAATTTGCACAATTGTCGAAGAAGCCAGTGCGCCAGTGCCGGCTAAATGTTTTTCTCTACAAGTATTTTTCTTATTTTTTTGTATTTTTTTTTTTTTACTTTTTCAATTGCCAGCGATGCACCGGAGTCGCCAAAGTCGCTGCGACAAGTAACATTTAAAGCGGCTTTGTGCCGCGGCATACTCATCCTAAGGTATTACTATTATCGCTCTGCACCCACACTCGAAAAAGTTAGATTCAATATAGACAGGCTGCGGAAAAAAGCACGCTTCTCCGGTAAGTGTTCTACCTGTAATTTATCTATAATTTTCGATTTATGTAATTGCTTTTTTTAATTGCCATTTTCAGTACATTTTTAACAAGCAGTAATTGATTTTGCCAGGAAAACGTCTAGATAACTTTTGTTAAAGGAACTTAAAGATTTATAAGAACGTAAAATATTAAAAAAAACTAAATTAAATTAAAAATTTGAATAAATCTAATTACTTGCTTTAAAAAAGAAGTTTTCTTATGATATTTCACGTAATTTTTTGAGTATTATTTTTTAATATTATCAAGGAACAAGTTATATACTTCAAGTATGAAATGAAAATGATATAATATATAGATTTTTATATAAATATTTGATATAAATCAAATCAATCGAATCATTCGAGTCCCAGAACTCAACATTATATAAAAGAATCATTTAATACTTATTCTAGATGTATAAAAGCGAAACACTTTCCTGATGAAGCCACGACTATCTAGGCTTTCGGTTTCTATAGACTTCGGAGCTAATTTTCATGCACATATTTTATCAGCCAAAATTATGAACCACTTTAAGCTTAATTTTTTAGACCTATGTTTGGGCCTAAAATGCTCGGACTATAAATAAGCGGGCTATAGGCCTAGATATTTTAGTAATCTTTGAGTCTTCAACGATCAACGCCTTAACCTTCACCATGAAATTCACCGTCGTCCTTGCCTTCGCTGCCCTCTTCGCCGTGGCCATGGCCGCTCCTGCTGCTCCGGAAGCTACTGTCCTCCGTTCGGAGTCCGATGTCGGACCCGAGGGCTACAATTATGCGTAAGTGTCTTTCCAATCAGGATCATAAGGATTAAGCCTGGCTCAAGAATCTTCTACATTGAACGGGAACACTTGTGATATTTTCGAGAAAACAAACTACTATTGAATGCCTGGATGTGCCTTGCTTTTCCCAATTGTAATATAAAGCGTATTATTTAATTAGTTTAAAATATGTTCTACATACAAATCCCTAATGAAACCCATTTTCCTCCTTACAGTTTGGAGACCAGCGATGGCACTTCAAAGCAGGAGCAGGGACAGCTGAAAAACATTGGAACCGAGAATGAGGCCATCGCCGTCAAGGGAACCTTCTCCTACGTGGGTGATGATGGCCAGATCTACACCGTCAACTACATCGCCGATGAGAACGGTTTCCAGCCCTCCGGTGCTCATCTGCCCGTCGCCTAAGTTTTAGAAGTTAAATAAATTGTTTATAAAAAACGAAATTACTTATCTTTTGACTTTCATCGAGAAGACAGTTGACAATTGACTTTGTTGAGTATTATTTTTTTAATATTATCAAGGAATAAGTTATATACCTCAAGTATGAAATAAAAATGATATATAGATTTTAATATAAATATTTTATATAATATATTATTATTATATTTAAAAAGATATTTCAAGTGTTTTAAAAAACTCAAAATATACAAAAAAATAAATAAAAACTAAATATTTAGCTTGCAAATAAGTATTCTGAATATAAGTTATCTTAAATATTTTTGTTTTTGTATTAAATGATGATTTGAAATTCAATCTCCCACAAATTATAGCCTTAAATATATCGAAACTGTATAGGTTTCCACATTTTCTCCCAGTGACAGACTCCAAAAAGTTCAAGATGATGTATTGGGGGAAAAGGTTGCTCACCGAATTGGCCAGCCACCGGGGGAATACCTCAGTCAGAACCCTGGGAAGCCAGAAACAGAAACAGAACCAGATCTGCCTTCCAGCAGCCAATTCATAAACTTTAAATCCACGTAAGGCAATCCACGGAACTAAGTTCAAGTGCTGTCAACGGCAATTTGCAGGGCAGCAAGTTCAAGACACGGAGACGGAGACGGTGGCGAGCTGGAGAATGAGCCATGTGTGATGGCCAAAGTGCATGCATACTTTGGTGGCGGAGATGGTGGAACCGCAAGTTGACTTTTGGCATATGCAACGGCCTTTACAGATTGATGTGCCTGCCTGCCCGGTAACAAGCGCCAAAAGCAGCTGGAAATAAAAATAAAAAATACATCGAATAACCTACAACTACACAACGCTCTCGCATGCAATTTAAATCTCGGTTTTGACTTTTGTTGTTTTTTCTGTCTGACTCTCGGTTTCTGTTTCTGTTTGCCAATTTATGCCACCTTCGTTGACCGCTACAGGCCGGCTACTTCGATCCGGTCATTCGGGTTTTCGGCCACTGATTGACCACGGTTGTGTTCTGTGTACCATCCTCCTTCACCAGCCTATGGATGTGACCCATGAATTGCCCGCCAACTGTGCCATCAACGTCTTCATCTTTGGGTTGCTATCGAATGGGTGTTGTACATGGTTATTTTGGCATTTCCTCAAATGCCTTACGAGAGATCTATTCTTATGGCAGCCTGGGCCTTTGACATTTTGACCATTTTTCCACTTGATTTTATTCCTTGAAAATGTTAAAAATTAGCAGGTGAATAATTAAATTAAAGCACTAAATAAGAAAGAAAATAAAACATATATTATAGATAGATATTTTCTCAGAAAACTAAAATTGGCAATGATAAAAGTAAACACCAAAAATAATAAATATAAATATATTTAAAAGTAAACTTGTAACTCCATAATTAATGTGAATGCTCCCCCTAAATGAACTAATAAATTAAAGACTTAATTAATTGGGTTAGGCCGCCGCCTACGACTTGAACTTGAGCAGCACATGGAGGGGCCCTTGAAAATGGATCTGAATCCATTCATTTCGTGACTGCATAATATTTATAACTCGCATTTGGGTCTCTCGTGGGTCTCTCTTTCCATGGCGTGGCTTTTTGGAGGGCATCTGCAACGGCTGCTGCATTTATCATGCTGGATTTGCATAATTAATCTGGCTTTGATCGATCGCTGCTAGTGCTAATCATTTGCTTCAGGGGGGGCGTTGTCATTCACACATTTCGACGATGTTCTTCCTTATCGAAATGTATATAGTTTTTTTGTGCAAAATATATATATATATATATAGAAAATCATTTACATAACTGTTCTAATCAAGACACAATCGACAGGTTTTTTAGCTGTCGCTTTCAATACACAAATATACAAGACCAGACTCTGGCCCATACAATAGATATTTATGTAGATGCGTCTTCACATTTACGTCTTCAAGGTCAGCGCCAGATGCTGCTCCATCGTCTGCTGTCCAGCTGTCCGTCTCTTGCTCTCTGTCCCTCCATTGGTCCAGCGGTCCATCTGCCCATTCAGCTGCCGATTTGGCCTGACTTTCGAGCGTTGCCAACGCGCGTACGCACCTTGCCGAACTTGGTAAGACCGGCTTCGGATTGGTTTTTTGGGGACTCAAATGCACTGGGAAAAATACTAAATAATTTTTAAAAATATAAGATTTTTGAATAAACTTGAGTTTGATATATTTTTCATAAAGATTTGACCTTTAAATTAATATTATTTTGCTTTAAAAATAGAGTTTTATTTGTTAAGAAATGGTAATAAAGTTTATTAGTCGGATTTAATTTAAATATTAATATAAAATAAAATTTATTAATAAAAATTAATAATTAAAATATTAATATAAAATTAATAAATAAATAATAAAGTATTATTTTAAGATTCATTTAAATTGTTAAATAAAACTTATTAATTTATTAATTTTATATTAATATAAAATAATATTTATAAATAAAAATCAATAATTAAAATATTAATATAAAATTAATAAATTAATAAGTTTTATTTAACGTATTCAATTAATATTAAAATAATACTTTTTTAATTTAATTCTAGTTTAAATTTTTCTGAATAATGAATTATTTTCATTGCCTAAAATAAATTCCCCAAAAATCTCTTAAATATTTTTAACCCATTTCTAAACAAAAAAATTCCTAAAAAAAATTAATAAATATTTTTCTTAGTGTACTCTTCAGCTGAAATCGAAGATTCCGTTTCGGGTTTTTGCCCGTTTTCACGTTCAGCTCTCGTCTCCTCTTCAACTGGGTCTGCGAAATTAGCACTTGAACGTTAATGGCAATGTTTTAATAGCCGGTCCCTCGCCGGCTCTAGCCCCGTCGTCAGCCCCCCATTTAAATATGTAAATGTCACATTGCTGTTGTTTTTTCATTTCTTTTTTATCACTATGACCAGCGCTCGTTTCGTAATATTTGCATTTAGCAAAAAGAGCAAAAAAAAAAAAAAAAACACACAAATTCTTCGGCTGACACCTGACATTCAGAATCGTGCGTATAATTTAATTTTATTGCAGACTTTGACTATATTTGTTTGAATGCAACGCATCTTGGGTCCCCAAAACTCTGACGGAACGATTGATTGCCGTGAATAGTCATTAAAGTGTGTGTTTTTGTTTAGCACAGCAGGTTTTTTGCTTTTTTGTGTCATTAAATAACCAGAATGATGCCAATAAAATAGCTTTAGAATTCCTCCTAAGCGGAAGAGGGTTTTCCTTGCGTTTAAAAAATACTAGAGATAATAATAATACATTTTTAGATAACATAAATATTTTTAAAAATTAAAGAGTTATATATTTATATAATAGAATTTGTTTTCCCAGGGAAATCACATGTTTTCAGATTTATGGGCTGACATTTCTTAAACTCAAACGAGTTCGTCGTTCTCAAGTCTTTTTAGGCAGCAAATCGAATGACTTAGGCTAAAAACTTGACTTCGGATTGCTGAAGCTTTTATTGCTACATACCTTTAGGCGTTTTAAAAATGTGGGATTAATTTAATAAATTTATAGTTTACATACTTTTAAGAGTATACAAATAAAAATGATTTATTTTAAACTTTATTACATTTTCTTTGTTAATATATTAAGTAAATAAAATAAGAACCTTTTTATAATATTTTATTTTTAATTCAAACATTTAAAATTCGGAGAAAAAAAATATAACATATTTTATTAACTAAAAAACAAAAATATTAACTTTATCTAAAATAAATTTTATTTATTTTTATCGATAAAAGATAAATGCATTATGATATTAATCGATTTTGGTAAAATTTAGTTGTACTTATAAACATATTCTTGATTTATTTGTTAAATATTTATATAGAGTAAATTATTTTTTAGGGATTTTAATATGAATATAATAATTAACATTAATTTTTAGAGATTTAATTAAAACAAGGCACTGAAAGGCTGCAAGTTTTACCAAAGTACTAGCTTTATTTAACATATAAAAAAATATTAAATATTACAAAAAACCTATCGATATTTATTGTGAGTTTTCCGGGCTTTTTGTTTATTTGAATTAACATGTTAAAGGGTTTATTAAAAAACTAAAACTTGATTTAAATAAATGGAAATTCCATCTAACATTCATCAAATGTTGAGCAAAAACTGCATTAATTTCTTAGTTTTTTTGCCAATAAAACAAAACTTTAAACATGCAACTATTGCAAAAAATTAAAAAAAAATACATTTTCAAGCTTTTACCTTTATTTACATAGAATTTTTAAATCACCTCTTATCTTAAGTGCAAGAGAGGTTTATGGCCCTCCATAAAAAATTGCCATACCCACTCGAAGACACATTTGCCCATCATTTCCTTAATCACCATGAATTTATGTAATTTCGCTTGCATATTATCAACACCAATTCCCTTGCACAACAAACTAGTTTTCAGAGAGACGATTTTGTATTGATTGTTTTTTGTTATTTTTGTTTTGTTTTTTTATTGCTTGCAGCTTGGACAACAGCTCATCTTAAACACTAGCCTAAAACAGTTGGCAGACTGTTGTAATAAATTCGTGATGGAAAGTTAGTTAATAGGAAACGTTCTCTTAACCCGCCAGAGAGGAAAGCGATTTTCCTGAGAGCTTGCGCACCTTCAGGCCCTGTTCACGGGAGGGACGATGGTTCTTGGCCAGATTATTGGCATTTTCCAGATCCTGGGCAGCCGAGGATCCAGTCAGCACTTTGCCAATCTCATCGCGGAAAGTGCCATCGGGAAGGGTGTAGCTGGAGGGGGGATATAACAGAAATTAGTTATTTGATTATACAAAAATAAATGGGGAATTTAATATAATTTTTTATAAAGTTAAATTATATTGAACAATTTTACTTTAAGGTTTTTAAAAACTGGGTTTATGGATTTTAAAAGAGTGCTGCTTTAAGAGATTAATTCTTTATATTTTTAGGATCATTAAAAGTTGAATTTATATTAAATTTTATAAGAATATTTATAAAATATTATATCATTTCAATATTAATACTTTAACCTTTGTTTTAAGATAGTAAATATATGTTTAAAATGCATTGTTGAATATTTTAAGGCTGTATAATTTATCTTAAACAACAAAATGTAGCTCTTTTTTAGTTAAAGAGGAAGTTTAACTGTGTCTTTTCGAAAATTCTCTTTATAATTTAAAACTAGATTTCTTTAATTTAAATTTAAGGTAATTTAAAATTTTTCAAAGTAATTTTTATAATATCTTATAATATCTCTTCCAACTTTCCCTCTAAAAAACCTAAAAAACTACACCTACTTGAACTCGTATCCATCGCGTGTTGGCACATAGCTGAACTGCTCCAGGGTGACATCGCCCAGCTTGATATCGATCACAGTGCCGGGTGGAAAGGAGGCATAGTTCAGATTGGCTCCGAATAGGACACAGGCCACCAACAGGATGATGGCCTGGACCAGTGTGCTCTTAAGATTGAGACCGGACTCCTTCTGGCCATTTGCACGACCGATGCCTGCCAGTGGATTTAGACTCATTGCGGATAAGTTGATAACGGGTAACGGTGGACAAATACAACTTGCTTCCTAGGCGGCTGGGAGCACAATGAAGCGTCTTCTTCGAGGCCACTGGCATAAGACACATGGCTCCGGAGTCCGGACCATAATGAGTTGATGGTTTGGTCCAAAACAAAATGCTGAGTAAGCTTTTCGTGGAGACGCCGCGCTGAGGTTGCCCAATCCAAGATTTTGATTTGTCTGAGGAATTGGAATTGGAAATGGGATTTGCATAACGAAAGCTGAAAAAGAGTTTCATGAGTTTGAGTTCATTCAATGAGGCGTCAAGAAATATATGTGCATTACATTTAAAAAGCCTTTAAATTGGAACACTAATCGCCCAAGTACACGAAAAGAAAGAAAGTTTGGTCTTTATCTGAGAGGGAATAGTGTACACTCTTATTGGAGACTTATTTATAATTAATTTTATTAAAATATACATGTACAATTTTTATTAGAATTAATATTCTACCCTATTTAGTCTATTAAAATTGTTTTATAATATGTGTAAATGAAATGTTGAAGACATCAGGCTAAAGGTAATTTATTATAGAGTTTAAAAGACATTTTAAAAATAACAAAATTATTTAAAATAAATCTAATTGATAAAGAAAATTTCCTTAAAAACTTTTCCTTTGATTTCTCTTAAAAATCAAACTCCTCCAAATAGTCCAAACTACCCAAAGCCGGTTTCTAGAGAAACAGTAACTCATTTTTATGCTGTTAATGTTGCAATCTGTGTATCTCGAAATGATTAACGATTAACGAGCAGAGCCCAGCTCTCTTCAGAGCTTTGTTTCAGCCAAGTTAAACACCGAGCTTTTGAGCCACGCTTAATACACTGATAAATTATGCGTACTTTTTAATGATTTATCACAAAAAATGAAGGCAGCGAAAACGTTAGCTTAACTCTTATCCGGTTTGATTTTGTGGGCCGTCACATAGGGTTGAAAGCCATTTTTATTGGCCTTGTAGAGGACCTGATACTGATAGCCATCGGCGGAGATGAAGCTATAACCGCCACGATACTCCACGGGCTTTGGCGTGGTCAGCTCCTTGGGATCCACATCCGTTTCCGGTCGGACTGTGTAGGTGATGTCCTCATTACGCTGATGGCCGTTTTCGGTGTGGAAGCTTATTAGGGGAATATAATAAATTATATTATTTAATAAAATATAAAGTTGATTGAACTCTTACCCAAAATGGAGCGCCTCTTCCCGCTCGCCTTTCTCCAGAGAAGCCGATGAAACCAAAGTCACCATCGATACTAACAACAAAATCTGCTTCAACTTGATGGAAAATATATATTTAATTTTTAATTTGTTTTAAATATATACTCTGTAATTAAATTTACCCCTTTCATTGCTTTTTATTGGCTTAATTTAATTATTTTTAGCTCTATAGATCTGCGTTCTTGTCCGTTTCGTTGGCTGATTTCAACTGAAGTTGTTCTGCCCAGTCGAGATGAGCCAAGCAGCCAAAATAAGTCAAAGAGTTGGGAATATAATGAAAACAAATATCTGCGCCGCTAGCTATTTAACATTGAGTCGCAGCCAGAATAAGATTACGTCATTGTTTATGGCTCAACTTTTGTTCTAAGCAGCCAAAGAAGAAAGGTGATTATGGTTGAAAAATGGGGATTATTTGGAATAGGAAATACTCTTTAGGAATATATTAATAAATTATTTAATATTAAGAATATATTAAATTATTTTGTATATTTTTTATATTTTTAATAAGCCAATATAAATGTATTTTAAATGAATTTAATATAATAAAATAAGAATAATTATATTATAATATTAATTATAAATTTATATTGATTATATTATCAAAGGTATAAATAATATTAAATATTTTAACCCAGAAAAAAAAAAAAATAAAATATATAAGATACTAAAAAGCGGTTTATAAAACACAAAAATGTCTTAAATTTATAGATATAAATATAATGTTTATCAAACCCAAAGAATAAGTCTATATCCCCTTCAAGTTAATGACTATTTTAAATGTTTCTGTGATTTAATTTAACTGTTTATTTAAAGGCTTCAAAACAAGGTAATGATTGTTTTGTAAACATTGTTTTAATGGAGATATTAAGGCAAATTTGTGACTCAAACTTGTGTGTTTATAAATACATCTTGCAGAATAAACTAATTTAAAACATTTCTTATGAGTCAGCCTTGGTTGTTTACCCAAAACCCATATTATTTAAATATTTAATAAATATTCTTACCAACAGTTGCTCAGCTTCCCGCGCCTCATCACCCACCACTGCCTGTCATCGGGCAATTTATCAACGGACCTCAACGCAAAAATGTGTTTATTTAAGCGATCCGATCCGATCGGAGCAACTTAATCGGACCAACCCTCAGCGAAATTAACGCCAAAATCGCAATCAGATCGTTCCGCGCCGTCAGAATTCGCTTTATGAAACGCAAATGCGAATGCGATTGCGAATGCGGGCGTGGAATATGTGCCATCGGTGCGTGGCTAAACGAGGACCAAAACCCAAGCACCACCCAAGGACCAAGGACCAAGAATCGAACCCGGAGACCGACAATTGTTGGTTTATGCAGCCGGTGCAGCAGCCGGCTCTGCCTGGTCCACCCCACTGGTGGTTGCTTGGTGGCTAAAGGACCTTGGTAGCCGTGGAATATCCTGATGGCAGTCCACAGCTGACGGCCCGCTGCCAAGAGGAACAGGTTCACTCCGAGTCCCGTATCCTGGGAGCGCGTCAGCTGGACGCCAGCACGTTACAAGTAGGACAAGCTGCAAACGACATCGCCATTAGCTGGGCCGTTCCACAGAGGGGAAGTTTCTATATATATTAGCGGCATCCTCCACACGACGGGCACAAGCTGAGCCACCAAATGATAAACACACACACAACACACAGCAGCCGCAACGGCACAGTGGTAAAAATCTATTTGTTATAGGTATTTATTTAAGAAACAGTTTAAGGCGAAGGAAACTTACATTACTTAATTAAATTTACAAAATTAACTAATTTAATGAAGTTTTTAAATAATAGTTTGAATTATATAATTAATAGATATATTAAATATTAAATAAATAATAAATCAATTAAATATTTAAGCCTTTAATGTATTTTAGTTTAATTTATATTTAAAAACAATTTTTAAATGTAATTGAAAAATCATAAAATTAAACCTTTAAAAATTACAAACACTGTAACCAATTTATAAATTTTTTTTTAAATTTATTAATTTATTTATTTTATTATTTTTGTAATCATAATATTATATTTTTATAAATTTTTTTCATTTATTTTAATAAATTTCCCTCACTTTTTTAGGTAACCCCAAACCACTGTGCTTGGCCTGGCAAAAAGTTAATAGACGTTTGACTAAAGCCGACATCCCTGCCGTTGTTGTTGGCTGTCCCCCGTCCCTCGTCCTGATTCCAGGACTTAGCACCCCTTGACAACAGGCAAAGTGCATTAGCCCAGGGTTTCGGGCGGGGTGGCATTCGGTTTCTGGGTTTCCTTTGGGTTGGTCATGCAGGTGTTGCCCGATCCTGTTGAAAATTGCTTTTGAATTAAAAGTTTTTGCTTGTGGCCGGGCGGGTTTTGTTGTTTTTAGCGATTAGGAAGGCAGGGGGTAACCTTCTATGATTGCACACTCGATTTATTAGCGCTTTGTCAGTCTCTCCAACTAATCCGTTGGCCTGACTGTGTGGGGATTTCGGCACTTGCCACTGCACTTGCATTGGCCCAGTTTGTGGTCTCCTTTTTGGATTCCAAATTCGCTGCATTTGGCACGTGACTATGCCTGGGCCAGAGTTCGCGGTCAAAACCACCTGATGCTCTCGGTATAAAACCCAGGAGCTCTTGACCACCGACCACAGTTTTGTGTTTGAAATGAAGCTGACCACCACTTTGGTTATTCTGGCTTGTGCCTCTTTAGGTTGGAGCTGGGCTCAGCCGGCAGGTTATCCCAGTGCACGTCCTCCGCCGGCCACTTACTTGCCTGCAAAGCCCCCAGCTCCTCCTCCTCGTCCACCGCCGCCAAAGAGCTATGGTCCTCCACCCAAAAATGGCAATGGCAAGCCGCCACCTGCTCCGCCCAAGCCCAGCTATGGACCGCCGCCCAAGAATGGCAATGGAAAGCCGCCACCAGCTCCGCCCAAGCCCAGCTATGGTCCTCCACCCAAGAACGGCAATGGTAAGCCGCCTCCAAGCAATGGTTATCTGCCCCCAGGGAATGGTAATGGTAATGGAGGATCATCTGGCGGAGGAGGAGGCGAGGCAGGCGGCGGTGAGGTTATTCCAATCATCAAGCTAGAGTCCAAGGTCAACACCGATGGCTCCTATAAGGTGAGAGCTATTTTTAAATAAATATTAAACTAATTAAAATACAAAATTAATGAAAGAAATTATTTAAAGTATAAATACTTATATTTTTCTCATATAAACAGTATGAATATGAAACTGGAAACGGCATAAAGGCCGAGGAAATGGGTTACCTGAAAAATGCCGGAGACAAGGGTTCGGAGGCTCAGACCGCCGAAGGTTCCTTTTCCTACACAAGTCCCGAGGGAGACGAAATCATGCTGACCTATATAGCAGATGAGAATGGTTTTCAGCCGCAGGGCGATCACCTGCCCACACCGCCACCCATTCCCATTGAGATTCAGGAGGCGCTGGACAAGCTGGCTGCCGAAGGAGGCTGTCATGGCTGTGATGACAACGAGACGGGTGGCAATGAGGAAGAGGGAGGTGGCGGTGGCTATAACTACCGAAAGTAAAGGGTTTTTAATAGGAAAATTTTACTTTTCACTTCAATATTTTATTTAATATTTTTTCTATAATATTTTAAATGTATTAAGATTAATTTTTATTAATTTTTAACCAAAATATAAACTGCTTGCACACCCTGCATTTTGTAATTGCTAATTAAAATGCTTTAAATGAAATCCCCTCGACGGCCTACTTATGGAGGACTAGCAAACACCAAGCTGGAATTGGTCCTGGCCTGGTACACCTTGCTTCTGGCCCGGGTTGGTGTTGCCCGTACCCATCATCCCCCTACTCCCTGGCCAATCCAACCCCTTGAGCGGAACGGAGCAACGGCTGTGTGACTGGCAACACATGTTTTTTTCCCTGCCCAGCTTTATCCTGTTGATCGCTTGCGGAGAGGGCTGGCCAGGATTGGAAGGGGCTTCGGCAGCCAGGATTTTTTGGGTAGGAAGGGGAAGGGGCTGCCGCAGCGATTGTGTCGCAATAATGAAAACATTAGCCTCGTAGCATATTTGTCAGCTAGCCAGGAGCGCAGCAGGGAAGGATGAGGGTTGGAAAAAGATAAAACAGGGGAGTTTTAAATTTAAATTTAATTTTGGTTTAATTTAATTTAATTTATGTATTTATTTATAATAATATTTAAGTTAGTTATTTTAAACAGAACATTTTATTAATATTTCATTTCGGAATAATAAATAAAAAAAATACTAATGATTGTTTTTTTATTAAGAAATAATAATAATAATAATAATAATAAATAAAAATATTAATAAATAAATACTGATATTTAAATAATAATATATAAACTAAATATTAAGAAAAAATAAGCAAATGTATTTAAATAATTTCCCTATTTTATGGGCCCCTAGCTCTACCCTCACTCCGCTCCTTGAAACCGTAGAGCTCCGGAAATCACGACCCACCCCAAACCGCAAATAGTGAAACGATACACGCCAATATATTATGGCATTAGCCTCATAGAAAAGGGGGAACTTGACAATAGAGCAAAGGAGGGAGTTTGCCGAGAATGACATTGACGATGGCGAATGCGATTTGTATATGGTGGCATTACAGCAAAAACAGCCACAGTCACAAAGGGAGGCGAGGGGTAACAACAAACGATCGTTTAATTTCAATTAAAAACATTTTCCTTGGGCGCAGCCCAAAAGCCAAAAAATAAAGGACTTCTAGAGTTGCAAAAAAGGGGGAGGATGGGTATACTTTTCGGCGCCGGAATACGCACACTTGCTGCTGCTACAGGACGCTTAGCTTGGCTTAGTGCTCTGGTGATTGCGAGGACATGATGTTGCACTTGCCGAGCAACCACCAGGCAGGACCACCTCGCCAGAAAAAGGGATGCCAAATGAGCCGGGGGATGGAATGGTATGATTCTGATTCTGATGCTGCTGCTGCCTGAGCCGGCAAAGTGCGTAGCTATGTCGAGGCTATAGCCGGTGCCGGTGGACTGGATTCTGGGCTGGGAATTCTTGCACTTGCCGCCAGCCGTGCAAGGCCGTGGCAAATCCGAAATAAGGGAGCAGGATGCGGCGACCACGGATGGTATAAAAACGGATGGTCGCTTCCAATTGGGACGCAGAATCGAATTCGAACGCGCACGATGCACACGACAGCTCAACTGGACAGTCTGGAGCAGAAACGCTCCTCGGCCAGCCTGATCTTCCGGATTGAGCAGCTGCTTCCGAGCACCAGTCTCTCGCCGAGCACAACCATTAGCACCGCCTCCTCCTCCTTGGCGGCCACGCCAAGTACACCCACAACGAGCACTGCACCGAGTCCAGCCAAGAGGGTGAGGAGTAATCCCCGCCCTGGGGTCTACACAGCCCAGTATACGCCCAAGGATACCTGCTCTATTCCCGTGCCTACTTCGGCCCTGCTTAGCTCTACGGCCACGCCCACGGACGGAGGACGAAGCCACTGTCAGATGGCCAATGGCGAACTGATCGTATCTGCCTCGCTGCTGCGGCAGATCAAGCTCTCCGAGGATGTGTACAGCTTCAATGCCATCTTTGAGCTGCAGGGCGGCCAGGTGCGAGTGCGCCTGGTGAGGGATGTGGCACGGGAGGACGAGATCGTGGCCTGGTTTGGCGAGGAGCTAGTGCTCCTGATGGGCATACCCTTCCTGACGCCCCTAAATATACAAGGTAGGCATGGCTTCAGAGACATCTCTTAATTCTAAAAGTATTTTTTGTTTTAATAAATTATCAACCTAATCCTAATCATAATCCTTCTCTAATTCTTCCAGGAAACAGTCGCTATACCTGCCACCTTTGCCACCTCACCTTTGAGACTCCACATCCCCTGAAGATCCACCTGGCCCTCGGCTGTGGACGCAGTGCCATGGACATCTTATGGATGCGCCTTCACTATGCCTTAAAGGCAGCTGCCAGAAGTCAGACAGTCGTCACCCAGGGCTCACCCACTCCGGCAGCCTCGTCCACCTCTTCGACTTCGCCCTCGCATTCGCCACCGCCACCACCTCCTCAGATGCCGCCCCGCTTCTCCGCCTTCCGACCGATCGCCGCCCTGGCCCAGGGATTGCCCTTGACGACGGCGACGAGTACAACGGGTCCTCTGTCCTATCTGCCCTCCATTTCAATGGCCAGTGCCACCCCGTTGGCCGCGCATCCAATGAACGCGGCTGCCCAGATCGAGGCCATAGTCAGCAATATGGGTGCCTCCAAGCAAGGTCACCTGTGCATCTACTGCGGCAAGGTGTACTCCAGGAAGTATGGCCTTAAGATCCACATACGTACCCATACGGGATTTAAGCCGCTCAAGTGCAAGTTTTGCCTGCGACCCTTTGGCGATCCAAGCAATCTCAACAAGCATGTGCGTCTTCACCTGCAAACTCATCCTGGCAGCGGCACGGGAGCAGGAGAAGGTGGAGGAGCCAGTGGAGCTGGCAGCGATGTAGATATTGAGGGGGAAGCGGATGCTGGTTACCAGTGCCATCTCTGTAACAAGACCTTTCCGAGGAGAAGGGATTTGCAGCGGCACATGGAGACGCGGCATGGTGGCTCTAGTCAGTCCAGCTCTCAGTCCAGCAGCACTAGTACTAGCACCTTGACCACGATGACGGGCGGCTCTAGGGTAGCCACTGCCTCCACTTCCAAATCGAGCTGATCTTGTGTTTATGGCGATCTTTTTGAGGCAATGCTGTGATAGGAAATTAAAATAAAACTGGGACTATCTCTAAGAAATTTTGTACAAAACCAAGTAAAGAATTTTTAAATGTAATTTAAAGTTAATTTAAAGTTGGATAATAAAATAGAGAAGTAAAATAATATAATATTTATGATTTTAATGCTGGGAAAGGGATTAATGAAAAGGATCTTGGGGATCTTGCTATTGAAACCAGGATCAGAAATTTTTCAAGGACCTCTGAATTAAGTTTAAATTTCAATTTAAAATAACTAAATTTTGTAAACATTTTATATCACCTTTAATATTATCCTTAAACAAACATGTATGAATCAAATAGTATCGCTTTATTGATAAATTTCAATACGAATTCAAAGTGAATTTCTATCGTATAATGCACAAATCTTATTGTTAGACAATTAATGCTATTACTCGTACAGTTGTATGCTTACAATTTCGCCTTAGCTTTCGCTTTCGCCTTAGCTTCCGTTTCCGCTTTACTTGTTCCGCTTTTGGCGGAATCTTGATCCTTATATAATCGTGTATACTCGCTTAATGTTAGGGTACATGCAAAACAATCACAAGTTGTCTTCAACTTGGGGTAAAGCAGGTGTCTGTCTCTGTTTGGTGTTTGTTTAGTGTGTTTTGTGTGTGTTGTGTGTGTCTGGGTGGTGTGTGCGTTGAGCAAAACGTAGACGGGGGCCTTAAAAACACTCACAAATACAAATCTTAATTAATGCCTATGCCTGTGTGTAGAAATGCGACAGTTAAGGTAAAGACATACACTAAATACGTATATATATATGCACTTATTGTAGTATAGATCGGAGCGTAGAGTTAACTATTCTGTTTGTTTGATTTATGGAACTACATTTAGTTTGGTTTGCACGGGGGCTAACACTTAGTAAAGTTTTTTTTTTGAACAAAGGTCTTCCCTTCACTTTCTATTTTCCATTTCCCATTTCTAACTCCCTAAACAAATCATCCTCGAAGTTTTCTTCAGATTTTTCTTTACTTTCTCTGTCATTTTTTAAGGCACTTACTCAAGAAATCGCGATTCCAGAGTGTCCCTTTGGGGTTAGTAATTTGCTTTAAAGTATTTCTTTGGAGTTTCGACCAAAAACAATGTGTGGCAAGCGAAGCGGCGAGTTTTGTGTGTGGGTGTGTTACTGTGTGAGTGTTGTGTGTGTGTGTGTGGGTGCAATAGGGTGGACCTGTTGGAATTAGAGATCTTATCAACCATTTTATGTACTCTAAAGAGTACTCTCTTTCTCATTTAAATGATTTTAAAGCTCTTAAAAATTAAATTTCTACAATGTTTTTCATTTCAAATAAATATATTTTTAACCATGATTTTTTATGATTTCTTTTTTGGATTTAAAAAAAGCATAACTAACTCAAAAAAGTCTTAAATTCAATTTGGAAAGTTTTTCTTTGCTAGTTTTTTCTAGCTTAAAAAATGTGCATTTAAATTTTAAAATTTAAGATATTGAAATTTTTGGTCGATTTTTGAGAATTTTAATGATGTAACCCCTTATAAAATTTTGAAAATAAAAATTTCAAAAAATTTTGTTTTTGCCAAACAAGTCTAGATCGACTCGGCTTTTAATGCTGATCAAGAATATATATGGTTTATAGGGTCGGAAATGACTCCTTAAATCCCCTAAAAGCTTCTGACTAAAAAAATAATACCCTGCAATAAATAAATTAGAATTTTAAGGCCTAACAAAGTTTTTAAGTTACTCATACGCCATGTTGACCCGTTTAAATTGAAGTTTGCCTTGAATGTCAGCTCAGGCTTTCAAAACTACTTTTAACTTTCAGCAAACCTAACTTAACTCCCTTTTTTCAGTAGAAAAAGTTTGCGAAAGATCTTAAATCCCACTAAAGGTCCACCCCAGTGTGCAGCTATCACCTTGAGCACTTAACGTATTTAATATTCATTATTAGCAACTTGTAGCTTTTGACAAATATGTCTGTTTCGGTTTCGGTTTCCGGATATTTGACGATACGTTTCACAGTTCTCAAAAGTCTGTACTCGGTTTTACATATACAAAGGTAATATATATAGTAAGTATAGTTTATATATAGTTTAGTATATATATAATGTAGACACCAATAGTTGTTAATCGTTAAGAGTAATATGCAAATTCTGTATGTGGCTTGGTTTAGTTTAGGAATATGTATACGCGTATTGTTGTTGTAAATATCTAACATAAATTCATACATGAAGCACACTTGGGTTCGGTTTCTCATTAACTATTTGCTAATGTTTTATGTTTATGTTGGTTAGTAATTCGTTCAAAGTTTCGCATTTAACAAAATATCCATTAACCATTATCCGTTAACAATTTGATTTATTTTTATGCCTTTTGTCAAATATATATTTATATTTACTGTATGAAGTTGTAAGTAATTAATTTTATATTTTGTGGTATTACAGTTGCTTCTTCCTCGTTGTTGTTCCCGCTGGTTCTTTTATTAAAGAGTTAGAGCATTAGACATTCGATTGATTTTATATATATTTAATTCTTTATCTGTGGTTCGCAGTTGGAAACCATTGTAGCATTGCTTTTTGGGGGTATTCATTGAATTGGCTTAATTGAAATACTGAATTGCTGAACACACACACAGACAGACGACCAAAAAATGTACAAAGGGAATATAAGGAATAAGATGCGTAACGACAGACGATTTATTGCTTAAGCATCTTGTTCTTTATATTGTCTTTGGTACGATACGTTATCATTCTTAAAAAATAGAATTTTCCTCATCCCGTCTTGCGTTTTGTCTCAAATAATTGCGCCACGAAAATTACAATTACAACCTCACTTACAAAATATTCTAGAATATACACACAATTAACGGGATTGCAGCACTCTTATGTGTGTGTAAAATTCTGTTTCTTCTGAAGACTTTCTTGTTCACAATTGTTAGTTCTTAGTTCTTGTTTTTGCATAAAAACTTTGGACGTTTGGTATTCTTATTCAAGTTTATATAATTATTATAATTAGACAAACAAAATGCTTAAAGCTGCCCACAAGACTTTGTCTACATCGTTTTTTGTTTTTAGGTATTATTATAATTCCGCTTTTGGTTTTATTTTTTATTCGTATATCAAGCTTGCTGCAGCTGCTTAACATTTAAAAGACACACAGTATGTAGGTGAAACTATATATCTAGGGGAATACGGGCTATAACTAGGCTCTCTAAGTGGTTTTATCTTTCGTTCTTCTTAGTAAGGCATATGCACAAGGGAAGGACTCGATCAACGTCATCTTCTTGGGTACCAAAACTAGGGGGAAGACAATACTGGGGACAATTGTTGACGCTCTCTTTATGTACAAGGTTTACAATTGGCGCTGCTTGATATGAGTATTTAAGTTAAACTCTAGTTTAGTTTAGTTTTAGTTTTAGTACTTGGTTTTGTGAGAGAAGCTAGGGAAAGGAGCTGCTACAGACTACACATTAAAACTCGTTCAATTAGATTTCATTGCAGTTGTCATTATTGCTGTTCTTGGTTTGCTTTAGACGTGTCCTGTTGCCTGATTGTGTTGCATATAAACTTGACCTGTGAGTGAGTGAGTGTCTCGTATGTGTTGGCTGTGTTTTGTTGTATGTTTTACAATTTTTGTTTAAATTAAGTTTGCTTTATCAAATACCCTGCAACTTCATTTAATTATCACAGTTTTTCATCAGAGATAGTTTAAATGTTTCAATATGCTTTTTACTTGTGTTGTTTTTGATACATTTTCTGGTTTTTATGCAAAAATAAAAGGCAAGCCAGTTGAAATTTGTGCAAAATTGTGTCTGGTTTACTGTTTCCTAAACAAATGTTTGTTAATTAAACCAGCAAACAAGGATTTTAGCTTAGGATGTGTGGGTAAGAGAAGTGGTGTGTGTTATTAAGGTTCCACACATCTGTGCCTGATATGCTGCCCATCTTAAAATATAAGCTACGTGTCTACATTTTTTTTATTTTTTATTTATTTATTTATATATATATTTTTTTATTTATTTTCTTATTTTTTTTGGTGAGCAAGTCTCGTGTAAAACAAACATCGATTTTACTTTTAAAGTAGTTTCTGTTTTTATTTGTAAACATAATTAAATTGTAATTATTTGGAAGCAAAAGATGGCATATTTGTTTCTTTTTCCTTTCTCATATTTCTTTCTGCGTCGTCAAGCAAATAAAAAAGCTTTCACAAAAAAAATAATTAATATATTTAATGTAAATTTAAAATGTCTTCTTGGAAAGTCTTCATTTGAATTTCTCGTTTCATTTCGTTTTTGTTTCGTTTGGTTCTGGTTGCAAATATATAGAAATCGTGTATAGTAGTCATATAGGTAGTGCTGTTGTGGCTTGTGTAGATCGGGGGTGTGGGTAAGTCATTCAAGTCCCTACTTTGCCTTCGTTCTTTATGCATTTCTGCTATTTTTAGTAGGTTCTTTCAGTGTGTTTTTGTACTTTCGACAAAGCATATTTATATTTTTTTTGGTTTAACCGATTTGTATACGAACAAAGTCATATATAATGGCAAAGATCTGCTTACCTCTCTCTAATACATAATGCGTATAGCGTACTTTTTGTGCTTGCAGCATGTGTGCAAAGACCCTATAATAACAAGATGAGTAACGGCATACAAATGGTTCAAGGCTCTCTTCAAATTATGATAAAAAAAACCAGAACTAGAGGCCGCTTTAGAGATACTTTTAAGCTCAGGTTTTCTCAAGAATTCTACGCTCTCAAAGAACCTAATGAGGACTTTAGCCATCTTGTTATTATATGGTCTTTGGTGTGTGTGATTGTTAGTTTGGTATTTTGGCATTGCCCTTGCTTTCTCGTTCTCAAAAATACAATAAATACAAGTCTCCGATTTAAAAAATACAGGGATATAATAGTGGTGGGGGGGCTGTCTATATATCTCTTATTCTCGTGCTAAGGAGGGACTCGAACTCGGGACTCCCCCTCTAAACAAAAATGAGGGCAAAGGACGTATGTATATGGACAGCCCCATTTTAAAATATTATATTTATAGATAGATAATCCTCATATAATATAATATAATATAATATAAAACTAAGCATTCTAAGACGTTGCGTTGAATTTTGGTACTTTAAGTAATGCTCATTCGTTGCCCAACACATGGAGAGTATTGAAAGTGGCGGCGCTCTAAGACGACAGACTAATATAGTTTACAAACAAAATACAAAGTTGGCTTAATTAGGAAACACGAAGGAGGAGTAATAATTAAAATAATTGGCAATATGAGCGAGGAGCAGAAGGAATCAACAACATACTTTGAACAATTTTTTTTTTGTTTTGTTTTCTTAAAGTTTTTTTTTGTGTTTTTCGAGTTTTTTTTTTCCTTTTCATTTTGGTTTTTTTGGGCGGGCTTCGGCCTTTTTGCTAATACAATACAAATCATTTGTTGTACTTTGCAGCCTGCTAAATATGTACGTATAGGTAGTATATAGTATATAGTAGTATGTGGTATCTATATCCATATAAATATGTATGCATGATTATGTTGTAGAAGAATGACCGAAGAGCAAATCAAAGGCATTTTGTTTTTTCTGTTTTTTTTACAATTGCGTTGGTGCGTGCGGGGTGAGAGATGCATATTTATGTGGTTGTTGTGGCTATTTCCACATTGTTCGTCTTGGCGCTAGCGGCCAGTTTCTGTTGCTCCGCTGTTGTGATGTTGGCCTGCTCGTGGATATGCTGCTGCTGACCGTCCACGTTGCTGCTGCTGTTGTCGTTGGCATGGTTGCTGCAAATTTTAAAATGGAAAATAGAAGGAAAACTAATTTTATCAACTGAAACATAATGATATATACACAAAAATATATATAATATAATATAAAATATATATAAATGTAAATCGGTATTGAAAAAAATTAAAACAAAAACATATTTAAAAAAAAATTAATATAAATTTAGATTTATCGATTTTATCGATTATCGAACTTGTATAAATCGATCAATCTATTATCCTATCTAGGTATGGGAATTAAATATAAATTTATATTTATCGATTATCGATTATCGAATTTATATAAATCAATTAATCTATTATCCTAATTAGATATGTGTAAATTTATCGATAAAAACCGATATTTTAAATCCCTTAAATGCAAGATTCACACTCACAATTCATTCACTTTGCTGGTTGGTCCATTCGAAATGGGCGTTGGCTGCTCTGTGGCCTCCGTGGCGCCACCCAAGGGCTTGGTCCACATGCCCTCATCGTCCTCGTAGTCCTCTTCGCCGTCCAGCAGCACCGACTGCAGCCTAGTCACGATCGAGGCAGTCTCCACAGGGCTTGACTCGGCCAGCAACTTGTCACTTATAGCCTTCTCCACGTTGGCATTATTGTCGTACTCAGCCTGCTGATCATCAGTGCTCGGAGTTGTCCGCTCCTGAGACTCTGGCTCTCCAGCGTGGGTAGACTGTTCCACCTGCTGCTCCTCCTCTTCCTCATCAGGCGGCGCAGTGGTTGGCTTGCCCAGATCACTGCCAAAAGTGCTAAAGTGCGCATCAAAATCAGCAAAGTTATCCGCATTAAAGTCCGTGCCCCAGTTGGCGGTGCCAGTGTTGATTTGGGCAGACACGCCGGGAATGTCGGAGAACTGAACGTCCATGTCCCAAGGATCAGCAAGGTTGTTCAGAGTAATAGAGTTCTTGGTGAACATGCCGTGACCATGACCGTGACCATGGCCATCACCAGAGCCCGAGTGATCACCGCCATGATGCTCATCATCGTCATCATCCTCGTCGTCAATGTTGCGTCCAAACTGGAATAGATTCTGATCGTTGTCCATGGTAAAGACAATGTCCTGCAACGTATTGTCCAGATCACTGTAGCCCATGTTGCTGTACGACAAAGTGCCAATATCCCAGGCATTCGTCTCGCCCAAATAATCCTTGGAGCCCACATTGTACTCGTTCTCCTCATGCGGATTGCAGTCAGCCAGCAGTTTGGTTTGCTGCTTGACCGCCAGGGTAAACTCGCCGGCTTCCGCATCAATCAGCGACTGCCAAAGTTTTTGCTCATCTTCGTTGCTTAGACTGGTGGCTATAAGGGCGGCGATATGTTCAGAAGCAGATATACAATTCGTGACGTGGCGTAGTATTTTGATGAGGTGTCCCATATAGCCCAGACGGCGACCCTTTTCAGCAGATCTGCACGGGGGGAATCATGAGTTTGAATGGTAAGATTAAGGGGTTCTGTTTGATGATGACTTACTGCGCCTGCGCATTGTGCTGCCAATAGTCAACCAGCTTGGACACCAACTGGCAGTTGACAATCAACTGAAAAGAAAGCAAACAATAAATTAATATATATATTTTGGTAGGGTTTATAGAATAACTCACATGGGTTTGCATTTCGGAGGGTGGAGCACTGGGCAAAGTCTTGGTCTTGTCGAGATCATTGAGCGCTGGCTCTGGCTCTGCTTCTTGTACACTTTTATCCACCTCTACCTCCACCTCCTCACCATTCTCCTGCTTGGCAAGATCACTTTCTGCCTCCTCTGCTGGAGAAGCTTTAGCTTCGGTTGCCACTTCTATGGGAGTCTCTTGTTTTTCCGCTGCCTCTTCAATTTCAATGTTAGCCTCCTGCTGTTTCACTTCCTCCTTGCCAGCCTCTGCTCGTTTGGCTTCATTCTGGGCATTCATTAGCTCTTCAAACTCAGTTTCTGTGCCCACATTGAGTATGGCATTGATAATCCATCCTGGAGGTCTGGGAAAGCCTGTGACCTCGGTGGAAGCGGTATTATCGTTGGCCAGCTCGTTGTAAAACACCAAATGAAGAGCCTTTTCCAGCTCGGTGTGCAGAAAGTTGTTCCAGCAATACTGCTTGAAGTAATCCAGCAGCAAGCTAAAATACTCGGTGGAGCAGATTCTAAGTAAAGGCAAGAAAAGTTAGATTATGTTTAGTTTTTTTCTAAAAGACTAAACTTACGCTTGCTGAATGGTCTCATGCTTGGTCTCCAGCAGGGCGGTAAACACACGACACACTTGAAGGCGTGTCTTGCCAAAGGGGGGCGTCAGAACAGCAGCCGTGGTCTCCAGCGTGGGTTTCTGGAAAGGCAGGAAATCATATATAAAAGTGTTTTTTTCGTAACAAAAACCTAAACTCACCGCAGGCGGGTTCTTGAGCACATGAACAAATTCTTGAAGGCGGGGCGCCATCACAGTGATCACAGTTTCCTGCACTTCCTGATGGAATTCAAGCTCACGCTTCTCCAAGAGCAGCTGCCTATCCGAGTTGGGCTCATCTCTGTGCCAAAGAAAAATTATAATATAAAATGTATAATATATAATATTTAAAACTCACTTGAAGGTAATTGGCTTGATGAGGGTAAGTACAACCGATATTCCTGATAAGATGGCGCTCTCTTGAGCGTTTGGTTCCAAAATCACATTTAACAAGGCTTCAATTGTCTCCGCTGACTCGATCGTCTTTAGTATGGGATTGGAGCCCTCAAAGGCCGGCTCAAATGAATCATTCTCCTGCTCGGTTTGGCGCATTAGACGCCCTTGGTTAATAAGATCACAGAAAAAGTCGGCAACATTAGCATGTTTGTCCGTTTCTTGAGGATTACGCAATATTGCAATCAGTCTCTCAACAATTTTATCTTCAGTTAGCCACTAGAAAATATAATATTTTAAATATTTAATAAAATAATTGATGCCCCAAGAAACTCACTTCGAATAGATTCCGCTTGAGCTGACCACCCTCAATGTCCTTCATCATCTGCATTATCAGATCAGGTATGACCGGTGTGTCAAAGTGTTTGCAAATGTAATCCAAAAAGGTCTTCTGCGATTTAATATACTCCAGGAGTTGTAGGCACATGTGTTGATACAAAAACCAATCTTGTTCAGGCTTTTTGGTAAAGAGCATGCTAAACGTTTTGCTAAAAAACGATGATAGCAATGGATTTAACGGTGGTTCCTTTTCCAGATATGAATACAGCAGCTGCAAAGTCTCCGCATCGGTCAGCAGCTTCTCATCCAGGGACGGCAGGCCACTATAAACACACAGGGTTACGAGGTTACCGAGGACAGCAGGACATCAGACTTACAGTGTGAGTATCTCACAGGACATGTTGGCATAGCGGAAACGCTGAGCCATGGGCACATCTTCAGAGGGCTCGGTTGTGATCAGCTCCACCAGTCGCCGTATGACCTCGGGACGTGTAAAATAGTTGACCAGGTTCTTCTTTTGCGTTTTGCACTCCTGAAGTATGTCCTCCTCGTCCAGGAATTCCTCCAGCGTGGAATTCTAAGGGGGTAGGCAATATAGTAGGGTAAGTTTCCATCAGGAGTTTTGGGGGGTGTAACCTCCCAACCCACCTCCTTCTCCAGCAGCGCCTCTATATTCGCGGAGGGCGCATAACCCTTGTCCCAAAACATTTTTCGCACGTACGTCTTGGCGGTGACACTTTCAGGCTGGGGCGAAAAAAATCAAGATATCTCTTCGCTGGGCTCGCGGATCGCTTGGGCTCGGGCGTCGCTGGGTCGTCGCTGACTGGGCATGCACGGGGCTCTGCGGAATCAGGATCAGAGTGGAGGATAACCAGACGCGGAGTCAGTCGCTCAATTAAATCACACTGCCGGGGGACACACAAGCAACAAAGTAATGCGTAAATTTTTGTAATTATGCCAAGCAGGCCCACATATACACTACGAATGCGGACCGAAAAACGAGTTACCGCCCCTTAACTGCCCTTCGATTGGGTGCGTGGGCGTGGCGGGTACACTTACGAGTTGGTTGGACTTTGTTTTTCTCACTATTTGTTGCACTTTTAATTGTTTTTCTACCGAAAAAACCACGCTATAATTTTCTTCACTGCTTCGTAGAGGTGGAAAATCTTCGATAGTAAGTATCGATAGTAGCCACCATCGAGGGCTGTGCAGGCCGATAGTCGATTTTTGTTCTTCACTATCGATATATCGTTGAAGTAGAAGTACACTAACAAAAACCAGGGGCTGCTAGATTAATTTTGTTTTAATTTAAAATAATTAAAATCTAATTTCCATTTTTATATTTTGAAAACAATAATATCAACTTTTTATTTAATTTATAATCATTAATACCAAGGAAATGTATTTTGGGGTGTTTAAAACAATAAAAAATTGTAATTTTTCGAATTATTTATTTTTTTATTTATTTATTTTATTATTTAGTTTTAGTTTGTGTTTCCTGCAGCTTTATTAAAATGTTTGCAAAAAATAGGTTCAAGTTAAAAAAAATTGCGTTTATCGTTTTCGATCTACGCAAATTTGTAGTGTGACCGTTGGTGTAATCTTGTAAAATCCACCAAGGTCCTTAGCAGGCTTTGGTGTTTTTATTTAAAAGGTTTAAAATATTTAAATACAACATTTAATGGATAGCGGCATTGTTTTATGCGAAATTGCCGATGAAATCCTTGATTTGGAGGACCCAGAGCATCCCTCAGAGTTCTGTTGCCTCAAGCGGCGATGGCGAATCAAGGAATTTCTGGCCGAGCACGCCGACGTTATTGTGATTGCCGTGCAAAAAAGTGAGTAGTTTCAAAGTTCTCAGGAAACAATGAATTTAATGATAAATTTTAGGCCAGAAAGCACGCACCAGAAGGCTGTGCTTTAGGGCCATCCAGCAGGACACTGGCCAATGGAGCTTGGTGCTTCGCCATGAGCAGACCCACATCCGAATCCGTCCCATCGAGCTGGAACTGGCTGAGATCCTGCTCCCGCTGGTGTTCAAGGATTACGCGACCAGCCTGGAGTTCGAGGTAGCTCGCCAAGAGCTGGAACACCAGCAGCCCCTCAAGACCTATGTGAGCACAAAGCTGTTCGATGCTCTCTACGAAAGGCATCGCCAGGCAGCGGATCCAAACCAGGAGACGGCTTTGGATATGCCACAACGATTTCAGTCGCGCTTAAGGAAGTACCAGGAGCGTACGGTCTCCTGGATGCTGGGCCGGGAGCAGCGCCCAACAGAGCTGCCCGCCAAGTACACGCCCCTGCAAGCCGTCGACGGACAAAGTCGCGTCTTCAAGCACAACTACTGCCTGCAGTTCTACCCTTACGAGGAGGAGCTGCCCAATATTTGCCTGCCCCCTGGCGGCATTCTGGCCGATGAAATGGGTCTGGGCAAGACCGTGGAGTTCCTGGCCATGTTGCTGCTAAATCCCCGACCCAAGGAAACCTATAGAAACGAATACTGGCTCCGGCTCTTGGACGACTTGGGCGACGAGCTGCCGCTGAAAAGGAAGCGCAAAGAGGGGAGGCAGGATTTTTGCATCTGCTTGAGAAAGGGTGGAGCAAGGATGCAGTGCAGCAAGTGTGGCCGCTGGCAGCATAAACACTGCATGGGCACTCAGAGTACCGCAGACCTGCCTCACCTGTGTCCTGAATGTTGGTCCGAGCTGGCAAAGACCAGGGAGATCTTGGTGGAAACTGGAGCCACCTTCATAGTTTCACCCTGTGCCATCAAGATGCAGTGGTTTCACGAAATGAAGAAGCACATCTCGCCTGGCTTAAAGGTGTTGTTGTATCGCGGCTTGCACGCCGGCAGCTGGGTGAATCCCCTGGAGCTGGCCCAGTACGATGTGGTGCTCACGGACTACAGCATACTCCGCAACGAGATTCATCACACGGCGGACAAAAAGTCGGATCGACAAATGCGTCACCAGCAGCTGTACATGCGGCCCAGCTGCCCGCTGCTGATGGTCAACTGGTGGCGAGTGTGCCTGGACGAGGCGCAGATGGTGGAGAGCACCACCTCGCAGGCTGCGGAGATGGTTAGGCTGCTGCCCGCTGTTAACCGCTGGGCGGTGACCGGCACCATTGATGACCTAAAGCCTCTGCTAGAGTTTGTGGGTCGCACGGAAGCCTGCCGGCCCCCAGAGGCCTGGCAAACCATAGACAAGGCCTTTCAGTTGAACTTCAGGCCGGAACCTTTGCTGGAGGTCCTAGAGCTTAGCTTGTGGCGCACCTGCAAGTCCAAAGTAGAGCACGAACTGGGCATTCCTCCCCAGACTCAAGTGGTGCATCGACTGGAACTGAGCAATGTGGAGTCCTTGTACTACAGGGAGGAGCACCAGAAGTGCCATCAACAGTTCCTGGAAGCCGTGGCCAAGCATACGCGTTATAATGCAGACAACAGCTCCTCCTCCTTGGCGGCCATCTCGCCGCAATTGCTGCGCCTTATCCTCAAGCCCTTCTTGCGCATTCGCCAGACCTGCTCGGTGCCTGTGGTAATCAATAGCAATGTGGCCAGCAATTGCTATCTGAATCCTCAAGAGCTTCTGGCCAGATTGAAGTCCAACAATGAAATTGAGTGCAAAACAGAGCTGCGCAGCTGGGCCTCCTCCTACAATGGCCTGGCCTCCATACACTTTATACGGGAGGACTTTTCCGAGGCCATCAGGTACTACAAGCTGGTGCTAAAGCTGGCCGAGGACTACAACCAGGAGAATATATCGTGGGTATTAGTTAGTTTCCCCCTCTTTTCCCTGCTTACATCTTCTTCATTTTGCAGGGTGGACAGCGTGCTCCAAATCCATGCCATATTCAATCTCCTCCAGGCCAGTGAGCTGGCTGCTACTCCCGACCAGCTTTCCGACCAGGAGAAGCTCAACTATCAGGCGCAAATGAAGCGCTTGGAGTGGAAGTATCTGGAGGACAACACAGCTGTCCTGGAGGCAGCTCTAAATGCCTACGAAACCAAGCTTAAGGAGGTAAACCAGCTTGAAGTGGAAAACGAGAGCAACTGCGTTGAACTCCTCTCCGCAGTGGTGCACCACCAGCCCACACTTCAAAATGCCATGTGGAACAAGATGCTGGAAGAGTTTATGCGCCAAAACTTAGCCGCGGACAAGATCAGGGATGTGGACAGCATGGCCGGCCTGGTGTATTATGTGGATATTTGGTACCAAAAATTAAACAAACTGAAGAACACTTTGCTCTTGGAGTTTGTGTACCTTAAGGAGGTGATGCAATCAGCTTGGGGGTCTGTTAAAAAAGGAGATGGACTCCCGCAGAAGATCATCAATTTTATAGGCAGCGTCACCGATTGTCACTTGGCGGTTATATTGGTGAGTGTAGCAGGAAATCTTTTCCTTTTTTCCTAACTTAAACTTAAATTCCACAGGAAGACAAGCCTTATGATAAGCCAGAAAAGCCGAAGAAGCAACGTCATTGTCGCCTGTGCAAAATCAGGGATTCCTTGAACCAATTCGAGTGCCTGCTTTTTGCCAAGGAGCTCGAGGAAGAGGCTTTGGCTGCCGAGGGTCTAGAGAAGCCCAGTCTGGAGATTTGTTTAATTAAAGGTAAGTAAAAAACAATAAAGGATATGATATTATTTTAACCTCTCTCCCACATCCCTTAGCCATCTTCGCCTTTGTCCGCTTAAAACCAGACTTTAGCGAATGGCAACTCGAGTGTCAAAACCAGCTCGAGGTTCTAGCCTCCTTGCAAAGCCTGGTCAAGTGCCAGATCAAGTACTGGATCGAAGTCGAGTACATGGTGAAGGCCTTCGATGAGCTGGAAATGTGCCGTATGCGCATTCTGCTCACCGATGATCCTGAGAAGCAGTCCAACTACCGCATCCACCATTGCCAGCTGGAGGAGCAGCTGCAGTTCAATTTGTCCAATCTAAACGAGGCGCAGCTGAACTTTACCCGCCTCTGCGGCAGGCTAAAGTACCTAAAGCACCTCAAGGAAGATGCCACCGACAAGCCCTGTCCCATTTGCCAAACCCAGGACGATTTGAGGGTGAGTGAGAGCTCTGACTTATAGCCAATATTCAGTTTTGGTACAATAGTTACCCTCTCTTTTAGTACGTGATGATGGTTTGTGGCCACTTTGTATGCCAGCACTGTCTGGATACCATGCGCAGCAGATTGGACAAAGGGGAAGGGACCAAGTGCCCACTTTGTCGTCAGGACTCGCCACAGTAAGCCACCTAAATAAGCCTTAAATAAATATGTTTTAAATACATTTTCCTTAAAGATTGTATTACTCGATACGCCGTGGTGCCCACAAGTCCATAGCTGGTGACTTTTCCACCAAGATTGCCTATATTGTGGAACTCGTCTTGAAGATCCGAGAGGCTGATGAAACGGAAAAGGTACTCATCTTCTCGCAATGGCAGGCTATACTCATGCAAATAGGCAGAGCCTTGCATTTCAATGGCATTCAATTTCGCAGCAAATGCACCAACAAGGAGTTTGAGGATTTCAAGGTTTGCTAACTGAAAGTGAACTCTTTAAGTCTTATAGTAACCTTCACCCTTCAATCCTCCTCCCAGAATCCCAAAAACAAGATTACCTGCCTGCTAATGCCCATTTCCAAGGGCTCCAAGGGTCTCAATCTGATCGAGGCCACACATGTCTTTCTGGTGGAACCAATACTAAATCCCGGCGATGAACTCCAGGCCATAGGTCGCATCCATCGCTTTGGCCAAACAAGGTGAGCTTTGGGGTCTCAAATTTAGAGCAACGTTTTTATTCATATTTTGCAGACCCACCAAGGTACATCGCTTTATAGTGAATAGCACCATAGAGGAGAACATTCTGTCACTTATAACCTCAGCCGATGACACTGAAACTCTGTCCACTCACTGGGACTTGGAGAATATGTCGCTGGATAGCCTCAAGAAGCTATTCATACTCAAGGATAAGGAGTAGTTATAAGAGAAAGGAAAGGATTTAACACATTCCACTTGATAATCTTAGGTCTTATCAGTATTTTTTATAATATTCTATATAATCTTTATAACTTTAAGCTTACACCTAAGTTAACTCCATTTTAAGCAAAATATATCTGTAAAATATAAAATATTGCTCTTCATTTACATCTGTTCTCCCCGCGTTAAACGCCACAAACGTTTCTCACACATGGTCCATCTTCAAGGCGTCCAGAGTGCTGCTACCCTCCACGTTCACCTTCTGCGCGTAGTAGCCATCGTAGGAGGCCTGCACCTTGTCCAGTTCCTGCTGCTGCTGCAGTCGTTGAAGTTGCTCGTAGGCAGCCTCCTGGATCTTTTGACGCTCCTCGTCTGCACGCCGCTTCACCGCATTCTCCTCGAACTGCTGGGCCTGGAGTTCGGCGGAAGCAGCAGCACGTTCCGCCGCCGCCTCTTGGTACTCACCATAAGAGTGCAGGCCGCTGGCGCCCTCCAGCTTGTGCAGCGAGGATAGCTGCTCCTTGGCTGCCTCGGCTATTTCCCGTTTCTTGGCCTCTGCCTGCCGCTTGGCCTCCCGCTTGCTCCGCTCCTGCTCCTCCAGCTCCTCGCGGGCGGCATAGAACTTGGGCGAGATAACGGGCGGACGATTCTCGTGGGTGCGCTGATGGCGTTTCAAGGCCGTCTCCTGGCGGAAATGCGTGCCGCAGGTCTTGCATTCGAAGGGTTTCTCACCCGTATGAATCCACTCGTGATGCCTCAAAGTCTGGGCCTTGGCGAAACGCTTGGGGCAGAAGCGGCAGGCGAAATCCTTGACCTTCTCGTGGATGATCTTGTAATGTCGCTTCATGTTCCCGATGTTATTGAAACCTTGACCGCAGCCGGGACAAATATGCTTGCCCTCCTTCTTGGTGAAGTTGACCTGCGGCGACCAGGAGGGCACTGAGACAGAGGGTATGGGATTCACAGCGGTGCCGGCCAGCTCGGCTATGTCCACGCGCTGAACGCGACGCGGATCTTTGGGTATGGTGGCCACCGACTCGGCACATACCTTGAGCAGCTCGTCGGCGGCATTGATGGCGGGTTCGCTGCTTCCTAAGCCCTCGACTGGCAGGCACGACTGGAGCTCGGCTGGAGCTGAAACCAATTGCTCGCCCGCTGTCTCGCCCATCTCCACCTGCCGCTGGCGATAGGTCTCGATGGCTCGGAGCACACGCTTCTCGTGGGTCTTCAGGTGCTTGGTCAGGCTCTTGGGATAGAGGAACTTCTTGCCACAGACCTTGCACTCGCAGCGCTTCTCACCCGTGTGTGTCATCTCGTGGATCTTGCAGGCATGCGACTTGCCAAAGGTCTTGCCGCAGTACTGGCAGGCGTAGTTCTTGATCTTCTCGTGGACTATCTTGATGTGGTTGGCCAGGCTCTGCTTGTTGTGCGAGGCATGCTCGCAGATGTGGCACTTGAACTTCTTCTCCTGCGTGTGGGTGAGGATGTGGGTGTTCCACTCCTGCCTGGTGGTCTTTCCAACGCCACAGTAGGGGCAGACATAGTTCTTAATCCCTGCATGCCGCATCAGGTGATCCTTTAGAGCGCTGTTTATGACGAACCTCTTGCCGCAGATGTTGCAGGGAAAGGGCAACTCCTTGCCGTCGTGCTTGTACATGTGCTTCTTGAGGGCCATTGGACACCGAAACACCTTCTCACACTCGGAGCAGGGGTAATCCCGTGGCGGCGCTGCCGCCTTTGTGATCCCATGCACCTTTTTCATGTGGAAGGTAAGTAGACGGATGCGCGGGAAGGACTTGCCGCAGCCCTCAAAGCTGCAGTTGTGGACCTCCGACAGCTCCGTGTGGGCGTGGTCAATGTGAAGCCTCAAACCGCCAGCGGTGGTGAAGCCTTTCCTGCAGGTCTCCACTTTGCACTGGAAAGGTAGCAGGTCGTTGTGGTGCTTCATGTGCTCCTCATAGCGTATGGCCTTTTTGAACTTTTGGTGGCAAATGTGGCAGTCGATGATGCGGTGCAGGTGCCTTTCGCCAGGTGGTACCCTCCTACGCCTGGACTTAGTCTTACTCCCCTCCTCGTCCGCCTCCACCTCGGAGCCAGAGAGAAATTCCTCTTCCTCTACCTTAACAGAGGCTCGCTTGGCCTTGGGTTTGGCCATGCGCTGTGCCAGGGGCAAGTCATCGTCGCCGTCGCTGCTATTGGGCTCAAAGTCCACATCTTGGTCGTGGTCGCTCTCGCTCTCCGAGGAGGAATTCGTCTCGAGAAAAGCCATTAAATCGCCGTCATCGTGCTTGACTTGCTTTTCCACTTCCTCAACCTCCTTGTCCACATGCTCCAGCATCTTGAACACATCCTCCTCGTTTTCGATCAGCTCCATTTTGTGATCCAGCAGCGGGTCAAAGTTGATGCGATCCTCATCCTCTGGGCCCACCATGTCAGCCCCATTTCCAGCCACATTCAGCATGTCAAAGGTTTTGATCTGCCCGCTCTGAGGCATGCAGAAAACGTTCCTGGCCACCAGATCCTGAAACTTTTGCACCGAGTCCACGCACAGCTTCTGGAACTCATGCAGATCGTCCAGCCGGGCGTAGCAGGGTGTGCACAGATTCTTGGGAAAGCCATCCGACTGGTCCACCACCAGCGAGGTGCACACGCATAGCTTCTTGGCCAGGCCGGGGATCAGGAAGAGGTCAAAGCATCCGGCTCCAGCGCCGTCGCCCGGCAGGCGGTTCAGGCAGATGCGGCACACGGCATGCACCGAGTACTGGGCCCCCTCCTGGTCCATGGTGCCCAGCTCCAGAGTGAATCTCAAGGGGTCCGGCGTTGGGGAGGAATTGTTTTAAGCGGAGAAAAAAACTTTACGCGTCAGACAAACCAAAACAAGAGTGACAGTGATGCTCGCAGTTGGAAAAATAGCCAAATGGCTAGAAAAGTTTTTAAAAATTATAAAAATATATTTTAATATTTAAAATTTAATTTTAATGTAACTAATTAATATTGCAAACAAATATTTTTTTATTAAAATAATTTTTTTTATTTCGCAGTTGGAAAAATAGCCAAAATCAAAGCCAGAAATCTAGCTAACTAGCTATAAAACAAGCTAACTGCGCTCAGCACTACCCACTGCCGCTTACCAACACTGAACAAGCACTCTCCAAATTCTTATTTGTTTATTTATATTTAAATCGACACTTTTAAATGAATACAATTAGCAATCATACAATAAAATACAAACTTAAGCCGCTGAGGTTGGAGGGGATGGAGTTACATACAAATTAGACAAAGGGATTATTGCAAAATGACGGAAACTAGATGGTAAACCTTAGAGTCCTATAACGCATACTTATGTCCTTCACAGAAACACATAGTAAATGGGATGGGTTGTGGGGCTGGGGATGCTGATCCTGCCGCTCAGACGTGGTCCATCTTGAGGTGATCCGACGAGGTGCTGCCCTCCGCCTCGGCCTTCTGGGCGGAGAATCCCTGATACGTGCCCGTTTGCTTCTGGAGCTTGTTCAACTGCTCAAAGGCGGCCTCCTGGATCTTCCGCAGCTCCGCCTCTGCCTTTCGCTTGGTCTCGTTCTCCTCGATCTGGTAGGCCAGCAGCTCGGCGGTGGCAGCCGCCCGCTCTGCCGCCGGATCCTGATACTGCTCGAAATTCTTCGGCTGCTGGCGCTTCACGGAAGTGCTGGTCTCGGCCTTGGGGCCCGCCGGCTCCTTGGGCTTGCCGGGCGGACGGGGCGGCTTGTCATGCACCTTCATGTGCGTCTTGAGCACCTGCTCCTGGCGGAAGTGCTTGCCGCAGACCTTGCACTCGTACGGCTTTTCGCCCGTGTGGATGTACTCGTGGTGGCGGAGGTACTGCTTCTTGGCGAACCGCTTGGGACAGAAGCGACAGCAGAAGTCCTTGACCTTCTGATGCACCACCTTGTAGTGGAGCTTCATGTTGCTCACATGGTTGAAGCCCTTGCCGCAGTCCGGGCAGATGTGCTGGCCCTCCTTCTTGGTGAAGTTCACCTGCGGCGACCAGGACGGCAGGTTGACCGAGGGTATCGGATTGGCCACCGTGCCCGCCAGCTGGGCAATGTCCACACGCTCAACGCGGCCCCGCAGATGCGGACTGGGCTTGGCAATCGTAGAAGTGCTGGTGGCGGCGGCGGTGGCAGCAGGATCACCCATCAAGGGATTCAGCGGCTGGGTCTTGGGCAGATCCCGCTTCTCGTGCGTCTTCAGATGCTTCGTAAGGCCCTTCTCAAAGAGGAACACTTTGCCGCAGATCTTGCACTCGCAGCACTTGTCCCCAGTGTGGCTCCGCTCGTGGATCTTGCAGGCATGGGACTTCCCGAAGGTCTTTCCACAGTACTGGCAGGCAAAGTCCTTCCTCTTCTCGTGCACCACCTTGACGTGATTGGCCAGCGCCTGCTTGTTGTGGGAGGCATGGTCGCACTGCCGGCACTCGTACTTCTTCTCCTTGGTGTGCGTGAGGATGTGCTTGTTCCACTCCTGCCGAGTCGTTTTCCCAACGCCGCAGTAGGGGCAGACGTGGTTCTTGATGCCCGCATGGCGGAGGAGATGATCGCGCAGAACGCTGTTGATGGGGAAGCGCTTGCCGCAGATCTCGCAGGCGAAGGGCAGCTCCTCACCGGTGTGCTTGTACATGTGCTTCTTGAGGGCGGTGGGGCATCGGAACACCTTGTCGCACTCGGTGCAGGGGAAGTCCCGCTGCGGGGTGTCCACCTTGTGGACGCGCTTCATGTGGAAGCTGAGCAGCACGGGCCGGGCGAAGGACCTGTTGCAGCCCTCGTAGGTGCACGGATGCATGGCCGAGGTGTCTGTGTGAGCGTGCTCCACATGGACGCGCAGCCCGTTGGCGGTGGTAAAGCCTGCAAACTCAAACCATTAGATTGATCTTGGGGGCAGGGGCTTAGCCTCCAGGATACTCACCCTTCTTGCAGCTCTCCACGGTGCACTGGAAGGGCAGGAGATCGTTGTGGTGCTTCATGTGATCCTCATAGCGGAAGGCCTTCTTGAACTTCTGGTGGCAGATGTGGCAGTCAATCAGACGGTGGCGATCGCGCTCCTCCGCTGGAATCCGCTTCCGCTTGGCCTTGCCCTTGCTGGACCCATCCTCCGAGTCGTCCGAGGAGCTGGACTCATCGGATTCCTGCTTGGCCTTGGTCTTGGCCTTCGACTTGCGTCCGCGGGCTCCAGTTCCACTCCTGCTGCGCTGGGCCAGCGGAATGTCATCGTCGCTGCTGTTCAGCTGGAAGTCCACATCCTGGTCATTGTCGTTGCCACTCTCAAAGGAGTCCTCCGCCGAGAATTCGCCAAAGGGCTGTTCCATCTCCACATCCATGTCCTCCTTTTCCACCTCTTCCACTTCCTTCTCGACGGTTTCCAGCATCTTGAACACATCCTCCTCGTTCTCAATGATCTCTATCTTGGAGTTGAGCAGCGGATCGAAGTGGACGTTGTCCTCCTCCTCGCCCGGCAAGTCGGCCACTGCAGCACTGGGATCCAGCACATCGAAGTTGGTCTGGCAGGCGAAGGTGTTGCTGGCCACCAGATCCTGGAACTTTTGCACCGAGTCCACGCACAGCTTTTGGAACTCATGCAGGTCGTTCAGCTTCGAGTAGCACTGGGTGCACAGGTTCTTGGGGAAGCCGTCCGCCTGCTCCACGGACAGGGAGGTGCACACACACAGCTTCTTGGCCAGGCCGGGCACCAGGAAGAGATCGTAGGCCGCCGTGTTGTCCAGCGCGGACAGGCAGGTGCGGCACACGGTGTGAATAGAGTATTCTCTGCCGTCAGAGATGGACATCTTGCCGAGAGATCCGGAAAACTTCAGCCGAGATAAATAGTTCTTTGCCGAGAAAAATTGAATACAACACTTGACAGTGTGACCGGCTTGACCAGAGAATTCTTGAGGAAAAGCGAAAAGCAGCTGGGCACACTGTAATGCTTAAAAGCAACGAGACGGTCTGGCAATGCCCACAGTTTAGCGAGTAGATTACAGTGGTGGTTCGAGTAATAGGTTCAATTACAGTCAATGCGTGAAATATTGAACAATCATTTCAAAATTTGCATATTTTGAAAATTTACTTAATTTAAATTTGGGTAATTTTTAAATTATTATTTAAAAGGAAAATATAATTGAAAAATATATATTTTTTTGGAAGAAAATCAGATAGATATAAAATTCTCGTTTTAGATTCTTCAAATCCCATTATATCTATAGTCATTAGGAATCCACTTCCCATCCAGAGAGTAAGACCAAAACCTTGGCTAATATTTATGTTGTTTTTAATCCTTTACTCTAAGTAAGCACGGGAGACATTACACGGAAAACACAGGATACATATATTGCATGTATGTATAAAGGTAAAAGGTATAAAGTATAAAATATTATGTATAAAGTAAGTGCTCATATTGTAATATGTACGCGATTAATTAATTAAGGGGGCTTAGGGCCCCCCATGAATCTACAATCTGATCCAGCTAGAGAGCAATTCGAGGCATGCCTAAGGACCTTCCGGACAGTGTGATAGCTGCTGCGTAGAAGTGGGGGATACAAATGTCGCACGAGATAAGATAAAGCCAATTCCTGGATGAGGCCTCTGGCCTTAGACATGGTCGATCTTTAGGGCATCGACGCTGGTGCCCTCGGCCTGGGCCTTTTGCGCATAGTAGCCATCGTACGAGGTGGTGGCCTTGATGATGTCCTGCTGCTGCTGCAGCTTCGTCAGCTGCTCGCAGGCAGCGGCCGCTATCTTCTGCCGCTCGATGTCCGCCTTCCGCCTGGCCTCGTTCTCCTCCAGCTGGTGAGCCAGCAGCTCGGCCGTGGCCGCCGCCCGCTCCACCGCCGGATCCTGGTACTGATCAAAGTTCCGCGGCTCGTCCGGATCCAGTTTCCTAAATGTGATCTGGGTGGGCGCACTGCGCTCGGGCACATGCCGACGATTAGGCTTCTCGTGCGTCTTGATGTGTTTCTTGAGGGCCGTCTCCTGGCGGAAGTGCTTGCCGCAGATCTTGCACTCAAAGGGTTTCTCGCCCGTATGGATCCATTCGTGGTGGCGCAGGATCTGCGCCTTGGAGAACCGCTTGGGGCAGAAGCGGCAGGCAAAGTCCTTGACTTTCTCGTGGATGATCTTGTAGTGAAGCTTCATGTTGCCAATGTTGTTGAAGCCACGTCCACAGCCGGGGCAGATGTGCTGGCCCTCCTTTTTGGTGAAGTTCACCTGCGGCGACCACGAAGGCACCGAGACCGAGGGTATGGGATTGACGGCTGTGCCCGCCAACTGGGCAATATCCACCCGCTGTACGCGACGCGAGTTCTTGGGCTTTGCAGGAGGCACTGCAGCGGACCCGCCGCCGCAAGCCTTGAGCATGTCATCGCTGGGCATCTGATTGGGAGCCTGCATCTGCTGCTGCTGCTGCAGCAGGCCATCGCCCTGGCCAGGCATCTGCATTGGCATCTGCCCAGGCATTTGACCCGCCATCTGGCCTGGCATGGGAATGTTTAGTTGCTGGCGGAGCGGCTCCGCCGGCGGCAAATCGCGCTTCTCGTGCGTCTTCAGATGCTTCGTGAGGCTCTTCTCGCAGAGGAAGATCTTGCCGCAGATCTTGCACTCGCAGCACTTCTCACCCGTGTGGCTCCGCTCGTGCACCTTGCAGGCATGGGACTTCCCGAAGGTCTTGCCGCAGTACTGGCAGGCAAAGTCCTTCCTCTTCTCATGCACCACCTTGACGTGGTTGGACAGGGCCTGCTTGTTGTGGGAGGCGTGGTCGCACTGCCGGCACTTGAACTTCTTCTCCTTGGTGTGCGTGAGGATGTGGGCATTCCACTCCTGCCGGGTCGTCTTTCCAACGCCGCAGTAGGGACAGACGTGGTTCTTGATGCCCGCATGCCGCATCAGGTGATCCCTGAGAGCGCTGTTGATCACGAACCGCTTGCCGCAGATGTTGCACGGATAGGGCAGCTCCTCGCCCGTGTGCTTGTACATGTGCTTCTTGAGGGCCGTGGGGCACCGGAAGACCGTGTCGCATTCCGTACAGGGGAAGTCGCGCAGCGGAGCCGCCGCCTTGGTCAGGCCGTGCACCTTCTTCATGTGGAAGGTGAGCAGGCGGACTCGGGGGAAGGTCTTGCCGCAGCCCTCGGCGGTGCAAGTGTGCACCTCCGACAGTTCGGTGTGGGCGTGGTCAATATGGATGCGCAGGCCATTAGCCGTGGTGAAGCCTGAAAGAAGGGCGTGGTTATACATCTCTAGTTAAGGAACCCTTAATCCAGGACATACCTTTCTTGCAGGTCTCCACCTTGCACTGGAAGGGCAGCAGGTCGTTGTGGTACTTCATGTGCTCCTCGTATCGGATCGCCTTCTTGAACTTCTGGTGGCAGATGTGGCAGTCGATGATGCGGTGCAGGTGACGCTCGTCAGCGGGAATGCGTTTCCTCTTCGGCTTCTCCCTGGGCGTACCGTCGGGGTTGTCCTCCTCCGAGTCATCCGAGTCGTCCGAATCGCTGGTGAACTCATCATCGTCCGGCGGCGGCTTTATCTTCTTGGGCCTGCCACGCGGCTTGCCTGTCGCCTTGATGTATGTGGGCTTGCGGGCCTGCTGGGATGATGATCCAGGACCAGGTCCTCGCAGGCGCTGGGCCAGCGGAATGTCGTCGTCACTGCTATTCGGCTCAAAGTCCAGATCGCGGTCGTTGTCGTTGCCGCTCTCGATGGAGGACTCGTCGTTGAACATCTTGATGTGGCTAACGCCGGCCTTGTCGTCCTCCTCCTCCTGCTGGGTGCCATTCTCCACCTCCTCGGCCTCCTTGTCCACGTGCTCCAGCATCTTGAACACATCCTCCTCGTTCTCGATCAGCTCCATCTTGTGGTTCAGCAGCGGGTCATAGTTGATGTTCTCCTCCTCCTCGCCGGGGATGTCGTGCACGGACACACTGGGATCGAGCACATCGAAGTTGCTCTGGCAGGCGAAGGCGTTGCTGGCCACCAGATCCTGAAACTTTTGCACCGAGTCCACGCACAGGCGCTGGAAATCGTGCAGCTCGGTGAGCTTCGAGTAGCACTGGGTGCACAGGTTCTTGGGGAAGCCATCGTTCTGCTCCACGGACAGCGAGGTGCAGAAGCAAAGCTTCTTGGCCAGTCCTGGCACCAGATACAGGTCGTACAAGTCGGCGTCGTTCTGCAGGTGATTCAGGCAAATCCTGCACAGGCTGTGGATCGAGTAGGTGCGCGCCACGTCCATATTGGGTTACTCGCGAGCGGCACTGCGGGATTGGGCGATTTTCGTCTGATTTTTTGCGTCCCTCCAGCCAGCAGTAAAAAAAATAATATTGACACAGAAAAAATTGTATACTCGTCGACGTTCGGACGGGCGAGTAGGCAATAAGACAAGAACGACTTTCCAACGAGTTTACTCGCTGGAGGTGGGGGGACTCGTTGGGTACGTTGCTTGTGAACGGCATTAACCCTTGTTATGGCAACAGTTTTTGACATTTTCAAACTGCGTAAACAAACAATTTTTGCTTAATTAGAAATATAAATAAATTAAATAATTAAATATTAAATACTTTTAAATACATCTATTTATATTATGTATTTATATCATGTTATATGTTTAGTTTGATTGACAGATATCAAAATAAACAAACTCGATTCTGACCCCATAGCACCGAAATGGGTTAAATTTGGTTAGTGATGGTCACACTAGGCAAAACACTGCAACAAATTTGTTTTGATTTCTTTGCTTCGGTTGCCCTGCTCCTGGAGAAATGGCCACCAAGGAGCTGCAGTACTCCGTCCACTCACTGTGCCGCACCTGTCTGGCCGACCTGGAGCAGGGGATGGGCCACGACCTGTTCCTCATTCCAGATCTGGCCAAGAAGCTGACTGTTTGCACGTCTCTGGATGTGGATGCCCAGGATGGCTTTCCACGCCACATCTGCCACCTGTGCTATGGAAAGTTAAACGAGCTGCACGATTTCCAGGAGCAGTGTGTGGGCTCCCAGAAGCGACTCAAGGAAATGGTAGCCAACAGCCAGGTCTTTCCCGTTGGACAATTCGAGCCCGTGGCGGAGGCAACAGACGCACCGAGCAGGCAAGAGGAGCAGGCCAGTTATGATCCTCTCCTCAACCACAAGCTGGAGATGATTGACAACGAGGAGGAGGTGTTCAAAATGTTGGAAACAGTGGACAGGGAACCAGAGGAGCCTTGCCAAGAGAATTCCTCCAGTGAAGAGTCTGAACAGGATGAGCGGAACGAGCAGGAGGCGCAGAAGAGCTTCTCCAGCGACGATGAACAACCCTTGGCAACGCGCAGGAAGACTCCCTGCCAGGAGCGTCACCCGCATCACCTTATCACCTGTCCCATCTGCCAGCAAAAGTTCAAGAAGCCGTCGAAGTACGAGGAGCACATGAAGCACCATAATGACCTGCTGCCCTTTCAGTGCGCGGAGGATAACTGCCGCAAAGGTAAACCTGAACCCTGGATCTTCTCAAGGAGTATTCCTCATACTTTCCCTTCGATTTCAGGCTTCACCACGGCAGGTGCCCTGCGGCTGCACGTGGACTACGCGCACACCAAGAAGGCGGATGAGATTCCCTGTACCGTAGAGGGCTGCCGGTTGATGTTTCCCCGTCTCCGCCTGCTAACGATCCACCTGAAAAAGGTGCACAACCAGGCCAGGGTGAGTGCTCCGCGGGCGGATCAGCCGTGCGGGGAATGTGGCCTGGTCTTCCGCTGTCCGGTGGCCCTCAAGAAGCACATGTACAAGCACACTGGCGAGGAGCTGCCATATCCCTGCAACATCTGCGGCAAGGGCTTCCACATCAACAGCGCCCTGAAGAATCATCTCCTCCGTCATGCGGGCATCAAGAACTACGTGTGCCCCTACTGTGGCGTTGGGAAAACGACTCGCCAGGAGTGGAGCAAGCACCTCCTCACGCACACCCAGGAGAAGCAGTTCAAGTGCCACATCTGCGACCATGCCACCCACACGAAGCGCGCCCTGGACAACCACGTGAAGATCGTGCACGAGAAGATCCGAAACTTTGCCTGCCAGTACTGTGGCAAGACCTTTGGCAAGTCCCATGCCTGCAAGATCCACGAGATGACGCACACGGGGGAGAAGCGGTGCGAGTGCAAGGTCTGCGGCAAGAAGTTCCTGTACACGGAGAGCCTGACCAAGCATCTCAAGATCCACGAAAAGAGTGTGGAGAGAGCCCTGGAAACCTATCGCCAGCGGCAGGGAGACTGTGAACCCGGGGAAGTCCAGGTGGATGCCGATCAACTGCTGAAAGTGTGTGCCGAATCGGTGGCCACCATACCCAAAGACCCGCGTCGCGTGGAGCGCGTTGAGCTGTCCCAACTGGCAGGCACAGTAGTGAATCCCATTCCCACGGTTCAACTGCCGCCCAGCGAGCCCCCAGTCCGTACGAAATTCGTCCAAAAGGAGGGCATGCACCTTTGCCCCGGCTGCAGCCAGGGATTCAATAACCTAGGCAACATGAAGCGTCACTACAAGAGCGTCCACGAAAAGGTTAAGGACTTTGAGTGCCGCTTCTGCGCGCGTCGTTTTGCCAACTCGCAGTCCCTGAAGCAACACGAGTGGATACATACGGGTGAGAAGCCGTACGAGTGCAAGGTGTGCAGTACACATTTCCGCCAGGAGGCGGCTCTCATTCGCCACCAGAAGGTACACTACGAAAAGCCGGCCAAGCCGCCGAAACCAGCCAAGGAAATCACGGATAGAGCTCGCCAAAAGGCAATGCAAAAGAGTGAACGCCGACAGAAGGTGGAGTCGCTGCGCCAGGAGATAGCCGAGGCTGCCAAGGAGGAGCTCAAGGATCTGGCCAAGCTAAGGACGCTAGAGAAGCAGCAGAACAGCTATGAACAGTATCAGGCAAAGGCAGGGGAAGGGGAATCTTAAGGCATGTCCATGTCTTCCAAATGTTGGTTAATATTTAACTATTTCCTAATTGTTATCTTAGTTTTAAGTAAATAAATTAAGTGAAAATAATCTCACCTTCTTAAAGTTTTCAATTTTTTTTTATTTTTACATTTACTTGCTTGTTATTTTTGATGAGAGAGTGGGCTTAAAATGTTGTAAAATGATTGCAAACAGCCGGACAGTCAGGACATCTCACAAATGGCTGCAGGATGGCCCCAGCCCGGCCGCTCATATGATAGATGGAGTGATGGATGGATGGATTGATGATAATGATTAGATTCAAATGATACAAAATGCGATCAAAAAAATCTACAAGTAGATAGCAAAAATTTTGTATACATATAAGGTATATAGTATAGAGCAAGAAGTTCCCTAAACAGTGGAAAATGTTTGATGGAAATGGTCCTCCGCCTGCCGCTTGGTTGGTTGGTTTAAGGAGCCTCCGGCGTCTTCAGATTGTACTTGGCCTTGATGTTGTTCAGCTCCTCCTGCTTCTTGTCCATATCCACGCGCTTGAAGGCCTTGTTGGACTGGTAGTAGAGCACCACCAGGTAGCGATTGCACACATTAAAGCCGGATAGATGGTCACAGGCGTTCTTGGCATCGAAAATATCCTCGTAGACGACAAAGGCAGTGCCACGCGTCTCCGGTGTGTTGCCCCTGTTCAGGAGGATACAAATACATAAATCTTTAGAGGATTCGCACCTTGACACAGACACAACTATTTCACTTACACACGAATCTGGCGGATGGCTCCGAACTTCCCGAAAATGTCGTACATTTCATCCGAGGTGATTTTGTACGGCAAATTCCGCACGTACAGCAGCCGATTCACCTCTGGCGGCAGGCGGATCTGCAAGAGAAATTAAGTTTACCACAACACATTAGTTTTCTTGGCTTTGTCTTCGGGACTCTGGAGTTTCCTCACATGGTTGCGCTTGTTCATGTCCGGTCGCTTCGGATGTTGGGTTGCGACAGGCGAGAAACTTTCACTCGACCGTGGGGAAAGCGAGATGCGGCTTTGTCTGACCCCGGGATGAATGTCCTGAGCGTGGTCCTTTGTTTAAAATTAATGACTCTTCTGTCTGGCCTCAAACCCAAACAAAATTGACACCAGGGTGGCGAATGCGGGCACCCTAAACTAGTGAAAGTGTGGCCGTATCCAGCGAGTGCATCTAGAGATGGCCGAAAGTCGTGACTACAGCGAGAAGTTAATTGTAGCACAAAAATAATATATTGTCTTAATAATGAATTTAATGAATAATTCTATTATTGAAATATAAATCATAAATAAAAACTAAATTTATATTGTTTAAAATTTTATTTAAATGCCTGCAAAACAAACTTGAACGTGACGGCACGCTCCCATCCCTATGGCATATTGCCCAGCTCACAACACGGTCACACCGAACACATCTCTACTAATTGTGCAAAGAAAAAGTGAAAAAAGAGAAAAGTGTCGGAAAATCCGCAATATTTAGCCCCCATTTTAGTTTTAAAGCACAGCCAACACCCAAAGGTGAGTCTGGAGACCGCAATAGCGGTAAACCGTGCGCGAAAAGGTGATTTTCAGGGGCGTGCCGAGGTCCGTCGTGGAATATGGCGGGTGGAAGGCGGGCGGTTTGGGGTTTTTTCGCTCTTGGTTCTGGGCAGGAACTCGCTCGCCCCGTACGGACGGGGGCACTGAAAATAAACGCGACTGGGACAGTTTTACATGGCAGATGCGGGACAGATGATGTAAATATCATATCAGGAGACATTCTATGTGCTTGTATGTGCTCGACGGTCTGCTGTCAAGTGCGCCTGTGTGCGTGAGTGGCCTCGTCCACTCGCTCGCGCTCTCGCTGGGCGCTCTTCTTCTTATTACTTTGCTACCCCTGACGGAGGGCATTAACCCGACTCGATCCGATCTGCTCTCCTCCTGCAGCAGCAGCAGCAGCACCAAGATGACGTGGGAACCACAGGGAGAAGGTCTCCAGCAGATCATAGCGATACTCAAGGAGTCGCAGTCACCAGACACAGCCACACAGATGGCGGTACAAATGGTGAGTAATGCCCCGGTCGAGTGCTGCTATTTTCCTGCTAATCTGGTAATCTAATACTGCTCCGCTTTCAAAACAGAAACTTGAGGAGTTCAATCGCTATCCAGACTTCAACAACTATCTCATCTATGTGCTGACCAAGCTGAAGACCGAGGATGAGCCAACACGCTCCCTCAGCGGCCTAATCCTCAAGAACAACATCCGCATGCACGGCAGCACCCTGCAGCCGGAGATTGTGGAGTATATTAAGCACGAGTGCCTGCAGGCCGTGGGCGATGCCTCGCCTCTGATTCGGGCCACCGTTGGCATCCTCATCACTACCATTGCCAGCAATGGCGGGTTACACAACTGGCCACAGCTACTGCCTTCGCTCTGCGACATGCTCGACAACCAGGACTATAATGTGTGCGAGGGCGCCTTTAGTGCGCTGCAGAAGATCTGTGAGGATTCCGCTGATATCCTGGACTCGGCGGCGCTTAACCGGCCACTGAACGTGATGATTCCCAAATTCCTGCAGTACTTTAAGCACAGCAGCCCCAAGATCCGTTCACATGCCATTGCCTGCATCAATCAGTTCATCATCAACCGGTCGCAGGCGCTCATGCTGAACATAGACACCTTCATCGAGAACCTGTTCCACCTGTCCTCCGACGAGGATCACGAGGTGCGCAAGAATGTCTGCCACGGACTGGTCATGCTGCTAGAGGTGCGAATGGACCGCCTGATGCCGCACATGTCGCAGATCATTGAGTACATGCTGCTGCGTACCCAGGACTCCGATGAGGGTGTGGCCCTGGAAGCCTCCGAATTCTGGCTGTCGCTGGCCGAGCAGAGCATCTGCAAAGATGTCCTGGCCCCCTACTTGTCCCAGTTGGCTCCAGTTTTGGTGCGCGGCATGCGGTACTCCGAGATCGACATAATCCTGCTCAAGGGCAACGTGGAGGAGGATGACATGGTGCCTGATCGTGAAGAGGATATCCGGCCGCGTTTCCACAAGTCCCGCACGCACACAATCAAGAGTGGCCAGGAGGCTGGTGGCCAGGCAGGCGCCTCTGGGGAGGATGACGATGATGACTTTGACGATGGCCTGGACGACGATAGCTCGCTATCGGAATGGAATCTGCGCAAGTGCAGTGCCGCCGCCCTGGATGTTCTGGCCAATGTGTTCCGCGAGGATTGCCTGCCCGTCGTCTTGCCCATTCTCAAGGAGACGCTGTTCCATCAGGAGTGGGTGATCAAGGAGAGCGGTGTCCTGGCTTTGGGCGCCATTGCCGAGGGCTGCATGCAGGGCATGATCCAGCACCTGCCCGAGCTGATCCCCTACCTGATTAGCTGCCTGTCGGACAAGAAGGCTTTGGTACGCTCCATCACCTGCTGGACGCTGTCCCGCTATGCCAACTGGGTGGTCAACCAGCCGCACGATCAATACTTGAAGCCGCTAATGGAGGAGCTACTCAAGCGTATTCTGGACTCCAATAAGCGGGTACAGGAGGCGGCCTGCTCGGCCTTTGCCACGCTGGAGGAGGAGGCCTGCACAGAGCTGGTGCCATATCTGGAGTATATCCTTAAGACGCTCGTCTTTGCCTTCTCCAAGTATCAGCACAAGAATTTGTTGATTCTGTACGATGCTGTGGGCACTCTGGCCGATTCCGTGGGCCATCATCTGAACAAACCTCAGTACATTGACATACTGATGCCGCCGCTAATTGACAAATGGAATCTGCTAAAGGACGACGACAAGGACCTATTTCCGCTGTTGGAGTGTCTGTCGAGCATTGCCACTGCCCTGCAGTCTGGCTTTTTGCCCTACTGCGACCCGGTCTACCGGAGATGCATCTCCCTGATAGAGCAGACCATCAACCAGGAAATGGTGAGTAAAGAAAAGGATACAAAAACCTTTTCTTTATTTAAATTTTTGAAAAATCTTTTAGTTGTGCAAACAAAACCATACATTCGAGCATCCCGACAAGGAGCGCATGATTGTGGCTTTGGATTTATTGTCTGGCCTGGCCGAGGGCCTGGATCGGCACATTGAAACGTTGGTGGCCAACAGTAACATCATGCACCTGCTCTACCAGTGCATGCAGGATGTTCTGCCCGAGGTGGGTGTTTGTAAAATACTTTAGGAAAATATTGAAAAATTAATTAAAAACTCGTTTCAGGTGCGTCAATCTTCGTTTGCTTTGTTGGGTGACCTGACCAAGGCCTGCTTTCCCCATGTGCATCCTTTTATGGCCGAATTCTTTCCCATTTTGGGTCAGAATTTAAATCCTGAATTAATATCGGTATGCAACAATGCCACCTGGGCCATTGGAGAGATTTGTATGAAACTGGGTGAGTAAGGGGATAAGCTAAGGTAACCTAAGGTGTCTTTTAACTACCGATATCATTGTTAAATATCTAAATTAAACTATGATTTTTCTCTTAAAAGGTGAGGAGACCAAGCAGTACATTCACCTGGTACTCACCGACCTGTTTGTCATCATCAATAAACCCAACACGCCAAAGACACTGCTGGAGAATACAGGTAAGGATCGTTTTGGCGGCTGATAGATCTCAACTCTATATCTTTACATGTATATATATATATCTATATATATGATTCAGTATGTATGTGTGTATGTGGATCTCTGGACATTTGTTTCTGTTTTAGTTTGTGTTTACCTGTTGCATGAAGAGCAGCAACGAAACAAAATCGAACCTCATTCCCATACAACATACATAGAATTTATGAGAGAAAGGGGTACCTATAAGTGTGATATTGATTTATTCAGTTGATTTATTTCTCTCTTACTTTTTTCTGTTTCTTTTTTAGCAATAACAATCGGTCGTCTAGGTTATGTGTGCCCAGTTGAAGTGGCTCCTTATTTGCCCGAATTTGTACGACAGTGGTGTGTAAAACGTTTTTTTGATATTTCAACTAGCTTAATCTTTCTTTTCCTATAACTTAATTACCTTCCTTAAGCTTATAACACATCCATTCCTTACATTTTCTTGATCTTTGAACTCATCCTGGTACATTTTTAAGTTGATTTAACTGGAATTTTTAAATTTACCTTTCAACTTTCGTGTTTCTTTGCCTGCTGACTTTATTATTTTTTGCTTTAATTATAAAATCTGTTAATATTTTGTTTAAATAAATACAGGTGCACATCGCTGCGTCACATACGGGACAATGATGAGAAGGACTCTGCCTTCCGTGGCATGTGTCATATGATCACAGTGAATCCCGCAGGCGTGGTGCCTGATTTTATATTTTTCTGCGATGCCATTGCATCGTGGGTGAATCCCCCGCAGGATCTGCATCAGATGATACAAAAGGTGAGAGCATTACAAATTCAAATTCAAACTCGAAGAAGACAGTTTCTGGCTTTTAAAAAATATAATAATATCATCAAAATATTAATTTAATATATACTTTTCCCTCACAGATTCTCCACGGCTTCAAGACCCAGGTGGGTGAAGAGAATTGGCGTCGATTTGTGGATCAATTCCCGCCAACTCTGGCCGAGCGCCTGGCCACCATGTACAACATCTAAGGCAGGCAGAGGGCGAGCTAAGGAATAAAACACCCACCACCCCCACCACCCCAGCAAGCAGCAAAACATCTTAACTAGACAATTATGTACAAGTATGCGTAGTAAGCATGTCGTCGTCTTAAACTTTAGCATGTTAAGTTATCCGATTCGATGCTGTTCGAATGATACGTTAATATTGAAATTTAACCTTATAGAAAAAAAAAAACGAAAACCTTAAAAAAAAACAGCATAACCGTACATTTAACCACAACAAAAGCATATATCGATATATATATAGAAATCTTGTAGAGAAGAGCCTAAACCCCACACAAAACACTAAAGGATCTTAGATCCACAATCGTCTGTCCGTTTCCCCACATAAAAACTAGAAAAGATAACCCTGTGTTCCGGCCGTACTTAACCGGATTCAAAAGCTAATAGACAAAACCCAAAACCAGCTTAGTTCAAAAACCGGAAATAGAGTTTAATTATGAAGAAGACACACGGGTGTTTATAATAATAACAACTAAAAAATCGTCTTAAAGAGAAATAATATATGCGGGTTCGTGTCGCGGTAAATATAAACTAAACCAAAAATCGTTGAATGAAAGCGTTGGGTCAGTTGTAAAATAACAAAAAGCAAATCAACAATGAAATCAAATGTAAAAAACGAAACAACAATTTCAGCTGAAATCAAGCAAAGACTGAAAACTAACTCCGTTCAAAACCACAGACACACAAACTCATTCACACAAAAACAAGCGATTTGAATTTCACTACTGAGCCCAACACTTTCGTAATAAAAAACAAAACTAAATTCGAAAAAAAAATATAAAATCGTCGCGTTTCGGGTTTATAACGGTTTCGCGTTCGCGTATTCGCCGCTCGTTCGTTCGTTCGTAATCGTCGTATCATCGTGATAACTCGTCGGGAAAAATCGTCGGTAACTCGGTAAGTTAAATAATACAAGGATAACGATAATATTGCAACTGTTACTGATACAAATTTACTTATACACTAAATGATATTCATATACAAGATTAGGTGTTTTTTTTTTATTAATCGAAATCGAAAAATAGGGAAAGTTAAAATATTCGAGATTAGGGATTTTGTTAATATATATTTATTTCTGTACGATCCTTTAACTGAATACAAAAGCAACCATTGACTGATCACTTTTTAAAGTATTATTATATAATTTTTGTTGTTTAAGGACAATTGTTAATTAACTTTATTTTTTTCATCGAAACTAAAACTATTTTCGCTATAATTTGTGTAGGCTTTATCATTTTTTTTTCTAATCAATTGTACAGAACAAATTTTTTACAATTAGGTGTAAAGTTTAAACTAAAAACTAAATGGAAACAAAAGTCTTTGAAATTGTCGCGGAACAACTTAAAAAAAAAAAACGAAAAAATATATATAACTAGGGAAAAAGTAAACTAAACTCAGTCGAAACAAGAAAAACAAAAGCAAAAGTAAATCTAAGTAATAGTATTATGTAATTATGCAAACCGTGTTTACGTTTGTGTTTTTATTTCGTTTTATTTTTAAAACATTTTTGAAAATGGGGGAACGTGTGATAATAAAGTAACTTCGGGTCGTTCGTTCGCGTCGCGGTAAACTCAACTCAACTCAAACTAAAGAAAAATCGTAACAACAAGGGACTTTCGCCCCCGAGTCCCAAATATAATAATAATCGCAATACTTATAATAATAAAATCGGTCTAAAGCTAAAGCTGAAACTAAACTAAATGAAAAAATCGTGATTTCGTTGTACCTTAATCCGGATTCATCGCGGAATCCGGTCGCGTTCGCGTGCGTTTGTATCTCTCTCGGGTGATCTTAGTGATTAGCGTTTAAGCAGTAAATAAAAAAAAGCAACAAAAACAAAAACAGAAGCAAACACAACAATTATACACACACACACACACCAAACACATATACAAACAACTATATAAAACAAATATATTTATAGATTTTATGCAGCATAGGTTTTTGGTCTAAATGAAATATTCTAATTTTTTTCACCACAATTTGTGTATAGGGTAAACAACCAAATAAGAGTAGGGAAAAATCTAAAAAATAAACAAAGTTAGGACAAGAAATTATGAAAAGAAATCAAAACAAAAAAGATTCGTGCAGCATTAGGGAAATATTATTTCATATTTATTACAACATTTACACGTGTATATGTAATATATATAAATTTGATATTGATAAGAACAAACCAATTGTTTTTAGTCACACACAATCTTTCATATTTGTTGGTTATTTAACCGAATCAATTACCAATATTAGTTAATATTGTTTTCATTGTAAACCACACACACACACAACTCTATAAGGTCTAAAATACACTCGGTTTTTGCAATAGACCTCTCCAACTGTCAAACTAAATTGATCATACATATAAACAAAACATTACATTAATCTTTATAAAGAACATATGCATATATACACATATATGAAGTACATGCGAATATGCCTAATCCCTACATCTAGCTGTATGTGTATCCCAGCATATTGGCCAACTAGCGATTATCCTTCTGGAGTTTGAATATTTGTTTAACGGCAACTCCATTTAAAAAAATTCAACTATCGAGTTTGTAAATTGAAAAGAAATATATATATCTGAATAAATATGTATGTATAACATTACCATCAACAAAAGGAAATTTTTGAGGGGGAAAATATGGCAACATCGAAACAAAGGTAAAGTATATGGATTTTTTTTTTCGTTTTTATATTATGAAAATATTTGTTTATTATTTTTTAATGGTTTTATCTTATTACCATATTTTTCTTTAATTAATTTGCATTTTATGTTTTTTTTTTATCGATTTTAAATTTAAGATTTGTTTAATCGATGTGTTATTTTCTAAAATATCGAAAAATATCGAAGCTTTGAGAATCGATTTATTCCCAGTTCTAGTAATAAATCGCAGGAAGTTAGAATAATTTCACAGCAAGAATGAGGTAAGCACAGCTCCAAACAGCTTCGAATATTGCCCAAGAAAATAGTCTATATTTTAATTGAATAAAAATGATGTGATAAATTTATTGAATCCACAAAATTACGAAGTTAAAAAGAAGCAAACTTGAGGAGTTTGCGAAAGCATAAAAAGTACAGATATTATATTATATGGCTTTCATAGATTGGCACAAAAGTTTGGCTTATATAGTTTTAAGAAATATACGACTGTCGTCTTTGCCAAGGTCCTATTATCTAAGGAACCCCAGGACTATAAACACGATCCGTCGATTTTGTTCGATTTAGTTTTGTTCGTTCGTTGTCCTTTAACTTTCTGGGTTTTCATCAACTTTTCATTTTTTCCCCTGGCTTCTTAACATGGAATTGTTCGTATCGTTGGTCCTTTTAGATCTGCCAGGATTCACTTCTAGTTGAGGGGACACACACCCTGCCAGATGTCGCCAACAACCATGCTTGGCGTAATGTTGACCAGCTTCTTGTTGATCTCCACTCGGCTGATGCAGCCCTTGAAGGACTTCCTGGTCTTGATGCCAGGAGCCTTGGCAAAGGCCAAATGGCCGCCCATGAAGAGCGGTCGGTTCGTCTTGGTGGCGGCAGATCCTTCGTTGCCCACACCCGGATTAGAGCTCATAAAGTCCACGGCAATGTTGATGACAAACTTGGACTTGATGGCCTGAACATTTCGGGTCTTGCCATCGCAGAAGCTCTCGTTATTGGGCAGTGTAAAGTTGGTGGTCACAATGTTCTTCACATCCGACTTGACCGTGAAGTACAGCGTGTTGTCTACCAGCTCCAGAATGGCGTACGAGTTCTTGCCGTGCACGGAGAACAACAGACCGTTGGGATCTCTTGGTCGGAAATCAAAACTGATAGTCATCTCGCTGCCGACGGTGAAGCGATCGAAGAGCTTCACATACGCCGTCTGGCTGTTGAAGAAGACTCCGCGCTCCACTTGCTCGGAGCACGGAACAACGCCGAACTCTGCCGGCGGTGGCTCCAGATCCACGCTATCGAACTTAAAGTCCTTGAGGCAACCGTTGTAATACGGTGCCAGTGGATTGTAGCCGGTGGTGTTGCGCACCTTGGACTCAATGAAGTGGTTGACGCCACCGAAATAGACTGGCGCCTCGATGGCCAGCACCGGCGGGCTACGATCAGCATTCAGCTCCAAGGTTCCTGCTTGCTCCACTCGATCGATGAGCAGGCTTACCCGGCGGTTGGTGCGTATCGCCTCCACGGTATGCCACTTGCCGTCATTCAGCTCCACCTCACTGCTGACATTGGCCTGGAGGAGAGCACCAACGCGCACGGCATGGTACACCCGACCGTCTAGGAGATAGACGGCGATGAAGTCTTCATGCTGCTTGCTACCCGCATAGAAGAGCAGGCCGTTGGGGTGATCGGTGCGGAAGGAGAAGGTCACATCGTGGTGACGACGAAGCTTCGCCGGCAGCGGATTGATCTCCAGACGCTGCTCCTTGTTCTGGTAGAAGCGGTAGCCAGCCTCGACAAAGTCCACATCGTAGTTGGGCTGCTCTGGGAGTTTGCAACGCTTGTCGCTTGGCAGATTCACCTTGGCGGGTGGCCGAGTGGTCAAGGGTCTTTGTGGCTTGGCGGCTTCCTTTTCCTTGTCTTCCTCCTTGTCCAGGTCTGCGTCCAAGGGGAATGGAGATACAGTGGTCGTTGTTGTTGTTGTGGTTGAAGTGGTGGTTGTAGTGGTCGTTGTTGTGGTTGTAGTTGTGGGTGTGGTGTGTGGCGCAGGAGCAAATGTGGCTGGCTTGAGGGGAGGCAATTCCTCGGGTTTCCAAGGATTCTCTGCCACATCATTAGCTCCGCTGGGATAGTAGGTGGGCACAAGGTTTGGTTCATAGGCTGAAAGAGGGAGGGAAAATATTTTAGTTGGGGAATTATAAGGATTCAAGGTTTATTTACTGCTCACCTAAGACATGTGGTGGACAGCCATTGATGTTGCCATTCTTCTTCTCAGCACTGTTGGCAAAGTTGATGATCTCCTCGTTGACAGTCACATCGCTGATGCAACCCAAGAAGTAGGCCAATGAGGCCAAGGCATTCCTGGGCGTGCGATAGTTGTCCGGAAGACCAGCGAAGAAGATGTCTCCACCCTCTAGAATCAGCGGTTGCGGGGTGCCAAGTCTGCAGAGATCATAATAATATAAAATATAATATAAATATCTAGAAAAAATAGGTAGCAACCCACCTCTTGGTTTCCACATCGTCCACGGAGAGTCGAAGCTCTCCCGCATTGTGCTGCACCGTCACCACATGATCCTCGCCATCGTTTAGGTTCAGTTCATCAATGATTAGCTGGCTGCCCATGCTGTTCAGTTTGAGCACACCCTCATCCAAGCTAAGGCCAATGTTCGAGCTCTGGTCATGATTGGCGGCATAGAAGAGCACGCCGTTGGGCTGGCGGGTCTTGAAGTGCAAAACCACATGCAGATTATTGTCCGAGTTGATGTTGTTCATCCGCAGGAAGCCATAATCGTGCGGGGCATAAGACAGAACCGTGGAGAATCTCTCCGAGCAGCCCTCTTCTACTCCAGTGCCGTTTATGTACTCCGTAAGGTCCACCACCAATCCGCTAATCACCACATCATCGATGCAGCCCTCAAAGTTTGGCTGAAGATTGAGCGAACTGTTGAGGCGTCTCGGATGGCCGCCAAAGAATAACCTCTTGATTCTGGGCAACTCTTCATCGGCTTCCGCAGGAGCTGTTTGACGCGACAGAACCTGATCGTCCACCGTGAGCAGGCCATCGCGGTGATCGCGTTCCGCCCGAACCGTGTGCCATTGGTTGTCATTGTAGTGATTCTGGTTGGCGGACACTAGGCCTCCGCCCTCGCCCAAGCTCACGTTGAAGTAAATGGCGCCGTCAATCATCTCAATGGACATGTAGTGCTTGTCGCGACCGTAGAAGAAGAGCAGTCCATTGGAGGTGTCCTTGTCCGCCTTGAAGCGGAACTGGACGCTGGATCGATCCTTGAAATTGGAGGAGGCCTTCAGTTGAGCAAAGCCATTGCCCTTGAAACGCAGGCCCGTCACCGGTTTCTTCTTCTCCAGTAGAACATCCCGCTCGCGGGCACCCTCCTTGTTATCCTCGGCGTAAACAAAGTTCCACAGTCCCACGTTCTCGTCACCGATCTTCAGATCCTCAATGTCGCCGACAAAGGAGTTGGCATTCAGTTCCTTGGGCGCATTGAAATCCGGAGCAGCGGGATAGCCGCCCACGAATAGGCGACTGTTCTTGTCCACATGCAGGATGTTCTGGGTTCCCTCCAAGTAACCTGACTTGGTATGGTCGACCACCTCGCCAGAGGGCAGTTGCTCCCTGATCGTGAGCTTGGCATTCGGCCCAGTGCGATCCACCACAGCCTGATACCACTTGCCATCCGAGACGTACTTGTCGCTGGTGATACGCTCCGGACCATTGCCCAGGTCAATGTTGAGAATCGGGTAACCGTTTTCGATTTCCACGGCCACAAAGTCGTTGTTGGACTGGGCGGTCTTGTTGTCGTTGCCCAGGTACAAAAGGAATCCGGAAGGATCGGTGGTGCGGAAGAAGGTCGAGAGGTTGGTACGAGTAGCCAGGAGTTTGGTCTTTGGCGGCGTCTTCAGCTCCAGGACAGTGCTGGGCTTGAACTTGACGCCCACTTTGATGCTGTTGGCCAACTGGCGAGCGGCTTCTACCTTTGCCTTGAGATTCTCAATGTCCTGACCCAGCTGCAGGGTCTTCTCGCCCACCCGCTGCTGCTGATCCTCGATGTCCTCGGCCAGTTCGGTGAGCTTGGAGACGGAGCCCTCGACGTTATCCAACTGATTGTTGGCTTGCGAGATGTCCTTGATGGTCAGATCCAAATCCCTATTGATGTTCTTGGCCTTCTCGAGTTCCTTGGGTGTCTGCGCACTCACTGGCTCGAGGGTTTCCAGGACGCTCTTAAGGATCTCCAAGGCATCGCTGGCATTGGCATTCGAGTTCTTCCACAGATCAATCTGCGACTCGGCCGGCAGTTGAGTAATCAAAATGTTGATGTCCTTCAGCTTGTGCTCGGTGGCATTGTTAAGGGCCGAGATGGCCTTGACCTTGCCCGCCGATGCGTCGAGTCGTGGCTCCAGGTCATCTTGAACATTCTGCAGGGCCTGGCGAGCATTCTGGAGCAGATCGGCAGACCTACTGTCCGCTTGGCCGGCTCTGTCCTCAATGCCATCGGTGATGGCAGTGGCATTGCCAGCCGCTGCGATGGCATCCTGACTGAACTGCTGAGCCGCTTCCACGGCCTCCACGATGCCAGAGTAAGCGGTGGCAGCCTTGATCGCGGGCTCAGCACTGGCAGTCATATCTGTGTACTGGACAGCCAAAACCTGTGCCTTGACCGACAGCTCGGCAGCCTTCTGCTCCGCCTGCTCAGTTAGGACCTCCGCCTCGTTGTGCTGATCCTCCCGCAGGGGCAGCTCTCCCTCCACATTCTTGTTCACCGAATCGAGCTCATCGAGGGCATCCTTCAGCCTGTCCAGCTTCTGGTTGATCTGGCTCAGGGTAAGATCTCCATTGATCAGATAGTTGCCCGCCTCCTTGATGTTCTTCTCGGCCTGTTGCTCTTGATCGGACACGGTGTCGAACTTGGAGTTATCAAAGGCCTTCTGGTTCTGAACATTCCGGCGCTCCACGTCGGCGGATTTCTCCTGGGACTCCTTGCTCCAGTTGTACAGATCCTCCAGCTTGTCACTGAACTCTCCGATATCGTTCTGCAGCGCGTTAAGGCTCTTGTTTTGATCCTTAATCGGCATCACCAGGGTGTTTACTTCCTCGAAGAGTTTACGCGCCTTCTCCAGGACCTGTTCGTTGGGGGCAACCTCTATCTTGGTCTCGTTTATTTGTCCCAGTATGTGTTGGGCCTGCTCGAGAGCAGCATCGATTTTGGTGCTCGCAGCCGCCTCCAGGTTCTTGGACAGGGACTCCACTGAGTTGATGGCTTCCCTGGCCTGTTCCGCACTCTTAATGGCATCCTCGTAGGCCGTGGTGATGTTGCCCAAAGTGGTGCTTGACCTGTCGCGGATATCCACGGCATTGGCCAGGGTCTGGTTGACCTGCTTGGCATACGACTTGGCCTCCGACTCCAGTTCACTGTTGGCCTTCTTCGAAGGGTTGAGATCCACGCTTGTGGGATCCAACAACTTGACTTTCGGCTCCAGTTCATCGGCCAGTTCGTCGTAGAAGTTCAGCTTTTGGCTGGTGAAAAAGGCCAGGGTCACGCTGTTGAAGTCGGCCAGGACATTGTCGATCTGGTAGCGCATGCGATCGGTGACATCCAAGAGGGCGTGGTGGCAGTTATTACACTCCGAGCAGCCCTCGTCCTTGATCAGCACCCAGCGATTGGGACAGGCGTCGCATCTGGTTGAAGTTTAAGGTAAAGTTAAGTCAAAGTTGAAGTCTTTCTTGTTTATAAACTCACCTATCTCCAATGACTCCTGGCAGGCACTGGCACTTGCCGGTGTTGGGATTACATCCAAAGCCGCGGGAGTATCCCTGATTACAGTTGCACGGCCTACAGCCCTCCTTCTCGTAGTTCCAGTGATCCACAGCACAACGATCGCATTGGCGTCCCGTGACACCAGGCTTGCAGGCACAGTGACCAGTGTGAGCATCGCATTGCGTGGAGTTGGAAGCGGCACCGCAATCGCAAGCTCGACAACCAACGCCGGACTCAAAGCCATAGTGATCCGGCTTACAGCGATCGCAACGTTCACCAATGACATTCTCGTTACAGGTGCACTTGCCCACAAAAGGATCACATTCCTGGGTGCCCGTATCGTCGCAGTCACAGCTCTGGCAGTTCTTCAACTTAACAGCATCGCCGTAAAAGCCAGGAGCACACAGATTACACGCCGCTCCGAAGGTGTTGTTCAAGCAGCGCAGGCACTCGCCGGTTCTGGTGTCGCAGGAACCCTGATCCTCTGGAATAATATTGCCGGAACACTCGCAGGGCTTGCACACTTCGCCCAGATTCTCCGGTTGACCGTAGAAGCCATTGGCGCAGGACTCGCAACGAGGACCAGTGTATCCTGGCTTGCACTCGCAATGGATCTCGTTTCCGCTCTCGGAGATCTCGCAACTGGTGGCGAAATTATTCGAATCGAAGGGCAGGGGGCAGGCGCAGATCATACAATCGCCAGGGGTGCCATTGGTGGCGTTTCCGTAGTAACCGGACACACACTCCTCGCAGTGATCACCCTGTGTGCCATGCTGGCAGTTTGTGCAGATGCCGGTGGCGCAGTCACAGGTCTCCGAGTGTCCGTTGCATTCGCAGGGAATGCAATAACCTCCATAGGGACCGCTGGGATCGCGGTAGTAGCCGGGGGCGCAATCTTCACAAGAGTGTCCCACGTAGCCTGGGGGACAAGAGCAACGTTCCACGGCCAGGAATTTGTATTCCGAGGTGCCGTCAGCATCTTCATCGGCCAGCGTGAGGTAGACATCGGCCAGGTGGGTGTTCAGAGTCTGTTCCCAGTAATTTGCACGGATGAATATGGACTTCAGATCCCTTAGGACCATCATAAAGTCAGCGCGGGTAACGGGCTTGCCGGAAACCGTCTGGAAGTTGGTCTCCACTATTTGAATCCTGTTGGTAAAAGGCTCATTCCTGTTGGGTTGCTCGTAGCTCTGGTGGACCAGGACATTGTGTTCGCTGAACAGGATAACATCCGGAGCCACAATATACTTTCCGTCAAAGCCAGAGGTAAAGTGCAAAGTATAAGCCAGATCTCCGCCGTAGGAGGAGATGTGACTATTCTGGTTAAGCAGATAATCCAGGACACCAAAGTAGGCAGGACGCTCGTCGTTGATATCCCTCAAGGTGAAGTCCGCCTGCAAGGTGGTCTCGTTTATGAGAATCTCCTCGGCTGGCACTGGCCACATCTCGAATTTAATGCTCTCCGCCCGGAACTCTGGCGTACTGATAGACACCTGCCGGAGCAGGCTAACATTGTAGACCCTGAGGTAGGCACTGTCGCAACGCGAGGTCTTGCCAAAGCAGAAGCATGTGGTGCATCCATCCGGATTGCTGTCCTGCAGGTTGTAAGTGCCATCATTACACTGGTCACAATCCCGACCCACGACGTTCTTCTTGCAGAAGCAGCTGCCATCAATCTTGTCGCAGACCTCCAGCTCGGTTCCGGGCTTGTGGCAGCTACACTGTTCGCAGTGGGGGAAGTTGAAGTATCCGTGGGCGCACACATCACAGGCCCTACCCTCAATATTCTCCCGGCACTCGCAGGTTCCATTGAACAGATCACACTGGGTGTTTCCATTGGCAATGCCCATGTGGTTGCATCCGCATTCCTCGCAGCCAATAACCTAGTTTGGGAGAAAAGGATTAACCAGGAGCATTATAGAAGAAATAAAGGTGTCTCACCTGATGGAATCCATAGGTGTTGGGGGCACACTTCTCGCACATTTCGCCAATGACATTGGGCGGACACATGCACTCGCCGGTGGTGGGTTCGCACATGGCGCTGCTCGGGCACTCGCAGGGCTTACAGTCGGGGAAACCATAGTACCTGCTCCTGCAGGCTCCACACTGCCGCTCGATCACATTCGGCTTGCACTGGCACTGGCCTCCAAACGGATGACACTCGAAGCTGGTGGATCCAGCATAATCACAATTGCAGGGCAAAGCTCCGCTGTTGTAGTCGGCGGTCAGGGAGAACACGGATTTCTTACAGAAATCACTGGCATTGTGGGTGATGTGGAAGTGATCGTGGCCGCAGTTCTGGATGAACTCCTTGGTCTGATCAAAGGTTTCCTCCACCAGCAGGTCGTCATTGTATTGCGTGAGAGGAACCACTACCAAGTAATCCAGCCAGACGCCCAGAGAGCGATCGTTCTAAAGGATAATTATAGTTACCTTTAGAATTTTGTTTAATTAAAGGATTTTATGGCAGTTTTTACCGTAATTGTAAACTTGAACTCGTCATCAATCTCGAAGGAACCATCTCCTCCAGGACGTATCACTCCTCGGCATCCCGAGCTTGAGGGGCAGTGCTGAATGTCAAACTTGCCATCATACTGATTCTTGCCAGCTGTCAGGGTGTAGTGAACCTGGTACTTGGGATGGTTGGGCTGATAGTACTTCACGAGGATCACAAAGAGGTTGGGCTTAGCCTCCTCAACCTTTGATCTAAAAATAAATCATGGAATTTATAAAAAGATATGAATAAAATATTAAAAAACCCAACATACTCAATCACAATAGTACTATCTGTGCTATCCAAATGTATCAGTTTCACTCGCTCATCAAGGGCGGCATATGGCGGCTTCTTTTCGGCAATACGATCCTCGTGATCAGTTTCGAACTCGATCTTCTTGGAGTCCGGAACCGAACGGAACTTGGGCGTGGCACATTTCTCGCCATGGATGACACAAACGGGACTGGGATTGATATAGTCAATGGACCATTGGTCTACAGGAATGGCCGTCACCGAGATAATGGGCACACGAGATTTATCATCAATGTCAGCCTGGAAAAGATCAGAAAAAATGTTAATAAAATGTTTTAAAATAACTAATAATAAATATAATAAAATATATAAACCCACAGAGATGGTGACTGGCTGCAGATCATCCTTGCTGATGTAGAAGGCCCTCTCCTGGCCATCATCATTGACCGAGGTGCGGCAGACGGTGGAGTACAGACAAGGATACAACAGAACCGAAGTCTCCGACTCGGGATTGTTCTTCAGCTTCAGGGTAATAAAATAGGTGCTCGGATGATTCCTATCGCTGATGTAATCAATCACAAAGATGTATTTTCCACTGTGAGGCACATCCACGATGTAGTTGAGCTCATTCTGCTCACTGGTCAGCACTGGAATATCGCCCACATGGCTCACAATCGAAAGATGCTCCGGATCGCTATACACTTCTGTGGGATTGGTTGGCTTGTCATTGGCTCCGATGACAAATGGGGTACCAGCGGGCTGGAAGACCTCCACAGAGGCGTATTTATAGTGACGGCACAGCTCCATGTTGCCCAGTTCACAGGGATTCGAGATGTGACGGGTGAGGATTCCGGCTTCATAATAGGCGGCGGGCAGAAGAACAAAGTAGTCCAGCATCACATTCTTGTTGGCCGTGGTAGTTAAGACATAACGACCAGGATCCAGGACAATGGCCGAGGGCTTGAGGCCCTTGGGACCACTGACAGTCACAAACTGAGGCTCCAAAGTGGGTTGCAAAAGCACTTTGACGCTGGAAAATAAAAAGATTTTATATTAAAAAGCATTTCAAATACCTAAAAAAACAATACTTACTGCTGATCCACCTCCTGGGGATTGTCTGAAGTGATTGAGATGCTGGCCGTGACATTCTCAGCATTGGGATTCACGTAGCGCAGGACAATCCTGTAGAGGGATGACTTGAAGACATTGATCTCATTGCGCACATCGTTCTGGATGGCATTGAACACTACGTATCCCTTGCTACTGAATCCAGGGAAGGCCTCCTCATCATAGTCGTAACGCACCTGAGTGCCCGAGAGTAAAGTTCCATCCTCGTACTCATACTGGAACTGATGCAGCGTTGGGAAGAAGTGGGTGGTCAGGGGTTGGGTGCAGGCCAGACCCGTAATACGGGGATGACACTTGCACTGGCCACTGATCTTGTCGCAGACACTCTGCCAGGAGCCGCCCACATCGCAGCTACAGTCCTTGCAGCCAAAGAGCGAGGAGCTATCCAGATCGAAGGTACCATCGCGACACTCATTACACTGTCTGCCCTGCGTGTGGGGCTTACACGGACACTGACCGGACTTGGAGGCACAGGTATCCAAGGCGGAAATGGTGCCATCAGTCCAGCAATCGCAGTTCTCACAGCCAACCGTGTTGCTGATGTTTAGGTTCCAGTACAAAGGCTTGCACTCGTCGCATATCCTGCCGGTCACGCGCTCCTTGCATTTGCAGAGCTCACCCACTGGCACAGAACCGCATCCTGCAAATTTGTCTATAACTCCAGCAGGATCACAGTTGCAGTCTTCGCAGCTGGGGAAGTTGTAGAAGCCCTCCTTGCAGGACTCGCACTGCCGTCCATCAAAGTTATCCTTGCAGAGACATTGTCCATCGGCATTGCAGGTGACACCCTGGGAACCATGAGAGTCGCACTGACAGGCTGGGGAAATTTTTAGTAAATATTATAAAAGGAAAAATCAAGGATTTCTTTTAAAAGAAACTCACCTAGACAGTCGGGATAATTATAGTAGCCAGCACTACAAAGGGTACACTGTTTGCCAGCAAAGTTGTTGAGACAGTTGCATTTGCCAGTGTTGTCGCAGGTTATGGCTGAGCTGCCAGTGCTGGAGCAGTTGCAGGGCTTACAATCCGGATAGTTGAAGTAACCAGGCAGGCACTGGTCACACCTGGGGCCACCGAAGCCCTCGCGGCAGATGCACTGGCCCGACTGCTTGTTGCAAATCTCCGACTCCGTCCCCTGGTTATCACAATCGCAGTCTGAAATGAAAAAGATTAATTAAATATTTTTAAGATACTTTTCTTTTTTAAGAAAATATTTCAACCTACATGAGCAAGTGGGATAGTTGTAATATCCATGCTTGCACCTCTCGCAGCTATCGCCTCCAAAGTTGGTCAGGCACTTGCATTCGCCAGTGGTCATGTTACAATCGTTGCTGATCGAGCCAATCTTGTTGCACTCGCAGGCCTTGCACTCGGGGAAACCATAGTAGCCCTCGGCACACTGTTTGCAATAGGGTCCGGCAAAGTTGATCTTGCAAGGACACTGCTGGCCGCTCTCCGCCTCGCAGTGGTAGCCATTGGTACCATTCAGATTACACTCGCATTCCCTACAATTGGGATAGCCATAGTAGCCATAGGCACAGGAGTCGCAGTTTGGTGGCTGGAAGGCAGCACGGCATTCACAGTTGCCAGTCTCCTCCTCACAGTGTCCCGTGGAGTAGAAGTAATCGCACTGACAAGCTGGAAGATGGGTAAGGAGAAGGATAGGTAAGGAAAATATCAAATTGGTGTATTAAGAGTTTCACTTACGACTGCAGACATCGGTCTCATTCCAGTGCTTGCCCTGGGGTCGGTAGTATTTGGGCTTGCACTTGTTACAATTGATGCCAACGGTGTTGTGCTGACAGTTCTGGCAAACGCCGCCGCCATCGTAGTGGCCATGGATGTCCAGGGAGAGTCCTTTGCGGTTGACTTCCTCGTCGTACTTGCACTCGTTGCTGTGACCATGACAGTTGCATTCTAAGGATTAAATTGGAATAGTAAAAAGAGAGGCAAAGTAAAGAAAGGAAGATCCTAGATCCTTTACTCACGCTCGCAATTGAAGGGCCTGGCATTGGTGTTCTGTCGCCACTTCTTTTGCTCGAATCCGGGACAGCACTCATTACACTGGATACCACAAGTATGATGCTGACAACGGCAGGCTAGAATCCTCACAGGACTCTTAGGATCCTTGACATCACAGGTGTCGGCGTGTCCATTGCACATACATCTACCTCCAATCGAAATATCCTTAATCGAGTAGAAGTAGCGACGTGTAACCGTGGGATCCTGCCTGGCCACAGACATCAAATGTCCCAAAAGATTCTTGGTTCGCAGCAAACGAATCCTGACATTGGTGGCACGGGTCCATTCCTGCAGCACCGTCGAGTTGAAGTAGTTCGTGGAGCTGGGACGCTCGTTTAGCAGCATCACAGGGATCTCGCCGTTCTCCAGCGGCACAATCTTCGAGTATTCGGTGGTGCAGATGACATCGTCGTCGCGGGTAATCGGTTTGTAGGTGTCCTTGCCAAAGTAGGTCTCACAATCGGCGGGGGTGTCGGAGAAATGCTGCCAGGGGGTCCAGGTCTTGCCATAATCCGTAGACTTCTCCAATGTCCAGAGACCCGGACGCGGGGAGTTGCCCATGCGAATGAACAAGTAGGCCACATGGAATTCCTAATGAGATAAGGGAGGGATTCGTTTAAATATATGTAGAATTAAATTTATTATTAAAATACAAGATAAAAATATAAACATAAATATTCCGAGAGTAAAAAGGTAAAGATAAGATTAATCTCTGCCAGTTTTCTTAACAAAAAGGTATTTAAACTTTAAGCAACTCGGAATATATCTTCAAAAAAATAGTGAAACATTTAAAATATACTTTTTACGTAATAGAAAATATATTTAAATATATTTTAAGACCCAATAATATGTAAAAAATATTTTTTATCCCGCAACTTCTTAGTTACCTTGCTAATTTTCTTACCAGAAGGTCAAAGTCTGTCAGTTTGTGGACACAACTCACTTTGCGCAAGCAAATTCATTGAAATTTATTAGTCCAGTGTACACACATCACAGATACACACGCACACTCATATACCAACTATACCAATACACACACACAAGAGTGTGAGACCCACATGAGATCACTGTGGGAGAATTAACTCCAATGCTCGTCCGTTTATTTATATTTTCTTGCCTTCTGTTTGCTTTTTAATTTGGCTTCAATTGAAAACGAACCAAAAGATAGGGAGATATACGTGTATATAGCAAGATACAAACATTCGTTTATATCCAAGAAGATATGTACAACATATTGCATGTACAAGATTTGTTTACGTTTCGAGGTTTTCATTAGTTTTGAGTCAATTTTGGTTTTTGCATAAACAGAAATCTTATATACTCGTAATTTGAAAAAAGTATATTATTTTAAGAGAGGTTGTATTTAAAGAGTATAGGGTTGTATTAAATTCATTCATAGTTTTTAAGTTCTTAGAGGTATAACACATTTTTCTGGTATGTAAAGAACCTCAAACCCCAATTATATAATTCTTCCCTCTTCAATTTAAATCATACAATGTTGTCTGATCTAAATATAAACCCAAATAGCATAGCCATGTTCCGTTGCATTCCCTGAATCTAGAAAACTGCAACTTAAGAGCATTAAAACCCCGCACATGGAATGTGAATGAGATCATGTTGGGGCTGTATACTAATTCTTTCTACAATTATTCTGAAAATTTAATCCGTCCTCGCACTACTATGAAACCTCGTGGATTATTCAGTTTCCGTTGCAAGTGAGATAAGAACGTAGGCGACCCCGACACTCCGGCACAGATAATAGAGGTTTGTATAGTTTCTTGCCTTAGCAGATAAGGGAGTAGTCTGCTCCCAATTCTTTTCTATCGCATGCTGGGGCCCCAAGAAATAATACGCCTTTATCGCTAAAAAAAAATATACAACAAAAAAACGAAAACCCAGAATGAACCAGCGCCAAAGAGTCAACGCTCCGTGTCGGTTTCTAAGCAGCTTGTAAACCGAGACTTTCCATTCAAGCAACTGAACGAGTGCACACAATTGGGGTTGAAATAATAAGTGTTTATTTAATTTAAATATTTCAAAAAATATTTAAGATTTAGAATAATATTTTTTAGAAATTTTAGAAAAGCTTTTAAAGTATCTTATGACCTAAATCTGTATAGAAACAATTTAAATCGATTTTTAAATAGTCTAAAATGCTTCTTAATCTGAAAAATCCTTATTAAATATTAAAAAATTCATCTATGGCTCTATTATTCTACCCTCATCTGTATTTATGCTCGCACATATCTCTATATATTATATGTAGGAGCTGACACACTGATAACCCACAACTCCAAAGGGGAAGAGCCAGCCAACCCAGCTACAAATCCCCGAGCTCAGCAAGATTTTTTTTTCCTTTTTTTTTTTTTTGTTTTTTTGCTGCGTCGTCGCCGTTGCCTTCGAAATGAAAAGCCATTAAAATTGTTTTCAAATTTTACGATCCCATCGCTCGGACCCGAAAACGAGTTGCATCCACTGGCTGGCTGTCTGTCGCCCTCCTCCACCTCCTCTCCGAAAACCTTTTGCTTGGCTTCCTATGCGTTTCTTACGAGGTTCTTACCTGTTCGAAATTGATGGTCAAATTGACTTCATTGAATTTCATGCCCCTGGACAGTGGAGGACTCTGCCACCAGGCCTCGGTGCCATCGATGGCGTTCTCTGGCGGATGGTTCTTCTCCGGCACATTGGGATCACAATAGTCGCAGACCTACAAAAGAGATCGAAGAAAAACACACATGTTAGAAAGAATGAAGGGAAAGATTTTGTTTAAAATCGAGTCAATAGTATTTTTAGAGTCCAATTCGACTGCTGGAACGGAACACATGTGGGGGAAGTCCATGTGCAGGGCACACTGATAGAAAATAATAGTGATACATTTAAAGCATTAATTTAAAATTTATTTAAAATGATTAAATTAATTAAAAATTATTTTAAAATGATTTCATAGTTATTTTAAAATGTATTCTCATGAAATTAAAAAAAAGTCCTTTAAGGATCAGTCAAATTTGTATCCTAGATATATTCAAAATATTAAAAATCTAATGAATACTCAACTATTATTTTATTACTTAACTAAAATTTTCAAATAGTCCTTGAATACTTATCCATCTTTCGAAAAAGGATCTACCACTTCAACAAAATTATTAAAAATGCTAAAAATCTATAAACTATACTTGTAAAAATCCAAGAAATAGTTCAAACCCATTTCTCAATTTTTTATTTATTCCAAATCCCAATCCTTAATTTACAAATAAATTTTTTCCGCGTGCACGAGCACAGATCATCAGATTTTGTGTGTATACCGGCAACGGTTTTTTTTTTTGGGCGTTGCTAAAGAAAGATGTTCCAACTTCGAAGATGTGTAATTACCTGTCCCTGGATGACCGAGTAGTCAATGTGGTCGTTTTCCGTATTGGCTCCCACCAGCTTACAGTAGAGCTCCGGGCCATCAGTGTCCTGGCCGCACGTGGCCGTGGCATAGATCTTCCGTCCGGTGGCCAAATTGAAGTACGGCGGTGTTAGCTCTGCTTCGGAGTGGGAAATTGCCAGGACGAGGAGCAGGGCTCCCAAGGAAGCCACTCGCAGCCCCATCGCGCCGACGAGAGTTCAAGCACCCGCGCTGCGATAACGATGGTCCTTCCGTCGACCACTTCCGGTTCTCTATCTCACACTGCTTTGTATTTCACTTTCTTATCTCTGGGTCACTTTCTTCACTGGGTTCTTCTTCCTTTTCTTTGTCTTTGTAAATCGTTTTTTTTAATGGGAGCTCATCCAACCGCACTGGATGGCTCTTCGCGAGCAACTGACGGAACTGCAGTCACGGCCTGCCACTTTAGACATTTTGGGAGTGCACTGAAAGAAATAGTTTTGTAACATTTTATTTATTTTGCAAATAAATTAAAAAAAAAATGAAGAGAGTTAGTTTAAATTAAATAGGCAATAAAAATATAAAATATTAAAATAAAAATAATTCAAATAAATTGGATTTTAAAATACAAAAATAATTTACATTGCTTGGTGATTGAACTATATATTTATTTTGTAATTTCTACTCTTTCATTCCGTTATCTAAACATCATCGACAAAACCGAAGTTTCAAGTTGTATGTGAATATTTTTTTAAGTGTAGATCTGGAGCTAATTATTTAATATCCGACCGCCAGAGGGAGTTCCTGGGACTCGGACTTGCCAATGTGGCGCCCTCTGGCGACATCTTCGGTTATCTTGTAGCCGAGAGAGAGATTGAGATACTTTGAGAGTTTGAGATACTTTGAGCGTTTGAGATACTTTTTTAGTCTTTGTTTTGGTCTTCTCGTTTGTTTACCTCAGCTCTTTGTTGTTTGCCCCTTATTCGCCGGCCGGCCGGCTGGAGGAACGCGGAATCGGAAACACGCAATCACTAAAAACAGGTTCTGTTATTATCGGTGGAACGTTTTGGAATTGATCAGTGCCGCTTGTGATTGCAAGTTTCCAGGTTCGTACTTCAGGATGGTTTTATAAAGTTTTAAATGCCATTTTAGCTAATAAGAATTTATTTTGAATTTATTACATTCCCAGAAAATATAATAAAAAATATATATTTATAAAAATATCAAAATGAAAATGTTAAAATTTAATCTTAAAATGAAAACAAGAATTTAATAACTTATTTTCTATGAGAATTAAATACATAATTTAATGAATTCCTTGTTTAAAAATTAGAAAGTAAATAAATACATTTATTGCGGGCCTGACTACCTATAAAAGCTTTAATATCCTGGACTTTTTATACCCTTTGGTTTAAATTTTAGTTCGAAACGCAGTGAAAAACTCATTTCCGACTATATATATCATATATATTCTTGATCAGCATCAACAGCCGAATTGATCTAGGCATGTTTGAAGGAAAAATAAATTTTTAGATTTTTTTTAAATTTTATAAGGGGTTACATCGTTAAAATTCATTAAAATCTTAATTTTTTAATATTTCAAATTAAGTATGTATATTGTTAACCCTAATAAAAACTAACACAGAACAGCTTTCCGAATTAAAATTAAAGCATTTTTGGCTTAGTTATGATTGATTTTCAATTCGATAAAAATTGGATAAACAAACTTCGGTTTTTCGCAATGAGTTTCTTTTTTATTTTATTTTCCATACCTTTTTCTTCTTCTTATATTGTTCCTTTTATATATTATTATAAACTAACTAACAAAAAAGTTTCAAGAATTTACTAGCTATCACTGTTCAATAAGTAAAAAATCTATAAAATATCTACCACAACCTTAAATTATAACATTTCCCCATTTAAATAGAAACTTTACACAAATATTAAACTTGATAACTACCTCTCCTTCGTGCCAACAACTCTTTAATAGAAAAAGTGCTCACCCCTTCGTGCTGTCTAATTAGGAATTTAAAAACTAACTTATTTAAATGGTCTCCAATTACGGCCAAGTTATGGCCACGCTTCGTTTTACAAGAAGCGTTACAGTTTATTGAAATTGCCTCGCTGACTGTTTGGATAACCGTTATTAAATAGAAGTGCGCCAATAAATCGAAGGTGAAAAAATACTCCTCGATCTCGCTTACAACCAAACCCGCTGAGGCCTGACCAAAAAATATAAATAAATAAAAAAATAATTCATATAGAAGAGACAAAGGGGGCTCAGGGGAAACAACGTAACTTGCAGTTTGCGTTAAAAAACAAACCCACCATCGCCGAAAACTTGAAGTTTATTGCTATGGCGATTAAAAGAGCCAAATTGAGAAACAAGCTCAACACTATTGAAAATCACGATCACAGCTAAAAAATTGTGCAAAATTCATGACCAAAGCGCCGACTGCGCTGCCAACTTCTCTGTCAACAAATTGAGGCGATTTCTTGATTTCTTGACTTCTTGATTTTTTGATTTCTCGAATTTTTGGGGCTAACTGTGTTTGTCGTAGCGGGAAAACCTGTTTTCCTCGGCTCGCAATAACAGAAAAAATTGCATTGATAAAGACTGCCACGAGTGTCTGGTTCTGGTTCTTTTTATTTCTTATTTTATTTTATTTTCTAGGTTTTTTTGTGGCCCCAATCGCAGCCTCTCATGGCTGCATGTAAACGAGTTCTTATGACGTAACTCTCGAATCGCTCGCCCGTTAATCGTTTGTCTTGTTCTGCCACATTATGCAATGCACGCAAATGAACATTGCCGAAAAAAAAATTAATGGATTGTTTATGCACTAATGAAAAAATGAGGGGAAAAAATATCTAAAGATTGCAACATCGGCAAGAAGTTCTCGATTCAGCTGGGCCCACACGGTAGCTATGTACAGTGGGATGGAATCATTAAAAATCCATAATATATGACTGTATCTTGGAAGTAAGTTAGGGTAAAAATAATAATTTCTTCAATTAGTAGAAAGTATAGATAAAACCGTATTGAAATTCATGTGTCGTTACGCATCTTTTTCATAAGCAGATGGTTTTTCAACAGATTAAGTTTGCTAGATTATGTCTACTGTTGATGCCGGTCAAGTTATAAATACTTTATTCAATGGAACTCTAAAATTTTATAACCATTTAACTATTACAAAATACATACTAAAAGAAAATTTTAGTACCTTCAGCAAGAGTATAATCATAAAGCTAAAGCTTCAGTTTTTTTCTGTTTTAAGCCAGGCGAAAAATAATTCACAGAACCAGATGCTTCGGGGGATAATTGACACCTACTTGCTAAAAATAATATAGTGCGAACTAGTTAAAAAAAAAATAAACAAATAGTAGCAATTGCAGCATCAGCAAGAAGTTTTTTAAGTGAAGAAAAACACTGAGAAAATACACTCCTAAAGTTATACTTAAGAACTTCTTAAAATAATTATTTGAATTATATTCAGATAAATAAATATTGTTAATTTAAAAATATTTTCACAGTGTGATAAACTCCTTAGCGTATTCCAAACCAATTCCACTGTTTCTTTTTACGTTTAAAACATTTCAATTTCCCTCTTAGTGCTAATTAACCCATTAAAACCTAATGCCTCTCTAAGTGGCTTGGCCTTTGGCACAATCATTTAATCATTTGCCCCACTGTGCCTCAGCAGGCGTCGCAGCAGCAGCTGCCTGGCTGCCGCTCACCAAACGTTTTCACTTATTCGCGATTGCAGGCCCGGATCGGCGTTCAATTTGGTTCTAAGTCTCGGCGCGTGTGCATGGACGCAGTCTAAAGTCTACACCATGGTGCTGCTGCGAGTGATCAAGTATCTAGTGGGTTAGTGCGAGAGTGATCTGTGCAGTTTTCGGTTGCTCTAACATCACTATCTTCCTTTATTGAAGGCTGCGTGGTGCGGGCCTGCCATGAGTTGTCCCAGAATATGAATTCGCTGAACAAAATGTTCAAGTACCATTTGCTGGAGGTCAGCTAGAGAGAGAGAGCCCAGGAAGCTGAAAGATCTATAAAGAGAGAGAGAGACAAGCCCATAAAAGTCAACCCATTGAAATTTTGTATATAAAATCGAGCGAGTTCGTTGCTCGAGTCTTTTGTTTATGTGATCAAATAAAATGTTTTTTAAAACCCACACAAAACATCTAAAAACACACACCTGGTATTCGCAATAACGGGCTTGGTTGTAGAATGGCAACGGTGACCTTGAGGTAGAGTATTAATTGAAACAGAAGAAACCCAGAGAAGTAGATAAATTGGAAGGATTCCGAGGAAAGATTATACAGGAAGCTGTGCCAAGTTCGTGTCCTGAGTCTTTTGTTTTAGAATCTAGATCTGCTTATACACATTTTTGATTAAGAAATATGCAAAATATATATACAAGACTCACCCAAATGTAAACATTCTATTTAAATAAATTTGTTTGTAAATTAAATCGAATGCCAACTCTAACCTTGGTTGGATTTTTGCGCAACCCTTTGCCCAAAAAGAAATCCACGTGTGAATGGCATTCAATTACAAGTTAATTCATTCGCGTGGAACTGGCCATAACCAAGCCAACTTGTTCTAGAGAACTACTACACGCTAAAGTTAAATATTTCAGTTGGAGTTTCCCCTGAAAAAGAAATCCCACTAGCAGTCGGAGACAGCTGAAGGCATCTCGTTATGACAAATAAGCCAATATTTACAATTAAAGCCGGTCAAACAATGCACAAACAAGTTTGCACACAAAAAGAAAATAAATAAACAAAAAACTAAAACAAAAAGCTTGAAAAAAGCATCAAATTAGCATTCGCTGTCTCTCGAATTTTGTGTCGTCATACATAAGCGTCTTAAAAAAGAGGAGAGAAAAACATTGAATTTCTCGAATTAAGTAGCCAAAAAATCCCCGACATCATTAGAGGGCTTGGTCCGATAGAGACGTCATTCCTTTTACGCTCAACACCTCCTCCGCCACTCATTCATTGATTTGATTAATTTCCGTTCTCACAATTTGTTGGGCCAGCGATTAATATTATACATCTTCATTACAAAGGTGGGTCAAGTCCAATATCCAGTTAGAAGACAGACGTCACCGATGGAAGCTTTGGGCTTAATTTGTATGGGAAACAGGTGCTTTGTCTTATATTGTGACGTCTTTATTTCCCTTAAAATATCTCTTTTTGTTAAGTTTATGTGCTAAAAATATCACATCTTGTCTGGTCAGGCAGACAGACAGAGAGGTAGGCGGGGCAAAAGTATAAATTTCGATTTTTTAAGTTAAGGGGCTGAGACTTCAGTCTTGTTTTGGCTTTTGCGGAATTAAAACCTGTCTTAGTTCGGAAAAAGAAAATTTTAAAAGTGATAAATGGGTGCTAATTTTGTTTATTTTAGGGATGGTTTTTGGAAAATGATTTATAATATTAAAGAAAACTAGAATTAATGAAATGTTTATAAAAGTTGAGAGTTATCAGTGTTTATTATAACTTTTTAATTTGCAAAATTGTCTACTAAGAGTATTTACAATTTTTAAATTGTTTAAACGATGTGTAAAGTGTTATTTATATGTAATTTAAAATTTGTATTTACAAATCTGAACATTCTCTTATTTTAAATACATACACCTAAATATATAGTCCTTCCTTAATATTCGCTTGTTTTAAATACATCTTTTTAAAATATCTACTCCTTTCAAAATCATGTTCATAGAGGTTTTATACATATGTTTTAATTAAGTTTTAATAAAATAAAATGTAATATTTTATTTACAACTAAAAAACAATTGGCAATAGGAATCACGAGACTTTGGCTTAGAATAGAAATCTGCAATAAAATCCAAAATATTCCTTATTGATCCCTGACCATGGATCGTCCCAAGTTGATGACACTGCTGACAAAGCCCAGCATCGAGGTGATCATGGAGTGGGCATGCTTGGAGCTCTCCGTGGACTCTGCCTTGTCACTTCTACTGGGCCTGATCACCTGCCTCCGACTTCCCGACGGGGTTTCGCCACTGCTGAAGAGTCTTTCCCATCTGCGAATGGGCTTACGGAACCACTCCTCACCGCTGACCTCGTTAAGGCGATCATCATCCTCCCGGAAGAGTTTATCCAAGGGTCCAGCGAAGACTTTATAACGGAACAGAATATGTTAAGGTTTAATAAGGGATTTAAACCCGATGATTTCCTTGACTTACCTGTCTGCATGAGCACACATCCGACGAGGAACAGAGTAATCATCTTGCTTGCTAAGGTCATGGCGCCTGCTAAACTTGAGAGCGAAAAAAAAGATAAACCAGATCGACCTTATAGACCAGAAATCGGAGAGATAACTGAGTGAATCGGATGCCACAGACCGACTTTATAGTCGAGTCGCCCCAACGATTATACGTGATGGAATGGAAAGTATACAAGCGCACGTATCACTTAAGAAGTGATTGCTTTTATTTCATGCTAAAACTTAGAACTACATAGCCATAACCATAATGAACATGCCACATGAAGAGTTCAATTTTTTTTTTGTTCGTAGAATTTAACTAGGTCTACTGGGGTCACACAGGTTGTAGGCTATATCCCTTTCGGCATCGGCCAATCGCTCGTCGGCCACAGCTGGAAGTTTGTTATATAGCTTCTCACGTTCCATTTGTGTCAGCTGGCAAGGTGGCCTCCTGGCCATCGACGGCATGCTGGTGCTCCAACTGAGGGCTGCAATGGGTAATTAGATTATCCAAATGATCTTATTAGAACTATTAACTCTCTTCACTAACCACAGATGAGGATCAGACTGAGCAGATAGAACTTGAGCGAGGCACTACTCATGGTTATGATGGGCATTAACTGACAGCCGGCATACGGATGGCTCCACTTTTTATATATGACCGGAGCTCTCCGCCGATTGGCTTTGGTGGAGGAGTCCAATGGCGACCACGGAGCTGGCGCCGCAGCTGGAGATTATGCAAAGCAATCCTCCCAAAAATAACACAAAAAGATCGGCATCGGTGAATAAAAGGCTCGAGGCGTCGTTCTGTCTCATTGAGTGAGAAAAAACGCCGGCGGCGGCGGCCATCGGGTCGTCTCTCCTACCGGTCTTTGACGTATTCGTTTTTGGTCTGGCACGTGAACAGCTCGCCGCGCGCATTGATTGATTTTTTTCTTTTCTTTTTTTTTATTTTCTTTACTATTAATATGCTACCTAATTAATTTACACATTTGTAAATCGGCAAAAGGCGTCATGAGTGACAACTCGGACTCGTGGCCAAAGAAGAGCGTTTAGGAAGCGTTTCATTCCTCTAAATTTATGGAAAAAGTCAATGTAGGAGAGGGTTCCCCTTAATTATAACTTGTCATGTGAGATTTATTTATTTATTTATTAATGTGACTAATTATTTATTTAAGACCAAGGGCTGCTTCTGGTCTTGGTTTGGGGTCTATTTTGGGGGCTGGAACATGCTTTTGAGGGTTCTTTTTAATGGATGGAAAAAGCCCAAAGAGGGGACTTTACTTTCGATTATGATTAGGAATATAATTAAGAGTTCAACAATTATTAAACATTTTATATTAAATATATATTTAAATATATATTTTCCTTAACCAAAAATCGCTGATACGCTTTTACATTTGGACTTGAACTGTCTTATTTAGTTTTTAGCTTCATTCAAAACACACAATGCTTTTCGAAGGACACTCTGTCGGAATTGTACTTTTACCTTAAGGAGTGCTAATTAACTAAATAAATAACAATTTTGTACAATTACAACAGAGTATGCAAAAAATATGCAAAAGTTTGCATTTCCTTAAAAATAAGAGGTGACAAAAATAAATATTGAGGTATAAGGTACTCTCTTAAATTAAAAATTACAAATAACTGAAGTGTAAACATGTTTTCCCTTTATATATTTACATTTTTAAACAGTATTTATTTAAGAATAAGCTTGGCTAAAGGCATTTGTTATAGCAAATTGACTAGGTTATGCTCTTTAAAGACTTATTAGCTTAACTCCTTAAGTCTTAGGTAGTAAAAGGTATTACAAAAATGTATAATTATAAGCGTAATATTTATATCTTCTCCGTTGCTTAAAGATTTACTTAATTGCTTATTTTAACAACTTAATTTAATCATCTTCATGGCCAAAGAAAATGGTCCAACGCTCATAGGTGGGTGACTTTTCACAGAAATATGCCTCCATTGAGCAATAAAGATCACTAAAGTCCTTGAACTCTATAATTTTAGTTAATAAATTAATGTTTATTTATTAATATTTAAGTAACTTTAAAATATTTACCTTTTCCTTGATTACAAGCTGCTATATCCAGATGACACCTTGAGGCATATTTCCGAATGCAACCCATATCCTCATCCAAACCACAAATGGCACTTTCCTCGTCCACTTTTGCACAATCCTTTTCCAAAGGGCAGGATTTTGGGGGAATATTGGCTCCAAAAGCTAAGACTGCTTTAAAAAAAAATCAATTTTCTGGGGTTATATCTTTAGGCACTTGAATTACTTACCCAAAAAAAACAAGACAAAGATTAAGACCCTCATTGTTAGGGACTAATGTGAACCAACTGCCGTGAAATCGAAAAGCGCAATGCAGTAGCGTATTAATATTTATATAGACTAACCAAATCTTATCAAGCCTATCTTATCCAGAGTTTGGAGAACAAAGACAAACAATTGGGTGAGGGAAGAGCTTTTTCTGAAAGGAAAATTAGAGATTAGATTTAAGGTAATTAATTGTTTAAATAATTTATTAATATTAAGTCGAATAAAACCAGTTACTCCCATTATTATAAATAAATTTCTACACTGTTTTACTCTTAATAAATCATTCATTCGCTTTATCTTTATTTATCGTCTACTCCTAACACTTTTATTGCTTATGGCCAGAGTGGTTTTGGTTTGCGTCTCAACTATTAGCTAACAAATTTTAAAATTTACTGCCTATTTCTGGGCTTGGAATCTTAGGAGGCCTTCGTCTGGCTGCGATACAGCTTGGAGTAAATGCCATTCTTGGCCAGCAGCTGCGAGTGAGTGCCCTGCTCCATTATCTTGCCGGCTTGAACTACACAAATCACATTGGCATTCTGAATGGTGGACAGTCGATGGGCTATGACAATGCAAGTGCGACCTGAACATGCCGAGTCCAGGGCTTGTTGGACCACCTAAAAGATAAAGAAAATATATTTATTAAATATAATTAATTATAAAATTAAAAGAAGAGTGTATAACCCACCCTTTCACTTTGGAAATCCAGCGCTGAGGTGGCTTCATCTAGCAACAGGATCTTGGGATTCCTCACCATTGCCCTGGCAATGGCTATGCGTTGTTTCTGACCCCCAGACAGCTGGGTTCCCTTGGAGCCCAAGACCGTCTCATATTGGGCTGGCAAGGACATGATGAACTCGTGGGCATTGGCCATTTTGGCTGCTTCAATGATTTGCTGCATGGGCACCTTGCGTGAGGTGTCACCATAGCCTATATTATCCGCTATGCTCTTCTCAAAGAGGGAAGGTTCTTGGGACACAATGCCCAGGCGACGACGCAGGGTTTTCAGGTCCATATCATGGTGGATACTCTCCTGATCGATGAGCTATAAAGAACGAAAAATATAATAAAGTATCTAGTATAAAGTAACGTTAAGATCCTTCTTACTATCTTCCCCTCATCAGGATCGTAGTACCGCATCAACAGCTGCACACAGGTGGATTTACCAGAACCCGAGGCACCCACCAGGGCCACTGTCTGACCCTGAGTGATGTCCAGATTAAAGTTTTGCAGGACCTTCAGATGAGGCCGCGAAGGATAGGCAAAGTTCAGTCCCCTATAGCTGACTCCCTGCTGGACAACATTGGTCTTGTAGGCAGCAGTTCCATTGCCATTCTGTTGAATCTCAAGGGTTTCCGGAGACTGGATCTGTGGCTTGCGATCTATGATCTCGTACATGCGATTGGCTGAAAGAAGAGCAGCATTGAAGGCGGGCGTAAAGGCCAGGGATTGGGCCAGTATAAAGAGGCCATAAAGCATAGTGTTGGATATCCTGAAAAGTAATATATATTAAATAATTTATAGAATTAAAATCTCGGTTGACCCACTTCATAATGGCCTCAAATTTGATATTGCCATCGGCACACATGTGTCCTCCATAAGTCAGGGTCACCGCATAGCCAAAAAACATCAAAGACTTTCCCAGGGAATTCACCAGACCCCGCCATTTGAGTCGGTTTAAGATCTGCACTCGATAACGCTCCACCTCTTGGTCATAAATCTTAATCAGTGCCTCTTCCCTGCGGAGTCCAGCCACTGTCCTTATTTGGGTTATGGTTTCAGTGGCTATGCGACTGGTCTCCTCCAGCACCGCCTTCTCTTTCAAAGCAGATTTCTCACCAAATCTCGCCTCGAAAACTATGGAGGCAATCATGAAGGGCGAGGTGCTTAGGCAGATTAGAGCCAGTTCCCAGGAATAGGGAAAGGCAATGGAAATACTGCAGATAAAGTTGGTGAAGGCCTGGATGATGTTGCTCAGGGGAAAGCCTATGGCGCCCTGGACACTGGCTGCATCCCCCGAGAGTCGGGCCGAAAGAGCTCCTATGCTGTTGTCCTTGCGATCAAACCAGCCCATCTCCTGGTGCATTATGCAGCTGAAGGTCTTGGAGCTTTGGAAATATATATTAAATATAAATTTCTACGAAAAGAAACTTAATAAAACTCCCCCTGACTCACCGCATTCTCATGGTCAACCAGACTCCCGCGAGATTAAAGAAGAAAGTCTGAATAAAGCACACCACCCCCGCGGCCACACCTATTACCAAGGAAATAATGGCCATGGAGGCGCTCTGGTCGAGTACCTCTTCATCCGTGGGCTTGGCCAGCGATCCATACAACTCAGCCAAGACGATAGAGAACACCGGCATGGTCACTCCATAAATTCCAGCACAAATGGCGCCAATGATGAGAAAACTCCACTCGGGTCGCGCCCAACCCAAAATGCGGAAGAAGGTGCGTAAATAATTTCCAGGAGGACTCTCCTCAAACTCCTCCTCCACCGTGGTGGTGGGCTTGACCAGGCCATTAATGTTCTTCATCTGGAACTCGGCATTCTTCTCCAGCGAAACAATGGAGTTGCGGGTGGTGCCCAAATGGAAACCTTCCACTTCGTAGGAAAGCTTTCGCTCCTTGGCCTCGGCAACCTCCTCCAGCTCGTTGAGTAACTCCTCGGCAGAGTCATCGTAAGAGTGAACGTTGACCATTTTGTGATAGAAACCACCCAGCTTCATTAGCTCCTCATGGCTGCCCTGCTCCACGGCCTTGCCATTGTCAATATAGACAATGCGGTGGGCATGTCTGATGGCGGAGAGGCGATGGGAGACCACCAGGGTGGTCCTGCCCTTGCAGGCCTTGTCCAGGGCGGCTTGGACCAACTTCTCAGAGTGATAATCCAAGGCAGAGGTGGCCTCGTCCAGCAGCAGGATCTTGGGCTGCTGGATGAGAGCCCTGGCAATGGCTATACGCTGGCGTTGTCCACCAGACAATTGAACGCCCTTCTCACTGATGTCAGTTTCATAGCCCTGGGAGATAGATAACGTTTAATTTAATTTAATATTTAATTAATAATAATTATAAGTAATGACCTTGTGTAAAGCTATGATAAAATCATGAGCATTGGCTGCCTTGGCCGAGTCCTCGACTTCCTTCTGCGTGGCCTCTGGCTTTCCATGGCGGATATTCTCCCCGATAGTTCCCTGGAAGAGCACTGGCTCCTGGCCCACCACAGCTATGTTCGATCTCAACCAATTGAGGTTATACTTCCGCACATCTTCGCCATCCAATAGAACCTGACCGAAGACCGGGTCATAGAAGCGCTGCAGCAACTGAATGCAGGTGGACTTTCCACAGCCCGAAGGACCCACCAAGGCCACCGTTTGACCCTCCTCCACCACCACATTGAGACCCCTTAGGACAATCACATCCTCCCGGGCGGGATAGCGAAAGAAGACATCTCGAAACTCGACAGTGCCCTTGAGGCCCATGTTCAGGATTTTTCCAGCCTTGGACAGGGGATCAATGAGCGATCGGCGATCTATCACCTCCAAGATGGCCGAAGCCGATCCCCTGGCCATGGCGAAGGTCTCAAGGAAGGGAGATGTCCTGGAGATCTGATTGGCACTCACTATAATGCCGGAAATGACGATCATCACCACCGCTGGGGTGTATTCCCGCTCGTTTATTGGAATGCTGGGATCTCTGTAGTACAGGATCAGATTGGCACCATACCAGAAGGCCCCAGCTCCTGTGATGAACAACATGGCCTTCATTACCGTGTCACTGAGGCCTGAGAAGACGCCCTTCCATTTTCCTGCTTTCAGGGCGGGTTTTAGGAGCGTGTCGTATCTCACGGATTCAGTGTGTTCACCGCCAAAGGCCACCACCGTGCGTATGGCTCCGATCACCTCCTCCACCACCGAACTGGCCCGGACATAGGAACTCTGCTCTTTGGCGGTGAGCTTGCCTTGGTACTGGGGAAAAAAGGGTAAAAGAGGGAAGAAATTAATGAATTAATTTAATATTAATAAATTAAAGTTAGTTTATTGAAATTAAAAATGGAAATTAAATCAACGATTTGTTGTTAAATGTTTGTATAGCAATTTTTCCATAGTATAGAAACATTTTAACAATTGATGTTCTATATTCTTATAATTTCTTTCATATATAAATACACAAATAAATATTTTTAAACATTTTTAAACACCTTTAAAAAGCTCTGAAATAATAGTCAAAGCCACAGATAAATTGCTCTTTAATTAGAGAGGGTCAGAGGTCACATAGAACTCTTCAAGCTAAAGTTATTTAATTTAAATAGCAACAAATTAACCTTTGATATATATTTTATTTGGCATTCTAGCCACTTTAAAAAACGTTTGAAGCAAATTAAATAAAAAAAGAAACTGTAATCATATAAGGTTCAACTTAATGAAATTTAATGTATGACTTTCTATTCACATATTTGTTATTAAATGATAAAATAAGACAGTTTAAAGAAAAAATACGAAATAAAAAGCCAAATTATAAAACATTTTATATATTCTTAAGCATTCATTATTAAAATAGGAAATTCAAAATCTTGTAAATAAAAGCTTAAATTCATTTTGGTAAATGCAGGTATTTCTTTTTTCAGAGAACATTTTCTCACAATTACTCTCAGGGCAAAACATTTGTGAAAATATATGTTTTGTCTGTAGGTACTTGTGTTATTTTTAGAAAACTATTTTTGAATTTTCAGTTGAACGCATTTTCAAGATCACTTCAAGCTGGCAAGAGAGCGTAAACAAATTCTATGAGTTTTAACTAGAAAATAAGCTATAATTTTATATTTCTTATTTGAAATTAGTAAATAAATTCTCAAATAATAAAATAATATTTTAATATATAAAATATACTTACATGCGCCACTACTGAGTTGACAACCAATGTCAAAGGTATATAAAACACAATTGCCAGAGCCAGTTTCCAGCCATAAATAAAGGACAGCACCACACTAATGACGACCTCGCACATAATCTCCACATAATGACCCAGATTCTCGGCTATGCCACTGCGCACCTTCTCCATATTACTAAGGGAAGATAAATTAATTTTTATATATTTTATTTTCTGATATTTTTAATATTGTACTCACTCTGTAATGCGCACAGCGAAATTCTGATCCTTGGCCATATCATGCCAGCCGATCTCCTGCCTCAAGGTGGCCTTGAAGAACTCCCTGCGCATCTTGACAGTGAGTCTCAGGGCCAACCTGTTGAAGGCATCCACATAGTACATTCCAGAAAAGAGCATCAGCAGAGTATTCAGGGTCATGAGGATGCCAAAGGATACACTATCCTTGCGCAGCTCCTGCATGTTCTCCTCGTAAGAGGCATTTGTGCTGGGGATTAAGGAATATTAAAAATTACTAATATAATAAGACATTTAATTTAAAAGAAATGTATATAATTTATAAAGTAATTACTTAGTTAACAAAGTAAACTAACTATTTGTGAATTTAAGAGTGACTAATTCAAAGCCAGAACTTTTTTTTAGGGGCAATATTTACCGCCACATCCTGAAGTAAGTTGTTTTTAGACTTTAAAGCCTTTGTTTATTTATTTTTTCTTTGTGAAAGAATCTTTTTATTGTGTTAATTTAACAAAGAAAAGGTTTTATGTACAAAAATAAAAAACCCTTTTGAATCATTCTTTCTCTTTGTTGATTTTTACGAAATAAAACGTATTGCTAATCAAATGACTCTTAATGAGACTCTCAATATAATTTGTGGTAAATAAATAGTTTAAATTCCTTTACAAATTTACCAAATAAATAAATGTTTAAGATTCTCAAAAGAGTAATGCAAATAAATTCATTTTATTTTGACTTTTTTTAGTTTTAAATTCTTAAAAATAATCTTAAAAATAATTCCTAATAACTTCACTACTCACAGTATTTTTCCTCCGCCAAAGAGTGGCAATCCTATGGTACCCGAACTGGTGCCCTGTCCCAGGGTCCTGTCTATAAACATGGCCACCAGTTCGCTGTAGACCACAATGGCAATGGGATAGACCAGGGACTGTAGCAAAGCTGCCACCAAACCGGAAAGCAGCAACATATAATCCCAGCCATCGGTATATCGAAAGAGTTCCTTGTAGCTAATCATAGGCTGAGCCTTCTCCTTGGTCTTGTCCTTTTTCGGCGAAGAGGATGGATCGGTCTCCGTCTCCGCGGGGTTGTCATCGCCGAGCGATGGCATTATTTATGATTTTGTCACAAACTATCTCTCGCCTATAGATATTTATTTATTTCCTTTTTTATTTAGATGATAGTCAAACTCATTGACCGGCGGGGTCAATTAATAGTTAAGAAAATGCACGCGAAGCCAAACCAAAAATCGAAACGCCCGCAGTTCGTTTGCACTCGATGAAGCGATGGTCCCCGAATGGATTCTTGCAACTCCGACTCCGACTCTGGCTCTGGCTCTGGCTCTGGCTCTGGCTAATTAACTCCACTCACACTCCCTCCCCGGCTTTGATCTGACTGGAATCTTCTTATTATATATATTTTTTTTTCTTTCTCTTTAAGCCTTTTAATTGTTTTGCATTCCCGAACGAGCTGGCGGACGACGAGCGTTCCGGAGAAATGTTTTTCGCGCTGCGCGGCTGTTCCGTTCCGTTGGGAGTGCAGAAGGCGACTGGCGCGTCTGGCGGCGATGGCGTCAGTTTTCTACAAATTCAGTTTCTATTAAAGTTCAAATAGACTCTCAGATGGATGGTGGCTTATTAATATCAATTGAATTGATTTTACTCAAGGTTCTCCCTCAACATGACTTGAGGAAAATCGTAGAACCCATTTCTTCCAGCAGCACACCTTGCTGCAACAGTGTTGGCAATAGGAAATTGAAGAAAAAAATAAGGAAAAAGGGTTAATAATAAGAAAAGGATCAAGTTGGAATAATTAGTAGAGTATTTTTATTTAATTAGGATTATTTTTTATATCTTATATTTTTAAATTTGATATTGACAAGATAAACATTTCAGAAAAAAAAACCTAAAAAAGCGTAAAGTTGTAAATATTTTTATTTTTGGCATTATAAAGTGTTTTATATATATTTAAAAAAATATATATTTCCATATCTTTATTCCATATATAACCATAGAATTCTAGATAAAGTCTTTGCAAATACAAAATATACCTTTTGGAGAGCTTACAAAAATTTTATAATTGTCTCTAGTTAAAATTTGTTGCACTCAAAAATATATCAATATATCACCCATTTTAATTTTGTATTATTTTACAGAGTTCTTAACAAATATTTAGGTATTTATAATTGGCCATAAAAATTCCTCAAAGCTTGACTAAATTTATATGGATTTCGTGACTAAAAGTCAAGTTTAGACAGATAGCTAGTAAAGGTATTCCACGATATCTAAGATTTTATAGGGATATTTAACAATATAAACAAATATTTTAAAGAAATACAAGATCCGACTATATTTGAAGTTATATATATTTTTAAGGTAATTTAAATTATTATGTTAAAAATATGCCTAACTGGAAATCTCACTGAAAGACAGCACTGGCGAGTAGCCATCAATCGCGGAAATGGTAATCTAGTTACGCAAATTTGAATTCCAGACTAAGTTGTGCCCAATGGGGTCACGTTTCCATGTTCTCAAAAGCCAGAAAAAACATTTATTTATTTAAAATATATTAATAATAATACTTTTAAAAACAAAATAAATTATGTTAAAGGGAAATCCTGGCGTGAGATTTCATCACTCAATTGAAAACTATTTATCTTATCCACAGTTTATATCAATGACCATGACTATGAAAATCAGTCGTGTGCCTGGGAGGTTTATAATATAAACTTTATATAGATGCCACAAAGATAGGCGCCTCTTTATCTCTCCCCCTATGATAACCCCAATTACAGATCTTATAACCCGAAGCAATTGCCAGTTGGTTTTGGGCAGGTCTATAGACACACCTAAACAATTGTGCACTTCCTTAACTTAGATAAACTTTGAGACTCTAAAAAACAATAATAAAAATTCCCTTAGGTAACCCCATAAGTCTGGGTAATTTTGCATACCTCTGGCAAAACTTATCTTCCTTCAATAACTATAAACATTATGGATGTGAAAAAGTATAGTGTGAAAGTTTATTCAGTTTTGAGGAGGTTTTTCTCTTTGGTGATTCAAACAAAGCATGAAAATTACAAAAATTAAAATAATATAAGAATAATTTTAAATAAAATATGCGATTTTAGTGATCCTTTTGGGTCCTGTGTAGCTTCGCATAGATTCCTCCCTGGGATATCAGCTGCATGTGATTGCCCTGCTCCACCACCTGGCCGTTCTGGATGACGCAGATTACATCCGCATTCTGGACGGTGGACAGGCGATGGGCAATCACAATGCAAGTGCGTCCCGAGCAGGCAGAATCCAAAGCCTGTTGGACCAACTGTTCGCTCTGCAAATCCAAAGCAGAGGTGGCTTCATCCAGCAGCAGAATCTTGGGATTTCGCACCAGAGCCCGGGCAATGGCAATACGTTGTTTCTGGCCTCCGGAGAGTTGAGTGCCTCGGGCTCCCATCCGGGTATCATAGCCATTGGGCAGACTGATGATGAAGCTATGAGCATTGGCACTCTTGGCCGCTGCTATGATCTCTGCCATGGGCACTGATCTCCTGTTGTCTCCATAAGCTATGTTCTCTGCTATGGATCTCTCGAAGAGAGTAGGTTCCTGCGAGACAATGCCCAGGCGGGTTCTCACTCCCTCCAGGGTCAGATCATGCTGGATATCGTCGTGATCAATGTGCTGGGTTGGGAATTATATTAATTAATATTTTTTAAAGTTAGATTTATCCCCGAAGAACTTACAATGCTTCCCTCATCGGGATCGTAGTAGCGTTGCAGCAACTGCACACAGGTGGACTTACCGCATCCCGAATGACCCACCAGGGCCACCGTTTGACCCTTTAGCACCTCCAGATCCAAACCATTTAAGATCTGGGCATCGGGTCTTGTGGGATATTTAAACTGAATGCCTCGATAGCGAACTCCCTCAAAGAGATTCAACTGCTTGGCCAGGGTGTTCTTGATGGTGCCCATCGGGGAGGTGATCTTGGGCTTGCGATCTAGGATTTGGAAGAGCCTATGTCCAGCAACCAAGGCGGCGGAGAAGGCTGGAGTGAAGGCCAGAGATTGGGCCAGCATCATGGAGCCATAGAGCAGGGTTTCAGAGACCCTAAAAGGGGAAGAAGAAAAGGATTATTTATGTAAAGCTTCTTTTTAAATTTCTAAAAATAAATTGAGTAATGAAATATATATTTTATAATCCCTGAATCCCCGTTCCTTTCTCTCACTTGATAATATCCTGGAAGGGCAGCTGACCCTCTGACACCAGGACACCACCATAGCAAAGAGCCACTGCATAGGCAAAGAAGGCCGAGGCCTGCATGGTGGAGTTCAAGACTCCTCGCCACCTCAGCTTCTGGCGGATGAGAACCTCCACTCGCTGGATCTCCTCGGTGTACTCCCGAATGACATCAGCCTCTCTCCTAAGACCAGCCACCGTCCTGATGTTGGTAATGGCCTCAGTGGCTATGCGGCAAGCCTCCTCGATGACCTGCTTCTCCCTCACAATGGCAGTGGACATCATCCTGAAAATGGGTTTAAAAATATAAGGATATTCTATACAAAAAGAGAGACTTCAAACCCACTTGGCTTCCAGGATCACTGAACCCACTATAATGGGACAGTTGGCTAGGCACAACAGAGCCAGCTTCCAGTTGTAGTACATGGCCACGGTGACACTCGATATAAAGTTGGACAAGGCCTGGATCATGCCACTCAGTGGGTAACCAATGGCGCCTTGGACACCCACAGCCTCACCCGAAAGACGAGCAGATAAAGCTCCCACAGAGTTATTTTCGTCATCAAACCAGCCCACCTCCTGGCTCACCATGGCCTTAAAAGTCATGGCCCTCATCCTGGTAGTCAGCCAAATGCCAGCGTAATTGAAGAGATAAGTTTGCAAGAAGCAAACCAATCCTGTCAAGAAAGCCAGGCCTAGACAGGCCCAGGAAAGGACAGCCGTGCGACGCAGAGCATCCTCGGGATCCTGCTCTGAGAGAGCAGCATAGAATTCACCAAAAATAATGGCAAATGCAGGATACAGACAGCCTACACAAATGGCACTGATGGTGCCCAGTATAAGATAGCACCACTCGGGTCGAGCGAGTTTCAGAATTCTGGAGAAGGTCCTGAAAAAGTTGGGCTTCTCAACGGGAGGTGATGCCTCGGCCACCATCTGGGCATTGGTATCCTTGGCTAAAGGCTTAACAATTGGCTCATCGAACTGGACACTGATCTTCTGGCCCTTCTCAAAGTTCAAAGGACTCGTCTCAAAGGATTTCTCAAAGAGAGCGAGGCTCTTGCCTGCAAGATAAAAGTGTTTTCTACAGAAATCATTCCCAAAATTCCTTATTCATGTCCTTACGCTTTGCATCCTGCTCCGTGTTCTCCTCCTTCTCCACCTCCTCGGGCATTTTGATGTCTCCGGCATGAACCATGTTGTAGTAGGCGCCTTCCAGGGCCATCAGGTCATCATGGGAGCCCTCCTCCAGCACCTTGCCATCGTGTATAAAGACGATCTTGTCCGCTCCCCGAATGGCTGAGAGTCTGTGTGAGACCACAATCGTAGTGCGACCCTTGCTGGCCAAATCCAAAGCCTGTTGGACCTGCTTCTCCGATTGGTAATCCAAAGCAGAGGTGGCCTCGTCGAGGAGGAGGATCTTGGGGTTCTGGATAAGAGCGCGGGCAATGGCAATGCGTTGTTTCTGGCCTCCAGATAGTTGAGAACCACGCTCACCGATCATGGTGCGATAGCTCTGGGGGAATAATTATTTAAGAAAAATTTTAAAAATAATAAATAAGAAAAGGTAGCAAAAACTCACCTCTGGCAGATTGGTAATGAACTCATGGGCTCCAGCTTGCGTGGCCGCAGCTTCTATCTCCTTCTGGGTGGCTCCTGGCTTGCCATAGCTGATATTTTGGGCTGTCAAAGAATAAATTTAATAAATTATATTCACAAATCTTAGCAAAACCAACCTATAGTTCCCAAAAATAACACTGGTTCCTGGCCAACCACCGCAATGTTCGATCTCAGCCACTGAATATTATATTTCCTGATATCCAAATCATCCAGTAGAACAGCGCCAAAGACAGGATCATAGAACCTTTGGAGCAACTGCACACAGGTGGATTTTCCGCAGCCCGAAGAACCCACCAAAGCCACCGTTTGACCCGCTCTGATCCTAATATTCAAGCCCCTGTGAACTATAATCTCTGGACGCGACGGATATCTGAAGAACACATCTTGGAATTCCACATCACCGCGAAGACCATAGTTCAAGAGCTTGCCATCTGTGGAGAGGGGATCTATCTTTGAGGTGAGATCAATGACCTTGAAGAGATTGGTGGCACAGCCTCGGGCGGTGGCAAAGGACTCTAGGAAGGGTGCCGTTCTGGCTATGTTATCTGCTCCGACAATGATACCAAAGAAGGCCTAAAAAAATCTCAAGGATTAGGTTTATAACTCATCTTAAGGGATCTATAACTTACAATCATCAGAATAGCTGGCGTATACTCCTTATCCTCCACACCACGATCGTCTATGATGAGATTGACGCCATACCAAAAGGCTCCAGCGCAGGACAGATACAGCATGGACTTTAACAAAGCATCACTGACCCCGGAGAAGGCTCCCTTCCATTGACTGGCCTTACGGGCAGGAACCAGGAAATTCTCATAACGTTCCACTTCTGATTTTTCGCCACCAAAAGACACCACAGTGCGAATGGCACTCAGGATCTCTTCGGCCAGGTTGCCAGCTCCAGCATAAGACTCCTGTTCGCGGGCAGTCAACTTGCCTTGGTACTAGGATTAAAAAAGGAACTTTAAAGGAACCCTTTAAAAAATATTATATAAAATATACACCCACCTTGGCCACATAGTAATTAACCAGAATCACCAGAGGAATGTAGGAGCTCACAGCCAGGGTGAGTTTCCAGCCATAGGCAAAGGAAATGGCCACGGTTATGATGAAGCCCACTACCAGGTAAACAAAGTGACCCACTTTCTCGGAGATGCCATCGCGAACCTTCTCCACATCGCTGGAAATAATCAAGAGATAGATTCTTAGACTTTCTTAGCATATCCAAAACTTACTCCACCATGCTCTGGGTAAAGTTCTGCTTGCTGGCCAGATCATGCCAGCCTATGTCCTGACGCATCACGGAGCTAAAGAGCATTATCCTCATTCTGGTGACCTGACGCAGGGCCACCACATTGAAAATGTCCACGGAAAAGATTCCAGAAATAAACATTACCACCGAGGCAATGGTCAGGAGAATGCCATAGGAAATGGAGTCGTCATACAAGGCCTCGCTGTTCTCCTCACGAGTGGCATTGGTCCTAGAAGGATTAAAAGGATATATCTCTCCCCTAAAAATTAATAAAGATTTTTTTCCCCTTCAAACTTACAGACTTTTACCGCCTCCAAACAGCGGCAAAGCATGAACCTTGGAGCTAATGCCAAACACCATGGCTCGATCCACCAGCATGGAGGTGAACTCGCTGTAGATGATGACCACGGCAGGCAGGGTCAAGGCCTTGATGCAGCACATGATGAAGCCAAAGAAGAGCCAGGCTATCTCTCCATACGTGGAGAACCTGAAGAGGGTCAGGAAACTAATGGGTTGCGTGGGCTCCAGTCCTTCCGCCGGCGGAGCCTCCTCCTGGGACTTGCCCTCGCTGGTGGTGGTGGTAGAGACCTCATCGCGATCCATGATCGACACTGGTCACTGACGGAATGGCAATTAAAGATGCTTTATTATTCAATGGTCCATCGATCCGTGGTCAAGATTTCTCCGGGGGAACCAGACAAAAGGTTAATTCAATTAGGCAACACACACTCTGCCGCCGCATGCAAGTTTGTATATTTCTTTCACATAGTTCTCATTGACCCGCGGGGTCAAGTGATAGAATATCATATATATATATTATTGGACACATTCCTGGTTAAATTGGGGCTTCAGTTTGTAGGTCACACGCTTTGAAAGCGTGAAATCAGTACTTTTGCTTTGGGATATTCACCTTTTTATTAAGACTTTTTATGATTTATTCTGCACTTTTGGGTTTTATTGAAGAAGTTTGGACCGAAGATGTGGTGTCCGCCTGAGCTCTCAGGCGCGACTGACTGCAGAATTCCAGCTTCTCTGCCATTTAAATTTTCTTGAGCACACATATGTATATCAGCGTTTGGGTTCAAATTCTAATTGATCTTTCTCTCCTACGTCTCTTGGGGTAGGTTGGAAGAGTCTCAATTGATGGCGAAGAGTCTCTTTCATAGCTCTTTTAACAACCAAAATGTAGAGTCACAAGAGAATCTTGTTAAGTGGATCGATTTTATTTTAAAGGTATAGATATATAACTACAAGAGGTTGCCTCTTCGTCTGTACAAGGCATAGATTTCCTATACATTACATTTAGTGGGATTATTTTTTACAAAATATATAAACTTATTCTTAAAAAACAGATATCTCTAGCTGGATAACAATCGCATATCACATACTGTGTTGGTTTACAAGTATTTACACGGCCTACACGAGATAGAGATTCTTTACAAAGATTCGCGCAGAATTTAACGCTTAGCTAAGACATATGGCAAGTGCCAAAAAACAATAAGTCAATTTCTTATAAAATATATACTAAGTATGTACAATAAACTATACAGTTACTGTATTATATGGTATTCTGATTATTGCATTTTTCTAGAATTTTATTGAGCTGGACTTGGACTCTGTTAAGACTGTGGTTTATTTATATATTTTGGGGTAGCTACTTCATGAAGCCTTCATCTTCCCTAAAAATGCAGCTATGACATTGTATAGAAATTATTTTAAAATAATTCATTAAAGTTTTGATAAGAAGCAACTTTAGTTTGAAAAGACTTTTACAACTTTAACTATGAATAGTTTTCATTAGAAACTTCATTAGTTTTTTCTATTTTTTTAAATATACAGTGTCATATCTGCATAACTTTCTATCTGTTCTTCAAATTGTCCTTCTAACTCTCTTAAAATTGTTGTAAAAAATCCAGTTTATATCTTAATTAGATAAAACCATGGCTACAGTTAATATCATCTTATTGGTTCCGGGTGGGCCTTAAACCTAATTACGTGGCTCATCTTCTCTGCTTCTCCTCCCTGCCGGTGTCACACATACACCTCTCCCGTCTTCTGCTCCGGCTTGTGCTTGGCCAGCGTCGAAGGAGCCGAAGATCCTCCCGTTTCCGTGGGCTTCTGCGACAAACTTATCGTGGGCAACGAGGCCGCCGTGTCCACGGTATCCGTTGGTCCTGTCGATCTCACCGAAGATCGCTGCTGCTGCTGATCCTGCAGATTCAGGCTCAAGTTGAAGCTGTTGTTCCTAGAGATGTTCGAATGACCATTCAAGGGTTTCACGGAGAGCAAGGCTGTGGTGGTGATGCCGCCACCACCATTGCCATTGCTGGAGCCACTGTTGCCATAGCCATCTTGGACATCGCCGCCGGTTAGCTCCACAATGGACAACGAGGAGGGGGATCGCTGAATGGACAAGGATACCGGAATCGTGGTGATCACATCGTTTTGATCATAGCCACTGGCCGTGGTGGTAATGGTGGGCAACTGGGCATTGGCCGTAATGGGCAGGATGCTCAAAGTACCCGTGGGCATGGTTTCTCCACCGCTGGTGGTGGTCACGGTGAAGGGGAAGGAAAGCGTGGTGATGTTCGTGGCTGCCGGGATATCTAAGGATTCGATATAAAAAACTTGAGTAAGGATTCTTCAGGATATCTCTTAGGAAACTCACTGCTTGCCGCATAACCCTCTTTCATGCTGGCTGCCAAGGCTGCTGTGGCTGGATGTCCTGGAATCAAAGTGTTATTGGACGATGAGCTATCCATCTCTTTGATGGGTGAGAGCAGCAGTGTGCCCAGCACCTGGCCGCTCTCCTGGTGGTGCAGTAGGGTGTCGGGTGCGTAGGAGGAGGGGTACATGCCCGGTGGAGGTGCGCTGGTTGTGCTCAGCTGCTGGGGTGCCATTAAAATCGAGCTGGTGGCTACAAGGTGGTGAAGTGGTGCCATTTAGAAAGAGTTTTGCAAGTGCTTCAGGGATTTTACTTACCTGGATTGGTATTGCCATCCTTGGTCACCTCGGGCGTTGGTATCCTGGGCCTAGTGGTCTTGGCCACATTTACATTTAAGCCATTGAGTTTGGAGTCTGTTGGGAGGGGAATTTATTTAGCATACTTTTGGGTGCAACAATAACTTATTTATACACCGTAAATAATTGGGGGTATTAAATATAGTTAAAAATATTCAGTATATATTTTTAAATATTTTTTTAATACTCACTCTGCTTGATCAATTGCCTCTGAGCTCTGATCGACTTGCGATGCACAAACTTGCCATAAAGACTCGATTTACTAGGCTGCGAGCCGGCCTGTTGTTGCTGCTGCTGCTGCGCCTGCTGCAATTGCTGCTGCTGCAGGATGGTTAGAGGCAGTCCAGACTCGGGACTAGAATACACAGAGTTCAGGCGGTTTCGGTTAAAGGGCAGTCCGCCGGAGGAGTAGGCCGTGGACTGGCTACGCATTGAACCCATGCGGGAGAGCTGACGCACCAGCCAGTTGTTTTTCCGCCGCTCCACCATGGGAGTGTCCACGCTTTCCTATTAAAATATTAATTTAAAAATATTATTATTTATTTTTAAAAGATTTTTAAATATATATTTTATTTTTAATTAATATTCTAGCATCTATTTACTCACATAATCCGCATAGACATCATCGCTGAGCATCCTTTTGCCTCCTCCGGGCATTATATTGGCATACATGGCATCCTCCTTCTTCACCTTGTACTTCTCCGCCGATCCCTTGGGCTCGTCCTTGCGATAATGCTCCGAGGCCACGGTATAAGGCAGATCCTTGGGCACCACACATTCCCAGTACTGATCGCGCAGCAGCTCCGGATGCTCCTCGTGCATCTCGTCCACGATCATGTAGGCGGCCTGAAAGTTAATAATCAACCAAAAAGTAGATCAGATCGAGGGCCCTCTATAAATCGGAACGTGTTCGCCATTTGCGATTCCGGTGGCTCTTTAAAGCCCAATTGCGTCACGGCAATTGAGCCAGTTGAGAGTGTGGCCCACATCGAAGAGACAAAAGAAAAAGTGAAATTGTTTACAAGTTGTTTTTTTAATTATTCCATAACACACACACACACACTCGGCCCACTGCAAAAACTTGCAAAAAATAAAACTAAGGCAAAAAGTAATAATAATAAATGGGAATGAGGGGGAAAAAATGTAGAAAAAAACACTCATTTGGTTAATCATTTTGCTACTCAGCAGAGAGTCACGTCTGGGCGTCTGTGGAACCTTTTGCTTGGCTTGGCGAGGTGTTGGCCATAACATTAACCCCCTGATAACCGGGCCAAAACGAGGCGTTTGTGGATGCACTTCCCAAATCGAGCAAAACTCTGCTAAAACACACACAGAAACTGCCGATAAAAAAAAGCTCTACAAAAGAGGTTTCAATGTTTTCGGTTTGGATTTTTTCCTGCATTTAATGCTTTTTTTTCTCTCATTTTTTGAACAAAAACCTGTTTTCAATTTACTTTTGCTGCTGCTGCTGCTGCTGCTGGCTTTTGTAAATAATTGCAAGCAACAACGGCAGGCCCCGAAAACACAGATACAAACACAAAGTGCACACACACTCGAGGAGCCATCTCCTAACACAACAAAGTCCAAAAACTCCAGTCATCCTAAGGGTTATATAGGCGAAGTCTGATGCCCTGATTGTAGTTCTAGATTTGCACTAGTTTTTACTGGATTTATTTACTTTTTTAGCTTGAAAATGCATTTACATTTAATAAATTTAAATTAAGTTTTGCTCATTCCATTTGTCACCTGTAAATGTCTTACTAAATCACTGTCACGGGAATTAATATGTATTTAGTATCGGCTAAAAAAAACTAGTTTACGGCTTAGGCTCAATTATTATTTATCTAAGACTCATAAATCATTTTCTGGTTTAACCATAAATGTGTTTACTTCTATTCAAGAACGATTAGAAATAATTGTGATATAATATTTAGCTATTAAATGAGACATTTGAATTGTAAAAAAGCTTTAGGTAAGGTAAAAACTTATAAGAAAATTTAAATATATATTTAAATAACAGGCTTGGAGTGCAAATTCAATCTTAGCTTAGATTATAAAACGAGTTGTGGCTTATAATAAGGCTAGAAATTGTTTGTAAGTATTTTAAAATATAATAAATAATCATATTCTTAACAAATTTATAATGCAAAATTACTGATAATTTTCTAAAAATTATCTTACTTGATTTTAGAATATTAAATATATCTTGAAAATAGTTTAAAAGCTTTCTTTAAATCAAATAAAATTTGTTATAATTTATTTTCCACCTCAAACTCTTTACAAAGTGTATTTTGAAACCCAACACACCTCAAATTTCCTCCTCCTGCTAAAAAACTGAGCTTGGCTATGTGGAGAATGCCTGTTATTTTTAGCACGTGGCAGACAGACTTGTTCTTCTCCTTTCAGCAGCAATCCAAGAAGTGGCTGACTCAGGCGATTATCGCTTCAAGAGCTCAAAAATCTTTACTTAGCTAGCACGCTAACCCAATTAGCGAATCCAACTCGAGATCTTAACAGTCATAATACTGCGAAATCTCTGAAAACTATAATTATGGATATTAGCCTGCGTCGAGATACATATAAGTATCTGGCGGATGCTTGCTCAAGGTTTGACTTAATCGCTTCTTTTCTAAGTATTTTGAAGCAGAGTTGGAGTTGTGGCCATCTGTTTCGATATTTGGAAGTTGGTAATTTAATTTGAAAAGCCGAGAATTTATCTTCCCTATGCTAAATAAAATTAATTGGAAGTCATACAGGTTTTGGGCTCTAAACTCGGGTAACTTTTGTTCGTTTTTAATTTTTGCTTCACAAATGAAATGGTTTGAATGATTGTTTTATGGTCGCATACACCGCAGGAATTATTTCCACTAATTATTAACAATTTATAACGTCTGATTGGAGTGAAGACAACGTGTCAGTTTGAATTACGTTAACTTGATAGCTAAAAGAATGTTGCTTTTGACAGAGTTTTTCTTCATAGTTTTAAATATTATTATATTTAAATTATATAAAAAGAAAAAAATGTATCTCTATGCCATAAATAAACAACAATCTTGTCAATAATTTACAGCAGACTTGAGTGTTCAGCTGTTTCTGACAAACTGGCAATCCGTTTACAGATGTTTTCTTATCTTTTTTCCTTTAAAACTTTTAATTTTACTTTTCTTAAATATTAAATACCCCTTTTTAAACTCACCTTAATGTGCCGGTCAATGAGCCAATTGAGCTCGATATCATCGTCATCTTCGCCAAAGGGATTGATTAGCACCTCGGCCACTTTCAGCCAGCCCACGTAGAAAACAAACTGCGGAGATTAATTGAAAGCGATAAAATCGCTTAATTACATCATATAAAAAATGTACAAAAAAAAGGGTAGACATCAGACTCGAGAATGATTTCGAGACACGCCAGGGAAAGCTTTGCCGGCATTCCCATTCCCATTCCATTCACTTTTTTTGTGGCTAAAAGCTGACAAAAAATCATACGGTATTTGGTGGAATGCACATTAACAGTGAATAATGATAGCTAAACACTTGTTGCAGATCTATATCGGAAAAAACACAGACTCTCAGACCAAAATGTCAATTTATTACGGGAAACGTGACCGCGAATCGTTTACATAAGGCACTTGAAATCTGTCCCCGGCAGAGAACCGCAGAAACCAAAGCAAAAACAACAGCCAGGCCCTATCATGATATATAGAGCAGCGTTGTGGCGTATCGTTAACAAGGTATAGCCATTACATTTGCCTAAAAAAATAAAAAATATAATAAAAAAAAACAAACACAAAAAAAAAAACCCCACCATAATGAATAACAAAAAACCGCAACAAGTTTTTAAACATTTACAAAACGTCGAGACGTGCAAAATGGACTCTGATTTATGGTAAATAAGGCGGAACGTGCAAATTAAGATACCTTCTTAACGTCGTCTAAAAATTAATTTGTGGAAATAATTGACTAACCTGCAAAACGGTGAAGAGGGGAAAAAACAGATCGGGATCCTCGCGACCATTGCGATCAAGGACTTGGGGCAACATTTGGCGGCCCAAAAGGGCGGCTATAAAGTAGGTATACAGCACCAGGGTGACCACCTATTAAAAATAAATTTTAAATATTTTTAAATATTGTTTAAATATGTTTTAAAGTAATTAATTAATTAAAAAACCCACCTGCGTGTAGACCAAAGGAACACAGACCGTATCGTAGCCTATTAGGCCACCCAAACGTCTACGTATATCCGAGAGTTCCACCAATATGGTCTGCACTATGTGATCCGAGGCTATAAGGCCATCTTTCCTAGCTCGATTGATTATATTTGTGGCCCAGACCAGGGGCATCCAGTACTTGGACATGGGACTCTTGGCATTCAAAGCCTCAAAGATTTTCATCTCGGATTCGTGCATCAAGCCCGCATCCACCAGATGCTGGGTGGTGGGAAATCTACGCTTGACGCGCAGGGAAATTCTCTGCAGGGTAATCACATAGGCCAGAACCATATAGCGCATGATATTGCGACGCATCAGGCGACCTGTTTCGTTCTATTTGAAATTATAAAGAAATATATTTTATTAATTAAATTAATTTCCCTAATTTATTTCCTTCAATATTCTTACATTAACACCTCCATTAGAGTTGGGAATGGCCGCACTGATGAACAGGGCCAACGTATCTGGCCAGGGTAAGAGACGATATTGCTCCCACCAACGTTTCACCACCAGATTTACATAGAAGCCCAACACAAAGGACATGGGTATACTCTCACCCTGCTGACTAAAGTACAGGCGGATTTTCTTAAATATTCTGTGAGGAAAATTCTGCATTATAATCCCTAGAATATAGTAAAAACTTCAAGTAATACTCACGACTGCTGACTTTCCGTCAGGCCAAATCTATAGATAACATTTATGGTATAGTATAAACACAAATACGCAATTAATTCGCGCCACACCAATTTGTAAACGCTGCCGCGCCATCTATTTAGAAAAAAGGGAAATAAATTGTTTAATTAAATAACTTGGGGTATTTATGGCTCAGTCGAAGTTAGCCGACTTTGAACTGTAACTAACTGGTTTTTTGTCAGCGTTCGAAAACGATTTCCTCATTTAGCCATTTATCCATGTCCCCTTCTCCCTTAATCATCATATTTAAGATTTATTTTCAATTTTAATGGGTCGCTAGTTTTGCAAGATATTTATATACAATATTTTTTTTTATGGGGGTATTCCTATCTAGCATGTCTGTTCCACTGAATTCTAATATTCCAAAGTGTGATTTGATACGTTATAAAAAAATAAAGAACAGACAAAAATATTTGTATAAGTAATGATTGGCATAACCGCTTTGAAACTGGTACCTATACAGGTGGGGTCTTCGTTCTGTTTGTTTTGATCAAGGTTTCTGTGGCCTTTTTCTTAACAAAAATGTTGGGTTGCCAAGGCACTAACTAGGGATGGTGAATAGGGTATAAATATATTGCTATCGGTTTAAATTTATTAAATTTTGGCAGAAAAGATGTAGAAATAAATATTTTTATGAGAGTTTTAAAAGCTTTATCTCGAAATAAATATAAGCTCTAGAAAATAATAAAAGTTATCGATGTTTTCGTTTAAAAGTACCGATTAAAAATCGATAAGCATCGATTATCTACAGATATCTAAAATGATCGATGTATTGCTACCATTTCGATTATTGAAATTTTGTTATTTATTTTTCTTATCGATACAAATACATTCTTTGTTTTCTAAAAATTACAGAAAAATTTTAATTAAAAAAACTTATTTAAAACAATTGGCCTAAGGCATAAACAATATGTTTTAGGTAACTTTTACATTCTCGAAGCTGTGGCTTGCATAAGTTTTCAATTAGTAAAACCATTACAAAACGTGGTGTGTGCCTTATCATCGACGCTTTCAGCGCTTCGGCACAAAGTTATGGCCACCAAAATTCTCTCTTCTTTTCTGGTTTGAATGGCGAAAACTGGAACTGTGCAACAGTAACTGGAACTGGACGCTATGGCTTTAGCTATTCTAACTGCCCAGTTACGAGTGACTGCACTTGGGGGGAAACAATTAAAGCAAACTGTGGGGGTTACACACACTCTAAAAACAACAAAAAAAAAAAATAACCTGATCTGTCAATAGTGCTTCTCCCTCTCTCCATATAGAGAGAAAAAGTCGGTGTATCGGATGTTAATTGCGTTGGTAAACACTCGGGGGACAGGTGGATGGCTATGAGTAATGCGGAAAAATCCCCGGAATCGGTAACTCTTGGGTGTTGACCCAGTTAGTAGTTGTGACACTGGACCCGGGAGTACACAGAGATAGTGATTTCTTTAATTTTATTTTAGGGGATTTGATATAATTTTTATTAATTTAAATTTGTCTTGTCAGGTCTCTAAATTATATATTTAATTATATGGTAATTATGTTTAAACAATACTCACTTCCATAGGATCTTCCAGAAGCAGCCAAAGCTGCTTCCATTTGGCACTTCACCCGCATATGAGACGGTCATTGTCTCTCCTTTTATATGCTTTTTGACTTAGTTTTATTTTTTACTGATCTTGTTTTTGTTTATTTAATCACAAACAATTTGTTTTTATGGTTGTTGGTGTTGTTGTTTTTGCCGGCACTAGGCCGCTGCCAATATGGAGAAGGCCAAATGGCTGTTGCTGTTGTTGTCGCTCGATTTCGTACGCGAATTTTGTTAATTGCTTTTGTTGTCGCGTCATTGAAAGCAGCGCCGCATCTACGGCTATCCCACTCGCACTCTGTAACACCCCCGCCGCTCTATCTCGCTCACTCTCCGAGCCACGGGTTTTTGTAAGCTTCTCCTGAAATAATAATATAAAAAAACAGCAGCAACAATAAGATATACAGTAGGGTTTCAATGGAATTAAACTCTTAAAAATAATTTTTAGGGAATTTTTTGAAGACTTTACTTATATGAAAATCACTGTTAAAAAAATACTTTAAAATTCAAGTAGGCTTATTTTAGATAGCAACATTTTTGCTTTAAATAAATCTTTAATGTGCACTTCAAAAATGTAAATATTACAATAGATTTCCCTTATACAGATTCCACTGTATCAAATACAATAAAAGGGGGAGGAAGGGCGTAAAGTGGGAGGCTAACACGCGCCCGGTAAAACTGTAAAAGGCAACACACATGCGCCACAGCCGCAGCTTTTTACGTTAACGTTAACGTTAACACCAGTGCAATCCATGCAAATACTACTGGAGGGCTTTCAGCTGAAAGAGCTCAGTTTAAATAAATTCCATCACGTATTGAACAGTTTTTCTGTGTAGTTTTCATAGCTGCTTTTTTTCATTATTTCTTTTTTGTTTTATAAAATGTAAACTAGGCACTTTCATCGGTTAGGGTGAACCTAACACCATATAGGAGTAAACCTATATTTATTTAAGGTATTTCTCAGCACTTTACTTTATTAACATCTTCACCTTGTAAACACAATTATTATGGTTTCCCTTTTGAGGCTTTTTTTTAAGTGTTTTTTCAGGGTACTTAAAGATCACTTTGCTGCCAGGATTTTCCCCAAAAATTCCCCAAAATTCTCTTCAATGGCAAAACCGAGCTTGATGTTGGGACTTTCAGCTTGTTATTTATTTTTTTATCTTAATTTCTTGTTGTATTTTTTTTTTGCCAGAAACCTTGGGATGGGCAAAAATTTCGGCAGTTTCTCTGTATAATTATGCCCAGTCAGCGCCACATGTCTTTATTGTTTCCCGTTTTTCGTCTGTTTTCTGTTTATTTCGACTTTTGATTAATTCCGTTTATGTTGCGTTTCTCTCCAAAGTGATTTTGATTAATCGAAAGATCCCACAGCGAGGGCTTTTTCGAGCATTATCATTATCATTTTGTAAATTTAAAGATTTGAAACCTGTATGCAAGCTTCTTGGCTGCAAAAATATTTGCATAAGCCCCCAGAACGGGTTCTATATATATAGAAAGATATATACTAGATGGGGATTTTCACTTTGGCGCGTTAATTTCATTTACAAACATGGCAGATCTTCAGGAATGCAAGACCCAACAACAGGTTATTATTTTTCTCCCCCTCGGAGGTCTAGGCCAAGTTAAGTCATGATGGCGCTAGATTACACCGATTGTTTTGCAGTTTCGCAACAATTAAAGATAGTCGTTGTCGTGCTTCTCGGATATGTTATTTATACTACTGAAAGTTTCGCAATTTGTCTGAAATCCAGACATGTTTCGGGGGAGACAAATAGTAGCCATTGACCTGCTTGTGGAGATATAATCTTGATGTCCACCTTCTGTGGCAATATATTTAACACGTTAAACAAGCTGTCTGAGATAGGAGATGCAGCTTCTAGCAGAACACACACTGCGTATACGCGATAATCACACAAAGAGAAGAGACTTGCCGACTTTGATGGGTGACGAATATATTTATATGGCAAGTCTTTTAGCTTGTATAAAATTTCACTTTTCCTCTGACGTATTCGCTCAGCGATTTGTTTACCAAATGAGTCAATGGATTGTTTTCCAATCCAATCCCCCGAATCGACTTGCACTTTTTCCGGCTCGATTCGTTCCCAGAATAAAGTACGCGATGGGAGCTGTTTTGGGGGCCCTCATTAGCACACAATAAAGCAGATATATATCTAGGCACCGGAGCCGATTTCTTGTTAGCATTGTTAGCGTTCTCCACAAACTCATTAAGTGTCATTGAAGCGATTTAAACAGCACTTTCGGGCGAGCAATTAACGTGTTTGTTAAATTATTAAAAATTTTATCACTGTAATATCGATAAATCAATTAAATTTTAGTGATTTATTGATTTTTAATACTAAAGTGATGATATTGTTTATTATTTTGTTACACAAAATATGTGTTCCTCTCTGATTTTAATATTTAAAACTATTTATCTATCTATGTACCTTTTAATTAATTGTTTTTGAACTTTTTCTTGCCTAGTTTTACCTAATTTTCAACTAATTATTAACAAATTATTTAAATTAAATGCTGTGGTAATAAATACACCAAAATAATTACTTAATTGTGAATCAACAAATTTGCAATTCTTCAATGGTTAACAAATATTAAAATATCAATTAACATAATTTGTTGTTTTGGTAATTTATTTTCTGTGGCTCAAAATGAATTTTCGTCATTTTCCAATTCATTTATCATTCGTGTTTTGTGCATTATACAATCTGCAATTACTTCATTACTCCCCAGCTATTTATAGTCATTTCTATATGTACATCTATATATATTTATATATCTTTTTAATTGCTCTTCACTCATTAAGCATTTTCAATTGAAAAATTGCATCTGAATTCGCTCTGGCAGACACACAAAAATTCAATAGAATGCCGACTGCACACCTAAGCGGCTCTTAAAAAAAAACCAAAATAGGGGAGACACAAAAAACGTAAATAAAAGTAAACTTGACCAGTTGGGAGCTGGAAGCTTAGTTTACGGAGACGCCTAGGCCATTTAGAGCCAGAAACACGCGCTGGCGTGCGACGCGTTTACGATTACAGATACATAGATACAAAGATACTCGGCCTAATGGATACGTGTGCGGCTGGGACACAGAAAAAAAACAAGATCAGACTAGAAAGAGATTAATTTTTTGCAGGTTTTTGGGTGTTTAATTAATTATTGTACTTTTTAGATAAAGAAACTTGGTTGAATGTATTTTATTTTGGTTTTTATAGATTTTTTTTCTGGAAAAATAAATTCTTTTATTTTGAAAACTTTAAAATATTATCCAAAATATATACACTTTGAAATTATTATTAATTTTTGTATGCTGTATTTTTTAAATTAAATTTTTTAATCTCAATCCACTTGTAATATTATTAAGTATTTCATTTTATATTTTTTTAACTAAACTATATAAACTATTTAATTTATTATCTACTAAAAGTCTTATAATTTATACTTTATTATGTAAGCTCAAAGATCAATGTCTAATTTTTTTCCCTGTGTCGGAAGCTGCTCAGCTCGGATCATATGAGCTTGAAATCTGAAATCTGCCAAAAGTGTTTCTATTTTTAGTGAACTTTTTCAGTTTGTTCTCTTCGATGCCACTCCATATATCGGATATTGTTACACTTAACACACTTGGATTTAAAGAACATTTATTTGTTAATTGCAAACACGAAAAACAGCAACAGAAATGCGTCTGTTTTTGTGCTCAAACTTTTTTTTTTGTTAGACTTCAATGGAGGGGTTCCGCACGATCAACTGGCGAGTGCTTAGCCCCAGCTCAGCCTCAGTTTTCAGTTTTTTTTTATTCAGTTTCCAACTGACTTTGGGCTCCACGTACCGACAGCGCGACGACGGGTTTACCGCTGGACACTTGAAGCTCGACTGCGACTACGACTACCGGACCGCCGGGCAACCTGACCGCTCGACGAACTCAACTAAACTGAGCTCCAGAGTTGGCCACGAGCGGATCTTAACTCACTTTTTTCCCAGTTGGCAACAGGTAGACAGCACACAAAAAATATTCGGTGTGTTTGTATAGGTGGGTTTCAGGGGCGTTGAGTAAGGCAAAGGGGGATATTTTATAATTAAATAAAATATATGTTAACTCTATAGTTCTTCTGGTTTATTCTTATCATATAATGGCTAAAATCAAATAAGTCTTATAATATTTAAAATTAAATAACAAGTATAATCTATATTTATAAGCTCCCCCCTTTTACTAAGCCTTTGTAAGCTACAAAGAGTCTGTAGCCTCTCTTTGGCTTTCTTCGCTCTCTTAAAGCTATAAAAAAGAATGGGCTTCGATGAGATTAATCAGCTGTTTCGGTTTTGGGGTTTAAGCCAGAGATTAGCCAACGGAAAGAGAGAGGTTTCTACAAAAATAAGAGAATTAAAAATATAATAAAAATCAGATAATGAATATTTTTGTAAAATCTATAAAAATCAGTTAATAAGTTTATTAAAAAAACCTTTAAGTTCAAAATTAAATAAAATTTCACACAATACTTAAATTAAATCAAGCAATTTAACGCTTTAGTGCCATGATGTTACCTCATTCCAAAAGTCTGGCTATATTTGTACAACCCAAAATATCACAAACAAAGCATAGTTTCAGGCTTTCCATATAATTTACCTCCAAAGAAAACCCAGTTTAATTTTGTTAACTAAAAATACTTTAATAATTTAACTAAAAACTACAATTTACACAACTTAATACAAGAATCTAAGAGGATTTGGAAGACTTCTCAGGACGTCTAGTTTTATACCGAAGACCATGCTCCATGTAGGTGAAAGGAGGATTGGGTTGTGTCAGACAAAAGTACAGACCCTTGGCTGTGGCTGGGTATACAAGACCTATATTGATGGTATTCTGGTAATTGCAGTCGCCCTGCCGGAACTTGGCCCAACTATCGCATTTGGTGGCCGGGATCATGACGCCCTCGATAAGAGCCTAGAAATAAATCAAGAAATATAATAACAAATTCTTCAAAAATCCCAAAACTTCTCACCTCCATGAAGAGCACAAAGGGATACATGTGACTGCAGACCTTGGACTCACAGCCAGGCTGGAGTTTCCTCCTGGGAAAGTATCCTATACCATTGGGATAAATATCAATGTGACCCAGCGGCACCCTCACACCAAAGACATCGCCCTCGCCATGGATCGTAACCACTCTGGCGGCCACTCCCTGCTTCACCAGAATGTCAGTGGTGCGACACATTGTGGCTGGATCTATGGCTATCAGTTGTCCCACTAACTGTTTGGTTTCCTTGACAAAAAGTTTGGCGCCCAAAGCGGCTATATTGGCACCCACCGAGTGTCCTGCCAGGGTAATGTCCTGAGCCGATATGCCTGCATCCAATAGAGCTCTAACGAGCTTGTAAACAAAGTAACCATCGACGGAGAGATGATGACGAACTGCATAGTACAGTTGGGCCACATCCTTGGCAAAGTCCACCACAATGACATTGAGATCCCGGCGGCTATTCTGGAGCAGGGTCAAGTGCTCCTGGACACTGAAGTAGCTATCGGCGGTGTGAAAGGCATTCACATAGACAAGGGTCTTGCGTTCCGGACTGATATCAAAGTCCTTAATCTGGGATATGGACTTGATGGGCAGCTCAACGCTTTGATTGGTAATTGTCATCACATGGAGGCGGGCATCGCTGGGATTGATGCCCTGGAAGAGGGACATAACACCCTCGTCCACAGGGGCGTCACCTGAGAGGGTAAAATGTGGTAAGATAATTTGAAGTATTTTTTAGATAATTTTTAACTTACAGAAAGCCCGCCAGCCGCGATTAAGCTGCTCGGTCAGTAGCTTCAGATTTTGTTTTTGAACTCCATCTATGCTCAGGGATTTTGGGGATTTATCCTCCCCTGAAGCAGCTGCCCAAGATGGGCAGATCAGGCAGACTGTGACCACTATAAACCCAACTGTGCTCTTCTGCATGGCGACTTAAGCTTTCTCGTATTGAAAACCCAAGAGCTGGGCTCTTATATAGTCTGGTTTTATCACCCTAACCGAGACTCTCTTATCTGGCAGTTGAGGTTTTCGATTTCAGTTGCTTTTTTTGCGCTTCTTGCAGCACGTCTCTACCCTGTCTGGTCATTGTCTGCTGTTCCGCCCCAAAAAAAATCTATCTTCAGCCCCGAAAGAGCAGCCAGATAATGGCGCATATCTGGCCAGACTGACGGCTATAGATACTCGATCTCAAACCGATCGTGCCTCAATATGGAAATACTTGCCAGCTTCATTCAGTTCTTTTTTCCGTCAATTAATCGCAGTTTTTTTTGAGTGATTTGTGATTTGTGCTCGAAAGACAACTAGGTGCTTAAACTTTATTCATTAAAATGTATATTTTCCACTAAATGAATATTTCGTTTATAAGTTAGGGCTGTAAATTTGACTAGAACTCGTATCGGTTCACGATGCAATATTTACGCTAATGAGGTAGCGGCGGTTGTTGTCTGACTCTGATCATTTTCGCAGGGGAATTTCTCAAGAGTGGCCTTAAAATTACGTTCCTTAAGTGGTACAGATTGTGTTTAAAAGAGAAAGTACACCAAAAGAATAATTAAAATCAACAAAGAAACTCAAAAGTTAAGTAAAGAAACCACCAAATAAGAACATCTTTTCGAGTTAAACTTAAATTTTAAACAGTTTATTTCTGTGCGAACACACACAAAAGCTAATCCATAAAAATAATAAATAAATTGAGAGGTGTGTACTAAAAATAAACATTGGTAGTCAGAAATACTTGGTGAGGCATCTCTTCAGAGCTCCAAAATTAGACTAAATATAGCATTCTGCTCTGTGGTTTTGTGTTGTGTTTGGTTTTTCCCGTTTACTCCTGAAGTGTGAATGGTGTTGTTTAGTTTTCTCTTAGAACTTGAGTCCGGCCTGGACATCGGCCATGATGTTGGCCGATTTCTGCAGCTGCTCGATCTCGGTGGCAGTGAGGATCTGCTTCACCACGGAGGTGACGCCGTTGGCGTTCAGAATGCAGGGCAGCGAGAGGAACACATCCTTGTCAATGCCGTGCTCTCCCTGGAATAAAAAGAAGGGTAATCATAAATAAAATATAACAAAATATATTTTTAAATATTTTAAAACATTTTAAAGTAATTCGGAATTTTTAAGATTTTAATTCTAATTTTAAATATATAAAATACAAACTCACCAAAACGGAGGTAGAAACGGCAGCCACGCTGCTCGTGTTGCGCAAGATGGCCGAGGCCAGGGAGGCAGTGCTCAGGCCAATGGCCCAGGAGGTATAACCCTTTAGCTTGATCACCTCGTAGGCAGAGTCCACCACCTGCTTGTGGAGCTCGTTCCACTTTTCTGGATCCTCACCAGTGCCCAGGGTGGGGTTCAGCTCACGCAGGCGCACGCCGGCAATGTTCACGCCAGACCACACGGGCACAGAGCTGTCGCCGTGTTCGCCAATGATCCAGCCGTGGCAGGAGGTGGGAGCCACGCCCAGACGCTGGGACATGAGGAAACGGAAGCGGGACGAGTCTAGGTTGGTGCCGCTGCCAATGACACGGTTCTTGGGCAGGCCGGACAACTTCCAGGCCACATAGGTCATGATGTCCACGGGGTTGGAGACCATCAGCAAGATGGTATCGGGACTGTACTGTAAGGGTAATTTAAATTATTAATTAATTGTTAATTTAAAAAGTAAACTAGACCTACCTCCACCAGCTTGGGGATAATGTTCTTAAGGATATCGGTGTTGCGCTGCACCAGGGACAGGCGGGACTCGCCCTCCTTTTGACGCACTCCAGCAGTCACAATGCACAGCCTCGAATTGGCCGAGGCAGCAAAGTCAGTGCTGGCCGTGATCTGGGGATTCTTCAGGAAGTTGGAGCCATGCTGCAGATCCATCAGCTCGCCCTGCAGCTTGTCAGCGCAGACATCGATGAGGCACACCTCCTTGGAGACATTCTGGGCCAGAATGCTGAAGGCGCTGGCCATGCCCACCTGGCCGATGCCCACCACGGTGACCTTATGCCCAGAGCTGGGCAGGACCTCGGCAACTTGGGCCAACAGACTATCCTTAATGGCGGCCATTGCTGGGGGAGGGATAAAGAAATATTTGTTAAAAATATTTTTTAAAAGAATTAACTTGAGTTGTTTGTTTTTTATATTTCTTTATTTAATATTTTATTTATATTTATTAAACTTTATAAAATGGTTAGTATTTTTTGCTTAATTTCCCAAACAATTTTCCTTTATTAAAAGTCTTTTATTCATTACCATCACGTGCATCTCACATTAACCGGCTAATTTTATTAACCAAAACATCACAATTTTTTCTTTTATTCGTTTTGAGGAAGACAGTTTTCTCTTCCCCTTAAAACACACACAGAGACATACAGTTTAGTTGGCGTTCTTTAACCTTCACGAAGGTCGTATTAATGAGAAAAAAGCGACATCGCCACAACACGCAACCGGACCGAACCGAAAACATTGCCGAAAAAATTAACTAATGCTGCTTTTTGCTCTTTTATATAGCAATTCATAGAGCCACAAACTTGTGACATTCATGATATTCACTCGTGTTCAATTAGAGGCCTCTTCTTCCATTATCTTCTATGATAAATCAAATCAAATTTTGGCCCAAAGGGAGGGACTCTTATCAATGCAATAAATTCGAAACCTTCTGAAATTAATCCCCACGAAAATCGCTTTATTACTGATTTTGGGGGCTACTGCCTGCCTACGCAATCTTATCAGAGAAACCATTAAGGCAATTTCACAAATCCAATTACTGGGTGTTTCTCATGTTGAGGAATTTGATTATTAACCGATGACTGTGTTATGCTTGCAGTATACATATATATATATATCACCATGACGTAGACCTAAGCCTTATCTCGGACTAGGAAGAGTGTAGGGGTTCGGGCCAAAGTTGAGTTTGTTGCCAATGTTTGCAATACATAGGGTTACGATTAGATTGCCGGCGATTAAGAGTGCATATTGAAGCGGCGACTGTTATCAGTGGGAAAATATTTATATAAACATGTGGCACGTTTTTAATTAGAATCTGCTTCAGTCTGAGTGTTTTCCTAGCTTGAAATACGATTGCACTTGTGAGTTCTCAAGAATATTATGGGTGCGGTAGAAAAAACTAGAGAGGTTTTTCGATGAGTTTCGCGGTGTCAGAGAAATGTCACGAAGATATCAACAATACACAATGATTTATGGCTGAGCGAGCACAGTTTATTTTTACTGGGAAATCACATATAGGTATTGGAAATAAATAAAATAATATAGGGAAAAAATAACATATAAAAAAATAATTATAGCTGAAAATTTTTAAGAATTTAAAGAAGAACTCTTTTTCTTTATAAAAATCCAATAACAAATGACTTTATAAAAATATTTATTTATAAATAAATAATACAAATAAATTACTTAGAACTCAAAACAACATGATTTTCTTTATAAAAGTGAAAGAAGCGAAGCAATATAATCATAAATTTATACTTTTCAAGCAAAAACCCGGAAATGCTGTTTTCTTAAACAACTTAACTCTGTTTAAAATATTTATGTTCTTTTGTTTTCCACACTTAAATTGAAACTAATTATTTTTTTAAAACCTGAAACATATTTTTCAATTAAAAACAATGCTTGAAATATTTCTTAGCTAATTTTAACTTATTTTCTCATAACTACAACTTGGCTAATTAAATCTTTAAATCTTAATGACCACCTGCAACCTTATTAATATCCAAATTCCAAACTTAAATTACAATATTTTGCACCTGTTGCAAGCTGCTAAAACTAGCCACGTTAAATTGGGCCTAGTCAAATGACCTTCTCTCAAAGTCAAATGCGGTTGTTCCACTTTACTGGGGGGACTGAGAATGACGACGACGTCACCCCCGTCAAAAACAATCCCAAAGAGCAGCCACAAACAGCTGTTTTGGGCCTGGCGCATGCTCTCAATGAAAACGAAAGTGAAAGTACGCCCAATTGGCAGCCACTTTGCCTCCCACCAGAGTACACCCCAATAACGGTACCCGTGCGGAAGGCCAAGGGCGAGGTGTTGGTTTCGGTTGGAATTCGTATTTCGGACTTGCACTTGACCGTTAAAAGTTGAATGCACTTTGATGAGCCAGGAACTGAGCCAGGCTCAAGGGTGAAAAAAAAACCCTTTGAAAACTAAAGTCACTAAGAAATTATTTCTCTTTAGATTCTGCTTACTTTTTGGTATTTGGTTGGTTTTGTTTAAATTCACTTTTCTCACTGGATTTTATTTTTGGCGCCTCTTGTATGTTGAGGTCGTCGACGTTCCGTTCTGTTTGCGGGTTCGTTGCGAACTGTTTGCACTCCACACGGCTGCTTTGGAATTTAGCTGCCGCCGCCGCTGGATTTTGTAGCCTCCGCAGTTGCTCTTTCACTCATTACCTCTCTTTCTATTTCCTCCTCAGGCCCATGCACTGGGAGAAAAACTGTAGTAAGATACTTAAAAACAAACAAAAATGCAGGATATGTTGTAGGATCTAAGGATGAGACAGTTTAATCAATAAGAATACAAAAATTATCGATTTTTTGTAATAAAATACATTTTTGTAATTAAAATTTTCTATATTATATACATTTTTTTTTATTTTTATTTTAATTAAATTTTGTTTAGAGGTCATACACGCTTTCTTATATATTTTAATTTTTCAATTGCATACCATTCCCAGTAAACTATTTCGCTGAGTGTAGGCAGCTGTTTCCGCTGCCGCGGCCAGCGTCGCAGCTGCTGCGCCAGGATGAATGACGAAACGGCCTGGGAGGCATTGTGAAAGTGAGCGAGCATTGCTCTCTTCTCTCCCGCTCGAGCTCTCTGCTCTCCAGAGTTTTCGGCTCCATTCAGCCAAGTTAGTCAAGGTGACCTTTTGTTGCTGCTGGTTTTCTTTTTTTTTGTACGTTTTCCCCTATATTTATAGCCG